TCGCACCGGGGCTCTGATACAATTGTTGTGCTGGGTGGACGATGGAGACTTGTGGAGCTAGATACGCATGGTGGTTGGTTAATTAAGTCTCGCGGAGGTGTTTACTGCTCCAAAGCGGTGGACGCGTTGTTCGTGATGGAGCTTGTTGTCAAGTTATCAGAAAATGAGGTCTAACACTATGCCAAGCCTCGTACCTATCTAACTTTGACGGGCTAGACACCGGAGCGCCTACTAATCGCCTACCGGAACGGTGCTTACTCAGCTGGGGTCCGATCGAGTCCAATCGGACGAGTGGCATCACTGTTCAACAGCAGACACAGGTGACGGGTTTCAGGGTGGAGAGAAGTGGACCGAAGAAGAGATCTCAGCTCTCAAAGGTTAATCATCTGCTATGGTATTAGATCCACACTGACGCTGTAACAGCTCAGGCGACTGGTTTGATTGACCAGAAGGCCGCAACGGACGCTACCAACGCGGAGCTTATCAAGAACCTTGCTAGCGCTAATAGCGCTAAGGGATCTGTAGAGCAGGAGAAGTCGGATTTAGAGCTTCCTCAATCCTAGGTTAAGGGGACTAGTGATGCTAGAATCACACAGTTACGAGGCTTACTATATAGAACCAGCACCATATCCCGTAAGAAAGCAACACTCTGGTCCAGTGTTACGGCCGAGCTCGGGAAACAACTAGGCATTGCCGAACATCGAATCGTAGCAACACAGTCCCAGGCTGCTGCCAAGATGAGCAGGCTGAGAGGACAGCTCGGCGATGCCGAACACCGCATCGTAAGAGCACGGTACATGGCTTAGCGGTTCCTGATCACGGCTGTGCTGAAGTCGTACCTTGCTTCCCAGAGACAGGAGGAGCTGGCGTTCCTGGTGCCGGGCTGAAGGCAATTCGACCGCTTATCTGGCGCTTCCTAGAAGCTGCCTTCAAGTCCCGCACCGCGTATGAGTCTATTCACGGCCGTGTCGTAGAGCTCGAGCAACAACTCGGTCACTCGACAACGCTGACCACCACGTCGCAACGGCACATTACTCAGTTTGCGATTCCTCTTTGCGGCTTTCCGATCCCGCAGCGCATACAAATCGGTGGACGGCCGTGTTTCGGAGCTCACACAACAACTCGGCAATGCCGAACGTCACCTCACAACAGCACCGTATGTGGCTTGGGAATTTATGCTTGCGACTGTCCTTAAGTCGTACCTCGCCTCTCAAAGACAGGAGGAATCGGCGTCTTTGGATGCCAGGCTAAAGACGATCCAACCGCTTACACGGCGCTTGATTGAAGCTGCCTTCAGGTCTCGTAGCGCATACGAATCCATGTACGGCCGTACTACGGACTTGGAGCTCAAGATGGGTGAGATGGTCGAACATCGGGAAAAGATTGTAGCGAGCCTTAGCAGTCTGATTTCGCGGCTTTACTTCAACATCCTAGACCGGTGCCCGTTTGCTGCGGATCAACCGCTAGGCACTATTGGCTGGATCCGAGCTGTGTGCGATTCACTCACCAAAGCCTTCGAAGGCGGTGGTCGTTCCCTTAGGCAGGTAGAGTCGGCGGCTATAGCGGAGCGAAGAGCTTCCGGGCAGAAGCTTCAGATAGCTTAAGATGATAATGCTAACTTGCACCGGCGGTACGACAAGCAAGTGGAAGAGCATGGAAGACAACGCGAGCATTAGCACAGCAAAAAAGCACAGCTAGTTAAGTCACTATAGAGCACGCAGCGAGAACTGATCCAGGTGCGAGCATTGCTCGCAAATATTGAAGAAAGCGCTGCTAAGACACTACAAGAGAAGGAATCAGAGCGAGAACATCTAGTAGAGATAGTCGGTGAGTTGGAGAAGTCAGCTAAGGAGCAATGTGAAGCAGTTACAAGAGCTCATGAGCGACGCTCTCATAGAGGCTGAGTACCAAAAGAAATTTGCCCACACCCTCAAGGGCCGAGTGCGGAAGGCTACGGAGGCACAGCATCCGGTAGTGAATGCTCTTCCCAAAGCATAGTCTATAGCTTCTGATCATCTTACTAGTAGGGCATATCTAGACTCTCATCTCTCCGTAACCCTTAAGATGCAATCTTGTTCCCAGAAGCGTTGCGCTGAACTTGTTCCTAGAGGTGGCTGGAGCGCTGTGCCACTCTTGCTTATAGGAGTACTGCGCTGACTTGTTCCTGAAAGCGCTGCGATACTCATGTATCTAGAAGTATTGCGCTGTCGATCTCTTAGTATCCTCTCTCGTCCAAGCGGACAGAGTGCTATAGTCTGCGGATCGAAGACCGGCCTTCTTCATTCCTCCATAACGCGCGTTTTGGCTAGCCAGCTTCGAACATGATCGCATTTCAGACTAGCACTTGTCGATACTGCGCTGGAGATTGCCCGGATTGAGACTATCTTAATCCAGTCTAGCGACCGCGACTCTCCTGCGACTCGACTCTGCCTGGCCTTGTCGCAGATTCTAGGTCCGGAGTGCAGCTCGGCAAGGTTGAGCTGCAGGGTGCACAGAAGCTGGACTTCGAGAAAGTGCCAAACTATCCTTCACTTGCCGGTGGATCAGGTAGTGGCTTCTTTTGAGCTTGATACAGACGTCTCGCGCGCATTGCATCTCTTTCATAAGGTCTTTTCCAGCAAGTTGTACCGCAGTGTAATTCTTTCATTTGTGAGGATCTTGTTCGGCTATAAGGATTTCTGGGAGCACGGGACCAGTTATGTCGGCCGTGGCTGTAGGCGACGATGCCCTTCCATGCTCTTGCAGACATCGGATCTTTTTTGGTGAGGGTAGAGCAGCGCTGCGAGATCGCGGTCTCGCTCGACGAAGACGCGGTGCTATAAAGGCCGTCGCTAGAGCTATACACACAACCACTTGTTCTCACTAACATAGTTCTTGTATCCTACCTGAGCCTAACATGTAACCGAAGACGGCAAAGAGATAGCGGAGGCTTAGCGGTAGGCTGTAAAGTTAGTAATGCCAAGAAAAAGCCAACCCTAACGTCTAGCCAATCACTCCACCTGTCGCAAACTACAGTTGTCTGGGACCTTTGTATACCAGAATAGCTGTAAGGCCCGAGCAGAGGCGGAGCACGAGGAGCTGAGTACAATAAAGGAATCTCCGCGCGGAATCTCTCATACTTTTCTTTCGCTAGCACGTCCCATATTCGACATTTACCAGATATGCTACCTTTGATCTTCTCATCGTTCCTAGGCCTCGCTGCCTTTTCCCTTACACAGACTACCGACGATATACCGTCCTGCATTGTGAGTTTCGTCCTTAGATCTCCACTTCTGACATAGTCGTCCTCACATTACTTCCAGCGGGAATGCCTCGGTTCTGACCTCCAAGCCCCAAACGGCCGCTACGTCCTTAGTGTGCCGGTGAAGTCCTGCCCTGAAAGAGATCTCGCATGTCGCTGTATGGACCCCGGATGGGTAGTGCTAATGACGCTTTGCTCGGATCCTTGTTCGGAACTCTCGGAGCCGGACTTCTGCGAAGGTATGCCTCCAGCATTCAGTCCTAGGCTATCTGTATTGCATCTATACTGAGCTTTCGCTACAGAGGCTATTGAAAACCTCGGGCTAAACGCAACTGCCGTATACGAGAGTATCTACTCTAGGCTCGAAGCAACTCCAACGCCATGGCTAGGTGTAGAAGGGAACCTACTCGCGCCCACTGAGACGACCGCTATACCACCGATGGGAACGACACCACCTTCGAAGTCAGTCAACGAACTCGACCCCTGCGCGCTCGAGTGCCTCCGCCTCGGTGCCTCGTCAGCTCAGAGCTGAGAACTCGATATTCCTGTCCGGGAGTGCGGAGAGGAGGACTGGGATTGTCGGTGTACAGACATCGGATGGTACGCTTCATGGAAAACCTGTGGGGATTTTTGCGAGGACACGGAGGCGGCGTTCCGGCTGCGCTGCAAAGGTGAGGCAGCATAAGCACTTGATAGTGTACTTTGAGTCTGATCTTCCGAGCAGACGTATACACCGCACTGGGTCTATCTGAGACAGAAGTCGCGCGCCGCTTTTGGGACGACTTGAAAAGATCAGGAAGGGATCCGGATACGGCGTCGCAGTAGCTGAAGTTCCAGCTGCAAGACTCCTCGTCGGCGGTGATTGTACAAATCTATGAGTTCTACGACCTCCGAGAAGTGCACAAAAAGCACTACAGACCCGGTGGCCACCTCGGCAACTATGGAGAATGAGCCGCAGGAGCAGAAAGAGCCAGATTTTGTTATTCAGAGCGTTGTCCAGGCTATTCTGGGTTGGCAGATGTGGGAGTTGAGAGCTTGAGCTTGAGTTTGAGCTACAGCACCCTGAAACTTCCGATTGCTAGCGTGCAAGGGTTCTCGTCGTACCATTTAGCAGCGAACACATACAAAAAGTACAATGAGAACCCTTGTACCCTAGCAATTGGACGTGTTAGGGTGCTGTATCGAGAGTTTCGGTGGTCCTGCACGTGACCTATTTGCTTCTAAGCGACACGAGTACCATGTAGATGGCATTCCCACTAAGCATTAATACAATTGAATAGTCACTGTGATAGGCTTACGTAGTCGCTAACATATATTATAGACAGATTACTTGTATGTGCAAAACTGGTGAGAGACACAAACCTTACCAACTAGAGGGGATGCAAAAAAAGACATAGTAGAGATTATGTAGAACATCCATCTGGCGCATATTTAAGATGATAAGCTCCGAAAGCATGGTCCGTTAGATCCAATGAGGGGAGGAGTCTTTTATGTGAAGAACTTATTCCACCACCCCTGCTATGCGCACTGGCTAGATATAAACTACTTGAATCCACAAACTCAAAACGCGCACTCAAGGAATGAAAACAGAGCGTTGTATTAGTTAGGGTTGGAGGAATGCGCACTAGTATAAGACAGTACGGAAAGTAGAAGCCTATACATGCTTCATTCTACACAAGTCAAAGGCAAGGCGTTACAATTGTGATCTAGACAGCAGTGTCCTTGCAACCTACAGCCCGCCAACGTTGATTGCGTAGCCCTAGAGTAGGTTGCCAATCAAGGCCAGGACGCCGTAAATCAGGCCCGTCCTCCCCGTGATAGTGTTGGGACTGGCTGCACCGGTGAAGACAGCCACTGAGGGCGATGCCACACTCGGCGAGAAGCTCCCGGTGCCGGTTGAACCTGGAGGAACGGAGGATATTGTAGCGACAGCAGGAGTCACATTTGGGACGCCGGAGCTGGAGTCAAGTACTCCGGGTGTGGTAGTGGGGCCAACAAAGGTCGCTGGCAAGGTGACGCTGTAGGATAGAGCGCATGCTGTTGGGTCTAGGCCGCTGGGACAGCAATAACCATCAACGAGGCAGTAATCACCATTAGGGCAAGACCCTGATAAGGTGTGTGAGCAGAGAAACACACGTACTGCACTGTTGGTGAATCACTTACAGGGATCAGCTGAGCCTGGTTCGCAACACGTCTGTGCATTCGCCGGATTGTAACAGAGATTTTCAGTCGGATCACCACAGTCTATATAACCAGGACCGCAAGAGGCCTCGCAGGTGTTCCCAGGGCCACAAAAAGAAGTGGTTGGTTGATACTCCTGACGTTTGCCGAAGACCTTGGTATCCAGTGCGTGAAAGTGTTTGCTCGACACAGCAGTCACAATAGCTAGGGAAGCGAGGATAAATTGGATGAAGAACATTGCAAAGACTGGAAGACTAGCGCTTCAAGAATGTGGTTGGGATAGATGTTTAGAGCGTGACTGAAGAACTTGAATTGGGTGAGATTGAGAACGAAGGAGGTGGGAATTTGAGTTAGAAATAGTGGTTGCCACGCTCACGATATATTCTTAGAGGTTTCGATGAAAGCGCAAGAGCCTGCTGCAAATACAATGATAAGCGAGTTCCGCCTTGCTAGCGGTCCAGTAATCCACAAACCAGCTGGTCTCAGCCCTTCTCCCACGGGTATTATATCTGACAACCTTGTCGATCGAGATCATTGTTGATTCTTCCGCAAGACTTGTGCCTAAGCGGAGGGGGAAAAGCTTGCCAAGAGACAGGCTTCTTAGTGGCGTTCAAGGCTGAAGAAGGTTCTATTACCTGGCTTATGTGAGAACTAAGAGCGCTTCGAGGAGCCAGCAAACAGAGCCTAACTTCAGCTCCAATCAGGCCACCCGAATCTCACATCACGCCAAAGCTATCATTAAGGCGTTGGTAAACCCCGTGCGCCTCGCTCGTATACCCATGCGCTTTGTCCACGACACGCTTTCACCTTGATACCTCTATGAAGCCCAGGCCAGCTGGCGAAACTCTCTGTTTCATGGGCTACTAGACGTTACCAACTTATTATGACAAGCCTCTGGCTGGTTTCCCGAACAAAGAAACTAATAGTGAAAGTACGGTTCCGAACATCACTGGATTAGAATGTCTAGTGCCCACCGAGAATTTAGATTTTGCCTGACTGCTATCAAACCCAATCATTGAATACGGAGTCTTCCACTCCTTCCAGCTCTCCATAACGCCAAGCCTGAGCTGAACTTCGCCTTCGCATCTTCATTGCTTGTATGGCTACATCTCTTTCAAGCATCGACGATTATTACGTTGAGTCCCTGCCAAAGTATCTGGCTTTCATCCGACTCTGGGCTAAGCGCTTGCACCAATACCACCCACTTCCCGCTGCCTCAGGGTTAATTTGGCTACCCGCGACCGTCTCGAAGTCAAACCTCCATCTCGTTACGAACCTGCCGTTTGTGCCCATCTCGATAGCCCCTCAGATTTCATGTTGCTGGTGACGGGATTTGAGAAGATTAGATGATGAGCTCTGTTCCGATCTGGGCGGCATTGCCGCTACTTGATTCTGGTCAATTTTGCAGCTCTGCAGAAGCAGTCTACGCTGGGGGGTACCAAGGAGGTGCGAGAGTACCGGGAGCGTGCACGAGAGAGGTTTGAGTAGAAGGCAATGTCTTGCGAATGAGCGCGGGATAGTAATGCAATGTTGAACGTGAAGCTTAACAGCCTCCGACTTGCGACAATGCGATCTTGTTCCACGAAGACGGGACCTTGATCCAGAGATGCTAATCGTGCGGTAGATGATTGGTGACGAGCGAGGCGGGCGTGGATGATAGAGGCTGGCGTTATACCGCCGGCACGGCTGGCTAAACCTCCATAGACAATTCCAGAGCTTCCGAGTTATGGTTCTAAGGATTCTTGATAGGGTGTTGCTGGTAGGGCAGGCCGGAAGTCTGCGGAGGCTCTACATCATTGTTGTACTGATTGACCAAGAGAGGCAAGGGGCCGTTTCAGCTTCAACCGGTGGTCAAGATAGTGTTAAGGCCCGTGACTTTCTAGCTTGGCTAACGGTAGGGGTTGTCGACCGGTATACTGGCGGGCCCTAAAACACTTGGCCTAAGAAGGCATCGGTCATGCCGGTTACGGAACGCTTACCAACACTGCCTTGGTCCGCGAAGACGTGGTCTTGACTTACGAAGATGTTCGAGGCAATTCTCGGACGCGTTGAGAAGTTTCAGTCACGAAATGCTTAGTTACGGCGGAAATAATAGAATGAAGGAATGTTCTCTGAGTTTCTTTACACGAGCGGCGTTCCAGAACGGAGAAGAGCTTGTTTCAAGCTTGTAGGTCCCTGGTGGATCAGGTAGCACTAAAGGAGGTGAGATGTACTGTAGCTTGGAAGAAGAAGCAAGAGCGTCGAGAAGTTCGAACGCCGCATCCAATTTGAGGCTGAACGCGCACTGAGACTGAAGCATGATGGAACTTCTCGCTGAGTTCGAGATGTCTGCCTTGGACGCTAGCACTTAGTCCTCACAATAGAGTATAGGGCGTACCGCTTTCACCACGGCGACCGAGCATGTTCGAACCCAGTCTCCGAACTTCAAGCTTTCATGTTCTTGGAAACGCGGTCGCTAGAGCCATATGTCCCGCTAGGTGAGATCCATATTCCTAGATTTGATACTGCAGTCTAAGCCGCAGATCGAATCATGTTCCTTGGATGCGCAAAGTCAAACAATCCAACACTGCGATGAGATGCAAGGAACAGCTGGTTATGGATGAATTGTTGTCGCGAGACGAGACCGCAGAAGAGAGCCTGTTTTGCGTCCACACGACCTTGCGGGGTGCGGGGCCAAAAACACTCACAATGCAAATAGCTTCCCTACTGTATTTGCTCTATCTTTGAACACTTATAAAGGGGGCGTCTTCCTCGTCGCGCCCAGCAGTAGCAGCGAGAGGGGTTCCGACCTTGACATCGTACGAGTTGTTCGTTACAGGTGTCACTCTCCATGACCTGCTGCCAGAATCCCATGCTGACTCTTGAATGTTGCTCCTTTCGTCCTGGAAGTACACCCGATAGTGCTTCGCGCCATCTGTGCTGGTCCAATTCAGGGTTGCAATCTTCGAATCGGACGACACACCTCGCCGAGTCGCTGAGCGAGTGGTCGCATTCGTATTTAAAATAGCCGTAGTGGAGGGAGCAGCTGCTGTATTGCCGCTTGTAGCGAGAGCGCCTCCAACTCCACCTCCTACAGCAGCAGCGATGATGATCACTGCGGCTACCGCAACGACGATCCAAAATGTCCTTCGCCGGAGGCCACACGTTCTTCGCTCAACGCCCACTGCACCAGATACGTTCAGCTCTTCAGGTCGCTCCAGCATGGATTTTCCGGCGTAAATCTCTTCATTGGGATTAGCGACGACTTGCGGACTATTGTTCGGCAACACCTCTGCCCATTGAGCTCAATGGTCGACCTCTAGTGCGCCATATTCCGGCTCCGACAGTATTTTCATCGAGGCCATTCTGAAATTTGATGGATGAGACACAATGAAAGGCTTGGACTTGCGGCAGTTGGATTTGGAGCGTGAAGGACAGCATGAGAGAGATTACTGTTGATTTCTGTGTGGCTTAAGCTTTCCTGCGCCCCAATCTATCATAATTAGCTTGCGAGGACCTCTATCGCTGTCGCTGGGGCTGAAGGATTGTATCACTTGCCGCAGGAAGGTTGATCAACCAATCAATAGGACGCCCGGCAGAAGCCAGGAGGTCTAGTACACTTTTGTCGCAAAAGTTTCCGACACCGCAGGATCGCCCGCGCCAACATTAAGAGACTACTGCCACTTGCAGTTTAATTTTATAATTGAACGCTAAGCTAAAATAAAGAGTTGCAGGCATTTAAGGCTTGTAGCATCGGCGTTTTGTTTCGTCAGCTCTAAGCGTTCAGAGCCAGATCTGAGAACAGGGCATGGGCTCAGAGCTAAATCTGAGGCCTCGGGCCATGCTCGAGCTGGAAATTCGGCTCAAGCGGATCTGAGGCGTCGGACCTGGCTCCGAGCTGGCCCCCGAGCTGCCCCCGAGCGTTCAGATCTCATGCGCCCGTCGCGATTTGCAAAACAAAATAGCGACGTAGAAATGCGAAGTCTCCCCAAACCTTCTCACGTTGCAAGGACCACCCTCGACAGGTAGGCTTAGGAAGAAGGTAGCTTGATTGGTAATCAACCTGCCGGATCCCTCTGGGACGAGGCAGAATGTATGTGGCAGAAGATATGAAGCACATTCTGCTCCTTGCAGACGAAACTACGCTGGCTCAAACAGACGTTCTATGTATACAGCGTCAAGATTTCGGCTACTATCCAATCTCGATACTTAACCCGGGCTTGTGATTCTCAGTGGCTAGCGCGTACGACGACGAAACGACTGGCCGAGATGGAAACCTCCACCGGCACTTGCAACAATTGCAACTGCTCGTACCATTACCACGCACAAGATCCTATCTTCGTGAATGGTGGAACTCGACAGCAATCCCAAGCGCGGCCGGTAGAGCAGCGAAGCACCAGCTTCGAAGGACATATGTCCGTCTCAACTGTCAGCCCCGAGAAAGGCACCGTGGACGCGGATAAGAAACAAGGTGTTGCCCCGGAGTATGGCCCAGACGAGCGTGGATTTCGAAGAATCATAAGAAATTTCACCCCCTCGTACGTTCACCTCTGTTCAATATTCTGTTGGACGTTGGCTGATGGGACCACTCCGGAACAGATGGTTCATCATCATAATGAGCACTGGAGTCATATCGATCATGTTCCATCAACTGCCTTACAATGGACACTGGCTCCAAATCATTTCCATTGTTTTCTTCGTCCTCAACCTCGCACTCTTCCTCCTCTTCACCCTTATATCCTGCCTGCGGTACATTCTCTATCCCCAAATCTTTCCGGCCGTGCTTCGCCATCCACACCAAAGCTTGTTCGTGGCAACCTTCCCCGTGGGCCTTGCAACACTCATAAACATGACCGTCCTGGTGTGCACCCCAGTGTGGGGTCACGGCATGGCTACGTTTGCATGGGTATTATGGTGGATTGATAGTGTGCTGGCTCTAATCACCTGTTTCCATCTTACATTTGTGATGTGAGTACCCCCTTTCCTGCATCTATATCTTAGCACCAAGCTTCTCCCTGCCTCGCATGCTCATACTACTGCCTTGCTGACATCGCTTATAGAATGTCAAACCGGAGAAGCGAGCTGGCGGAGATGACTGCGTTGTACCTTATCCCCATCGTCGCCATCGTGATCGCTGCAACTTCTGGAGGCCTCGTTGCGGGAGCAATCCCCAATCAGAAGCACCAGTTGTGGACGCTCGTCATCAGCTACATCTTCTGGGGTATCGGATCGCCTCTGTCATGGATCATCCTAACCCTCTACTTTCTTCGCATGACCGTACACAAGCCACTCAAGCGCGAAGTCATCGTGTCACTTCTACTTCCAATTGGCCCTCTTGGTCTCTCAGGATTCTCGTGAGCTTGTCCTAGGGCCCTTGAAAACTGATGATCATGAGACGCTAAACTGCCGCAGCCTAATTGTACTCGGCAAGCTCGCCAAACGCCTGTTTCCTGCGACCCACACTCTACCCCATGTAGCTAATGCAGGCGACGTGTTCTATATCGTTGGTTTCTTCGTCGGCCTCATCCTGTGGGGCTTCGCCGTTGTCTGGTTCATCATCGCTGTCATCATGATAGCCACCTCTGGCGGCTTTCCATTCAACATGGGGTGGTGGGGCTTCATCTTTCCAGTCGGTTAGTGCTCCTCCCTCCCTCCCTGGACAACACGGCTCGTCTCATCGCGTTTTGGACAGGTGTATTCACGCTCCTGACGATGACGATTGGAGAAGAACTGGAGTCTCAATTCTTCAAGGTTCTTTCATGTGTAAGTCCATTCTCTCTCTACCCGTCGCTTAGATGGGCCGTTTCCTGACATAGTGTTTCCTATTCTAGGTATTGACAGGGATATGTACTATTATGTGGTTCGTGATTGCTGCAGGAACAGTGCAACGTTCTATTACAGGCAAGATGTTCTTTGCACCATGTCTAGGTACGGATTTGTTCCAGAGACGGCTGAAGGAAGAGAAGAGAGCTTCGGAAGATACGAAGGAAGTAGTATAAATACTATAAATAGTGAGCGCTATATATAGAAGAAGAGCGAGAGACCATGCGCGTAGTCACGTGAATGCTAGCCGAAGCAAGGGGTCTATCCGTAGGTCCCCTGCAACCGGGTTCAACCCGTGACATCTTACGCCTTTAGATTCCGCTATAATCTAAGATAGTACGCCGCTAGCTGGATGTCATGCTATCTAAGGGCCTGTGAGCCTTAGGGGCGGAGCCGGGGCTAGACAAGGCCCGCTCATCCTTAGCGACACGCGGCCCTTTGCGGATGCGCGGGCCTTATCCTTCGCCGGCCTCACCTCTCTCGGAACCCTTCGGCACAGCCTTATTTTTCGCACCCACAATCTCGTCATCCGATACTTTCTCAGGCTCTCGAAGGAAACGTCGGGCTACTAATGGACGCCTTAATCCAAGCGCTTGCAGGCATTGAATCACTGGCTGAGGAGAACAACACTGGTGCCTCGAACCCGACAGCCTGCCCTGTCTGTAACGATTGTGAGGGGTGGGAAAGTGAAAGGGTTGCACCAAAGGATAGAACCTTTGTAGTTGAGAAATGGCCATCCCCCGGGTTTGAAATCAAAACGAACATCCGAATCTTGAACGACTCAGCAAATGGCGGTTGCCCAACTTGTGGTATATTTCGTTGTGCTATCACGCACTTTCTATCAGAAGTTGAAGACGATCTCGAGGTAATGGGTTGGCTTCCTATGCGGCATGGTTCATTACCTGTGTTATGGGTGAAACCAAAGGGGGTGCGTTACGACGAGGGTGGATTCGAATTTGAGTTCTTCACTATGCCGGGTAATGCTAGCTCAAGTTCCTACAATTCTGCCCTATCTCATCCGTGCCTAATTCCAATTTGACTCTTCCGTATCTGTCATCTTCACTGTGACACATCCGTTCATTTTAACTAATTTAGGCTTTGTAAGACGCCCCCGCGCCCTGGACCATTTTCAGGCCGGGAAAATTCTTTCCCGAAGACACTTCCTCCAGTGCAAGCCTCCAGCAAACGTTTAAGTGGCTGCAGGACTGCTTCGGAAATCATCCTCAATGCCAATCATACTCAGAATCGGAGGCCCAGTTACCGACACGCATTCTTGACCTTGGATTTCCCGGACCGCAAGCACCTTCAGTGACGCTGTACGAAAGTAACGGAGAAACTGGGTCTTATGTTGCTCTCAGCCACTGCTGGGGCAAATTGCAAATACTTAAAACGGAGCATTGCTCACTCAACCTTCGAAAAAGAGGTATACCATGGGATATAATACCGAGGACTTTTCAAGACGCCATAACATTTGTCCGACATCTCGGCTTAAGATACTTGTGGATAGACTCCCTTTGTATCATTCAGGACGACAGCGCTGATTGGCAGAGGGAATCTGCAAAAATGGCTTCTGTATACATGAACTCTGTCCTCACGATTGCAGCAACGAAGTCAGCCGATTCTGAAGGCGGCTGTTTCTCCGTTGTCCCGAAAAACAGGCGTACTTACAAGGTCACGGGATTAGACCAAGGGGGCAGGCAATTCACCATCCACGCTCGTCCTAGCGTTCGCAGTTGGGAAAAATCTCCGTTACCCCTACACTCCCGCGCTTGGTGCTACCAGGAACGGATTCTCTCTCCACGGGTTCTACATTTTCATCACCATGAGCTGAAGTGGGAATGCCAGGCGATAACTACTTGCGAGTGCTCCCTTGCATCCATCTCCCACGGCAAGCAAAACCATGCAAGCAGATTTGGTCTAGAGTCGGACCCACACTCAATGAACGACAAATGGCGTAGGATGGTACGGGAGTATGTGCAGTTGAACCTAACATATACATCTGACAGATTGCCGGCACTCTCTGGCCTAGCCAAGCATGTACAGCAGACTTATGGACGTGGAAGATATCTCGCGGGCTTGTGGGAGGACAGCCTGTTCGAAGACTTGATGTGGTGGGTCAAAGAAGACGAGGCCCAGCACGCATGGAGGCCGAAGGAATGGCGGGCACCGTCATGGTCTTGGGCGTCACTGGAAGGTCAGATTGAACATAGGATCCTCCCAGTCAAAAGCACGCATTGCGAAATTCTAGAAGTCGAGATCACTCCTGCGGGTGCGGATCCAACCGGTGCGGTGGCGTCTGGAAAACTTGTCATCTCGGGGATACTCGTGTCGGCTATTCTCCGTCGTATTCGACCGAGATCCGATATTGAAGACATGGAACCGGATAAAAGACGCTTCGGAATTGAAATCACGGGAATGAATGAAGTTGAATCTCATAAGATGTATGTCGACTACGAGCTCGATAAAGAAGGGTCAGGTTATGTTCCGGATGGACAGGATGTTTGCTGCTTGTGCATCGCTACAGACCAATGGCATAAATGTTGGTTGGTTTTGCGGAAACTGCAGAATATGCATGCTGATTTATACGAGAGGATTGGAATGGCCTGGCAGAGCCATGAACAGATTAAGGAGGGAAGGGACTGGATAAATCGCCTAAGTGAGAAGACGGTGGTCACCATTGTGTGACATTGTAGCTAGCTAAGGAAATATTCTGCCAGTCCTTGGGAGGATCGAAACTATCGAGAAGCTTGTGAAGACTTGCTGGCACTTATATCCATATCAGAACGACCGTTTCCGCTAGGCAAAGGCTACCGGAAGCTAGGGAAAGATGGAGCGTTCACCAAGCGTACGAACCTCTGATATGACCTTGTTGCGCTGAGCGACACCCAGCTTCCCATTCAGGGTGGACGCCGTGTGGACCTTCTCTTTCTACTCCTCAGCCCGAGTTCTGTTGCGATCTCGCTTTGCTCTGTTTCTTCGTAGCGTCTTCAGTTCTGCACGGCGAGTAAAAATATCTGTGTCGGCCTGAGTAACTGCTCAGAGCCTCGGGTACATCTCGTACGTCTGAGGTAGACGTTTGAGAACCACTATAAAAGTATCTCTAGGCTACATGAACAGCACGAGGGCACACATATAATTTTTGACTTTTGGCTGGGTTTCCAGAAGACTCTGCTATCCGGTGAGTTTCTTTAGTTTGACTGAGCGGGCCATCTGCTTGATTCGGAGATGCGCCTTGCAGTCTCTTTCGGACTGCACTGTTTGCTCGTTCAGACAACGAGGAGAACTCCTAGGTCCCATCTTACTAACCCTCTTTCTCCTTCTCGAACCAGCATAACCAGAGAATTTTGGGGCCAGGATTTTCGAATCTGAATACTCCCTTGCGCGAGTCTATTGCACGAAATGCAACCTCCCCATGGTAGCGCTTTGACAAGTAACTTCACGATCCTCTTCCTTAACCAAACAAGTTAACACTGCTGCTAGCAAGAATCTTAAGGTTATCTGTCCAGCTGTTGACTGCGGTGTCGAGTAACTGGGTTCGGGTATCTGATTGTCCCTTCTTGATTGTTGCTGTCTTGTGCACAGAGCTTGAAGGTTCTTGCATGCGGTTGCTCCCGGGTCTCTGGCTTAGATTGCTGCGGGCGCGATAACTCCCCTCGAAACCTTGATATCCCGAAGCTTGTTATTGACATCCTGCAACGCTCACATTTCCCCGATTTGATGATTCCATGTAGATACGACTATGACTAGGTCTTTGCTTTCAAACCGCTATCGACCAAGCGATTTGTGTGCAGCTGTGCGGATTCCGTATGTGATCTCGTTGCATCTTATGTGCACTACAAAACAAAAACTGCACGAGAGACATTCTAGTGCAACCTATCAATGATTGAAGTAGGCCTTGCTCTTCCACACGGATAGAGTCTATCTAGCAACGATTGTTCGTCGTTGTATCCGGGCAAGCCTGCCGTCTTACTAGTGACTGCAATCCGCCGAACCGATCATCCTTTGCGTTACATAGAGACTTATGGTAACACTTCAAGCGCATTCTTTCATTAACTACCCACTTCTCTGCTAGATGTAGTGCTGTCGAGGGCGCGGCGTAGAGTATCGCGGTTGGGAACCCCAGAACAAATCATCCGACCGTTGACGAATATTGTCGGCACAGAGGTGATTCCGAGCTCGGAAGCGTGTTGAACAGCGTGTTTCTCCGCCTGGCGGTACTTGCGATCGATGAGTGCTTGCCGGAACTCCTCCCTGTCAAGACCAACTCCTGCTGCAACATCCGCGAGAACATCAACATTCCCAATGTCGCGTTCCTGTTGGAAGAACGCCCTCAGAACTGCTACATTGTATTCGTTCGCTCGATCGTGCTCAGCAGCAAAGAAGGAGCCCTCGAACGCGGTATGTGTGTACGGTTGTGGTGAGATGTTCGGTAGTTTGATATCCACGCCGAGCCTTGCAGCCATCGGATAGACGGATGATTTCCACACACGGGGAAGATATTCATCTTCGGTGCGTAGAGTCGGTGTAGGGTATTGTCGCAACTCGAAGGGATGCCAGCGGACCTTTACATCCCTGCGGTCCTTGAGCTCGGCGGTCAGAACTTCTTCGGCGAGCAAGCAAAACGGGCAGACATAGTCGGAGTAAATGTCAACCGTGGTAGCCATGGTGCGATGCGAAAAGCGCAGTTGCGGTGTTCTGTATCTTCTTGAGATTGAGTAGTAAGTTGGCTTTGTGAGAAGAGAAGATATGCGAAGATTATAGCAGCGGAGGGCGTCAAACATGATACTGCGATTTCCTCTCTTTGCTCGAGATGATTGTCTCGGGTTGCTACAAGTTTGCTATGACGTAACAAACCAAAGCCAAAAGTCACGTGTAGATCCACCTCTCGTTCTCCAACTCTTCAACGTCGACTCCTTCTACAAGCATTCGCCCGAGTTTCTCTTAGAGATTAGACTATGTGTGGTGTCGCAGCGTTTGCCCAAAAACAATCACGCTAAGGATAACCCGAAGTGACTTGCAGTCACGAATCTTCCGCGGAGCTGACTATCTGCACGTGGTCTGCGGAGTGTTCCAGAGCTACAATTGACCAGGCGCTTCCTAGAAGGGCTTCGTTAGTTTACGTTATAGCGCGAGGTTTACCGAGCATCATGTACCAGCTCGTTTGTTCAAGCGAATCTACTGCACGGTCGCTTAAGTGAAACCGAGGGGTCAAGTTTTAGGTTCTTTTGGAGTCCCTTAGTGGGTACTCCGTAGTGCGGGTTTCCCCTTGATGTTCAGGCTTCCCGCAGCAGATTCGGGCCGTCTCCCGCAGCACGAGCCTCCTCAGATCTCTCACCCCCGCATGAGAGGAACATGAGTCGCCTTCCCTACGACAACGCATCGAACAATCTCGGCGTTATGTGGGCTCTCGCACGCGTCAAACGTTCTGTGATGTGTCAAGCATTTCGTATGAAGCGAGAGAGACCTCCTGCCGTCTCTACTCTATTTGTAACTTGTGCGGAACTTTGAACGTGGACAAGGATGCACCAAGACGTATTCAAACCTCAATGCAGCCGGAGACCCATGCTGACGATGCAGAATACTGTCCATGAGGCTATATGCCACAAACAGAACCAAGGTTAGTAACTTTAGCCTAGAGGTCCTTCGCTGCGTCTGTCTAGACTTACTCTCGCTTCCCGCTGTCACTTCTACTCCCGATATACACCCTGTAATTTCGTTAAAACTAGAGCTGTGCAGCATTAGTCTGTAGCAGGTCACGATAGTCGCCCTCGAGGTTTCCCCATTGTGCACCTTAGCAGCTTGATGATCTGCCACTATCAATGTTACGCTTCTGAGAGTCTAGGACTCAAGGCATGTCCCCATATGCCCCAGATTCTGGAACCTCCCGCTATCGCTTGTCTGTCCAGCCCCTTCGCTTCTACTCGCAGCTATACCTATGTTTGAAACGCTGATCAGCGACGGAGTCATGCAAGAACGCTCTAGACGAGACTGTCTTCGCTTCTAAGCCCCTTTCTTAGACAGGTCCTGCGGATAGTCATCCAAGGGTTTCGATCTTTCGCTTCACTGTCCCACTTTCAGATCAATCTAGGTTTAGAGATTGCATCCTGCATTGCGAGCCCATAGGCGGTTGAACAATGTCGGGGGCCGAGAGCAAGAGGCCGTAGTTTCAACATCAGCTTGGCAACAGCATAAAAGGAAGCTCATCTCCACCTCAAGAATACCAGAGCAGCACTCTCATTCAGCTCCAGATCAGCAGTCAGCCCAATTCTTTCCTCTCAGTACAGACGAGCAGTACTCCTTCAGCAAGCAATCTTACTCCGCAAAAATGCATTACTCCTTTATCTTGCCTCTTGCCGCCGCTGCCATGCAGCTCTTCGGCATGACAACCGCTAGAGCCATTTCTGGCGCCTCTACCCTCGAAGTCAGAAGCGAAGCCAACGCCCTTGTGGTTCGATCCGAAGGCGCCAACATCTTGGATCATGTTGTTCCATTTCCCTTTGAGGACAACGAGGAGAATGAGCGAGAGCTCGAGCGCGTCTTTGATGCCATTGTCAACGTTCCTGACAACGTACTCGAAGCCGGCCAGGACCGCGTCAAAGCCTGGGTTGCGGAAGTCCTCGACAAAAACAAAGACAATGACAGCGGGAACGACAACGACAAGCGGACTGTTGACTTGGTTGAACGGCAGAGCTTGGCCTCAATTCTGGCTTGTGCATATGAGCTCGGCAAGTGGGTTGTCGAGAACGTTGGGGCAGGCAAATTCCGCAGAGTGAAGGAGTTGATCTCTTTACTGGGCGGGGCTAGGCGGGTGGCTAAATTGCTGCTCAGTGCCAAAGGCTGGAGAGAGGTCCGTGCTATTGGAGGACCCTACTTGGTGGAGCTGGTAGAAATACTCACAGGCGCTGGAGGGGTTGTCGAGGCTTGCTTTGGTTGGGTCTAAGGAGGTTGACAATCCTGCTTGAGCTAACTGGGATCGAAGGAGGAATTCTTCCCTGATGAGGGTGTCGCGCTTGATCTTTGGTTGTTTTTCAGGGATCTCCTACGAACGCATGACTTGTTTTTTCTTTTGGTTGAACTGCAAATTTTAGGCAACCGAGCTGTAACTTTACTTAAACTCGAGTTTTTAACCGTTTTGGTTACCTGGACTAAGAAGTCTCGCCGTGATAAGTGAGGTTGTCTATAGCCAAGAACGACAGTTGAGAGGAGCAAGATGGCAATAGTTATTTTTCACTACTACCATTCCTGGTATTTTGGTTGATTGTAGCCAGCTCCCACAGATACGAGTCTTGCCGGAGCCTTTGGACTGATTAGGTCTTCAGACAGACTCTAGGGGAGAGACCTTAAGATTGAGTGGTACCTTAGAGTCTGGACACACCGCCGATTTCCACGTAATGTATCAGGCATCTGCCAGCATTTTTCTGGACATAAAGCTATCCGCATGACGTGTCTGCTTGGTTATAAGGACGAGTCATTTCGGCCCAAAAGGCTACGTCGGTGGATGAGGAAATCGGGGAGCGGGGGTGAGTACGAGCAGGCGGAAAAGAAACCTCGTCTGACGGGTGAGGTACGCGCTGCGGCCTCTTTTTAGTTTTGGTGGATTTAAGCACGGGGACGGGCGAGCTTCAAAATCATCATTGGGCTGTATGCAGCAAATAGCGTATCCTGCGGCAGCTGTTCAGGTAAGGCTCTTATGTTTCTTGGGGGAGCTGAGAGGGTCTCATTGCTTGCGAGTGGCAGTGTGCAGACTGCAGTTCGTCTAGTAGATCCCTTCCGTAAAACGCAGTGGAGTACCCTTCCCATTCTTCGGGGGCCGAAAACACGGGAGCCAGTGACTGGATCATCTGTACCACTCTCTAGCTTTCAACTAGGATGCCAATAAACCCAAATCCGTAACAGAGCTCAGAATATAGGGTAGTGAAACCTCGGGTATGACTGCAGTGCAGCTGCGTGTCTGAAAACAGTAAGTACTTCAAGCTAGGCTTAGCAAACTGGAATCTTTGCGGGTCCAGATACTTCTTCTCTTCCCGACACGATACAACTTCAAAGTGAGCTCCTCAACGCCGATCGACATCACGCCAACTACCGGAACGAAGGTGCAGGTCAGAGTGAATCCCCAGGGGGCTTGCTAAACCGCTGCGTTACCCGCAAGCATCTGAGTTGCTTGACCAGCCTGCATGGCTGTTGAGATGTTTGCGAAGAAGGCGAACAGTGCCAACAGATTTCTGTATTACGCTGAAGGCGGCTATTGCAATCATGGGCGCTGTATCTATAACCTCCTGGGATATTGCTATGGGCATAGCACATGAGATTCAGTCCCAAGAGTGGGAGTTTGCCGTTATGCTACCGCTTGTTGATATTCTTACGGTTGCCCTCATCGAGAAGTTCCTTCACTAGACGAACCCAGTGATGCCAGGTCAGTGGTTCTGGAAGGAGATGGAGTTGCTGAGTGATGTGTAAGTCGCTTTCAGACGGAACGAGACCAACATAGGATATCATGAAGCCAAGCCCACAGCCATACAATCCTCTCTTATCCCCACAATCCTGCTCGGTACAAATGTGATTCTCTGGGGAACAAAGAATATGCTCTTGCCAAACCGCGCGTCCAAGAGGTAGCGCGGCATCGGCTTGATAAGGATATTTTTGCTGTAATACACGAGCTGCATCTTAACCTCTTCAATCACCATGATGCTCCGACCAAGGAGCTTTTGGCGGTGCAGAGGTCGTGGAGGCATTGGCTGAGCGGTGATGCAAAGATGATAATGCAACTAGTTCGACTTGTCGACGCTGAGCTGCCGTTCTAGAGAATCCATGCCGGCGGTGGGGAAATGCGTATAATCCGAGCGGTCTTGTGACCGGCATGTTGGTTGTAGGAGAGGACTAAAGCCGACAACTGAATGGTCGACGTTTCGGGGATTTTGCTTCTGCTGCTGCCGCTGCTGCTCCTCTTGATTCACTGCACCATCTTCCATAATGAACAAACAGGGACCAAAGGGAAGTTGGAGGAGAGGCTTCGCCTGAGCAATCGTGGAGCAGTGAACCACGGACCGGCTTCTTCGTTGGTTCTCGAGCGCGCCTTCCTCTTTCCTCTGTCCGCGCGCTTGGTTTTTGGGGCATAAACAATGTTCTATCTGAAGCTCCCAGCTTTGCTTTACAGCTCAGGTAGTTTGTTACTCGTCACAGCAGCTGAGGAACGCGCTTCCGCTCTCTTGGTGCTCGGTTCTTTCGGTCAAGTCGGATGGGCAACACCCAAGCGCCTTCGCCACTTGGCAGTTCTCGCACCGGCGCCGATCATATTTGCGTGGTCTGAACGTGCCTTGTTTCAGAACTTCCCCAAACGATATCTCTTTGTAACGTGTCTAGCGCGAGTGCGGGCAATTGACTCACAGAGCCATACCTTACAATATTGTAGACGATTACATTACTCAATCTATATCAACGCGTCATCCGAACCGCATACCCCCAATCATCTCCCTCCGCATAACTCCTCCCATCCGCCCTACTCCCAGTACTAAGCTCCCTCTCCAAAAACGTTGCCCTCTTCGCCGGCAACTCCGCGACCCTGTCAAACCCCTCGCCTCTGGATTCAGCTTGCCATCTCCATTGCTCGATCGCATCGCCCTGCTCCGGATGCAACTGCGTCATCCCAGCCTGACTGTGGTTCTGATACCTCCCAGCCTCACTCTGCGATCCACTTGGTGAGAACCTCGTGCTGCTATCGGTAGGCGAGTATGCCGACGCATGGCCAGCGTACAGCGGTGTCGAGTTGCCGGCCATCTCGAAGGGCGGGCGCGGTGGAGATTGAGAGGGATGAAAGCGCGTGGTGGGATTGTTGGGTCCGTTTGCTGCATGTTCGCGCAGTTTGCGCTTGTGGAGGCAGTACCAGGCGACGACGGCGACGCAGCCGACAAGCGTGATACTCCCGCCGCAGGCTATGCCGATTATTGCGCCTGTACCTAGGACCGCTTCACCTTCGGGGTCTGAAGTAGTGCTTGGGACGGCGGTTGAGCTGGGGGTGGAGCTGATCGTTGGAGCCTGCGCTTGCTTCTTAGCACTTCTTAAGTATTTGACATGGCAGCGGCTCAGCGGGCTGGGCCATGGGACGATGTTCCGGTGTGGTTGGAGGAATTCTTACCGGCGTTAACGAAGATGCTGTGGAGGTGAGGTTTGCAGCCATTGTTGTCGCGAAGAATGTCGCATCGGCCTTCCGTGACTCAACACATGAGAACCAGCTCAGTGTGGGAGCATTGGCGGCGATGTACGTTTCCCAGAAGCAGAAGGGTTGGTAAGTATTGCTGTTTCAGCGTTAGATCTCTTGCGACGTTGGAGATAGAGTGGAGAAAGGGCAAAGTCATTCATACCAGGTGTAACACCTGTCTGTGGACTGGCATGTGGCGGTCGGGATGTTGTCGATGCAGGACTGGGTTGTGCCGCCCGGATTATCGGGACTGTGAGAGAAGGAATAAGTCTACAGCGCCAACGGTATCGGGCTCGGTGGGTTTGAGGAAGGGCGTACTCGAAGCAATCTACGATTCCCGTAGTTCCTCGAACGCTGGTGATGCATGCGCCCTGATTGATTGTTCAGTTCCGCTGCTGGAAGCTGGGGCGACGTAAGACACTGACATTGTCGCAAACCCCTTGACACCGGTCAGCTTCGGCAGCGGATTAGACATGGAGAACGAGATCTTACAAAACGGAGAAGTCGCTGAAATCCCAGCCGGTCCGCAGCAAAACGCGCCTTGCGACAGGCAGACAGTCCCGCAGGCTCCATATGAGCAAGTGCCCTGACGCTTCAGGATATTCACAGTCGGACAGTCTGTCGGTTGAGGGACCGGAGGTGAAGTGATGAATATACCAGCTTTTTGAACGTACGCGCTCGATGCTGGCCTGGAGTGGAAGATAACAAGTAAAGTAAGAATTTTGAGGACGTGGAAGATGTCATGCATGATGGATGGAGGAAGATGTTGGCACCATAACGGGAAGGCGCCCACTGCTGCAGGAACGCTTGCGAACGGGTTTGGGGAAGGGAACGAGATAAAGTATGTAAGACTGTAGAAGATGGCATGCCGGGTGTCTCACTGTACGGCTGAAAGCATATCTCGGCTTGCCGGCAGCATCTGCTCTTGAAGCTGGTAGCCGAGTCTATTTTTCATCTCGCCAAACCTGTCACCTGGATACTCTTCAGCGCCGAGGAGCTGGCGGAAATGAGAGGAAGTGATGCGAATGGCCGTCCAGCTGGAGCTGGAGTCTGACCTGCAGGCGCCGCATCCAAACAGGTCGGCAAGGCGGTGAATATGTGGGATAGAGGAATTCTACTCGAGTAAGGCACCCGGAAGGCTGAGCTGGAGCTGGCCAATAGATGCATGGGGAACCAAGTCTTGGACGGGCACGATACGAGCAGCCTGAAGCAATCGAGAGATCGTGTCCTTGCAGGGCTGAGAAGAATACCGGCCAGAAGCTCCGACGACAAAAACGGTTAATGCGATAGTCGTGAGCAGCTTCTGCCACGCTTTCTCTAAGAATTCATCGTAGATAAGCGCGAGGTGAGGAAGTTCTACGTGAGTACGTGCGTAAAGGATACGCAGCTCATCGCCGCTCCATGGTGCTGGGGACGGTGGTTGTTACAATAAGAGTGCGACCAGGATTAGCCTGCATGACTTTCCCATCCCGGCTGCCCTAGCGCCCGCAGGCGTGGACCAGGCAGGGCACGCGCTCGTTCACCCTTGAGATCCGGGACCACCAGCCTCAGGACGCAATTGGAATATGGGCCATCTACCGAACTCTGGCTGTGGACCCGCGCAGGTCGGCAACACTTGTAGACGCAGGTGGAGTGATTAAGTGGAGAACCTGGCTCTAGCCATCACAAGACACATGTTGCAGGCGGCATCCGCAGCTACCGGTTCGTACTGTGGGAGATTTGCTCAGACTACGGAGCCTTTCATTCGCGTTTGCTACGTTCCCGCACACTTGGTTCTTGGAACGACCCTCTTCTTAGCTTACAGCAGCTGGCACACAAGCTTAGCAAATATATATGCTGGAAGAGTTCCTTCATCAATCTGCGAGTACAGGGAGCATTGCAATAGGGCGAGAACTCCGGATGGACTTTCAAGGGAAACCACCTGCAATGCCCTCTCAGAACTTGTTCGGAGGAAGATGCCGGCTCAGACAGTCATGCGGTTCGAAAGGCGTCTAGCGGGAAACCGAGAGTATACGCTGCGATATGGAATTTACTAAGGATCAAAAGACATTCAGCCAGAGGGTAGAGACACTGAAAGCGCTGTCGATATGTAATCGACCGGGAGGGAATCGAAAGTATCGAGTCGTAAAGCAGCTAGCCCGTCAATGTCTGTCTTAATAAGGACCGCATCTAGTGTCGCAATGCACCATTCGCTGGAGTTGTCTGCCGAGCGGATGTTCGGCGGTATGAGACCTGCTGCAGGTCAAGGAAGAAGTCTCGAGTGTTCTGCTTGATCTGTGAAGCTTCCGTAGAAACGAACAACCGGCTCAGAGACTCTTCGGCCGCTGATGCTCAAAGGGATTTCATGAGACCTTGAGTAGGGGAGCAACGAGGTAGCTCCGTGTTCTCGGGGTCGATATTGCCATATTGGACCGATGAATTAACAAATCGTGCTACTCTTCTATCCACGGTGGACAGGTGCTTGTGGAAGGACAGGGACAATTCTACCTCGAATAACGATATCCTTATGAACCGGTCACCCTTTGCGTTACAAAGATGCTCACATTAACTTTGGTAGAGCTCTCTCGGGAGTGCCCCACGTGCCTCACGAGTTCATAAAGTCTAGACAGCCCTAGCCGCAAGCTTACACGAACGTCTTCGTTTGTAAAGTCTACTCGAGGAAAAAAGCGTGATAACGGCTTCCCTTTTCGCCAGCCTACAACTTCGACGCCCCACTCTTCCACTCCAGCCTCTTCAGCTCATTCCGCTTGATCTTCCCACTGATTGTCTTAGGCAAGAACGTCGCGTCCACGAACTGTATCTTGCGGGGGTACTTATACGGCGCCGCATTCTCCTTGCAGAAGTTTTGCAATTCCGACACAAGCCCGTCCACGTCTTTCTTCGCGTACTCGTCCGTAAGCACAATAAACGCCTTGACGACCTCGCCGCGCGACGAGTCAGGCGAGGCTACGACGGCCGACTCCACCACGGCGGGATGCTGTTTTAGCGTCGACTCGACCTCGAAAGGCCCGATGCGGTAGCCCGAGGAGTTTATCACATCGTCGGCACGCCCGACGAACCAGAAGTAGCCGTCTTTATCCCGTATCGCTCGATCGCCGGTTAGATACCATGACTTTGGCGCGACATGGCCCGGCCTGACAAAACTGCGGATGCGTTTATCCAGCTTCCCATCGGGTGCCAGATAACCATCGAAGAGGCCGAAGAAACCGGCCTCGTCTCGTTCTTCCGATTTCACCAGAACACCCATGTCGCCCTCTACGCCCGCGGGACATTCGTCGCCGTTCGAATCGATAACGTGGAGCGGAACTCCTGGCGATGGTCGTCCCATGGAACCAGGTCTGACCTCTGCGCCCTCGAAGTTGCCGCAGATCAGTATTGTCTCCGTCTGCCCGTACCCGTCGCAGATCTGCAGGCCACTCATGCGCTTCCAGAGGCGTATGACTTCGCCGTTGAGCGGCTCGCCCGCGCCCGCGCAGTGGCTAAGTGCGTGTGGTGGGTTTTTCCGGAAGTGGTCTTGGCTTTCACTGAGGACGAGCTGGCGGTATGCGGTCGGTGGCGCGCACAGGGTTGTGATGGGGTGCTCGTGGAGAATGTCGAGCAGACGCGTGGGAGAGAAGGGTCGGCGATCGTCGTGGACGAAGAGGCTTGCGCCGCAGTTCCACGCCCCGAAGAAGGACCACGCTGCTTTGGCCCAGCCTGGTGCACGGTCAACGGTGGGAATTGAGACGGGTTAACGGGCCTGTGTGCGGACGCACCTTGTTCGGATAAATTCCAGTACAACTTCCCTGGAGACAGCCTGAGCCAATGTTTCCCGGTAATTGTGTGTGCGAGTGGGTAGGAGATGTGGTTATGCTGAACCATCTACAAACCACAAACATTAGCATTCTCAGTATAGTACAAGCTGCGAGTGTCTTACAGTGCCTCACCTTTGGATGCCCGGTCGTGCCAGACGTGAAGTATATCAGTGCAGGCGACCGCACATCAGGCTTCAGTCCACTGAACAGTGCATCTCGCGGCACAGTGTCGAGCGCAGCCCCCAACTCCACCAAACCCTCAGAAGCGTCGCCGCCAACCTGTATGACGGTCCGCACCTGAGGGCAGTTGTCGCGTATCTTGAGGAACTTCTGCACGCTTGCCGCGTCGCCTACGAAGACGGAAGCCTGCGATGCCTGGCACCGGAACTCGATGTCCTTCCCCACGAGCAATGTAGTCGCGGGACAGAGAACAACACCGCTGCGGAGACACGCGACGGCGAGCTCCCACCTGCCGCAAACAATCCCTGTCAGCCCCAGCACCTCTCCATCTCTCCGTCTCTCCCTCACTCCCTTACACTCTCACACCCTCACACAGACCCCTTCATCAAAGCCCAAGAGAGAGGCTGGCGGTCCTCGTACCTACCAAGCTGGCACCCTCGGCAATATCACCAACAACTTTTCCCCCGCCTCAACGCCAAGCCGCTGCAGCAGCACGGCGATCCGGTGCCCTTGGCGTTGGAAGTGCGCATACGACAGCGCGCGCTGAGAGCGGCCGTCTTGCGAGAGCCAGCACATTGCCTGCAGCGGCGGCGACTGCGCGGCCCAGTAGTCGACAACATCGACGGCGAAGTTGAAGGAGGTAGGGCGGGTGAGGGCACGGTCGTGGAAGTGCGCCATTGGAGCGAGGTGCGAGGGCAATGCTTGTACTAGGGAGACGGGTTGCGGAGGGGTGGCAGTGGGGAGAAGAGTGGGAGAGGAGCGGTCATCTGGGGTTGCTGTATGGGCAGTGATGGTGGGAGGTATATAACGAGAGCCGCTTGACGGCACGAGATGGAAGTCGGCGGGGTCGATCGTCCGTCCGCATGGGTTTGAAGCGTCCAGTCCGAGGTCTACTGTAACGGTCTAAGGGAAGGCGTCCCACTCGGAGGTTATCAAGCTTTCGTGAAGTGAGTTAATGTCACGGGATCAGAGCCTGATGAAAGCCCGAGCCGACCGCTGTGCACGGACAAAGACACTAGCTGATTCACGACATATCACTGTTCTTACTCGAGTACAACTCAACTTCCGCACTCATTCCTCTACGGTGATTCCAAAAGAAGAAGAAGAAAAGTGGTTCGAGGGTCTCGTTTTGCCGCTTGCGTTAAGTTCAGACGCCTCGTTCGTGCACAACTGGACTACCTCGCCCACAATTGACCGTGTAGGGATAAAGTTTCTTGAGTAAAGAGTTGAACGTGCTACAAATGGCTCCACGGAGCTCGGAGTTGAGCTGGGTATCTACTGGGTAGGTCCTAGTCATGTGCTCGGCGAAGTAGCCTGCTTCTCTACTGCCTTCCGAACCTCTTCGGCTGCACTCCATCCGTAGAGGAAATAGTCCTGATCACCGAGAACAAGTTTACCTATGGCATTGCACGAGTCGGCTGCCCGTCAGTTGGGTGAGGATGGAGAGTCACTTACCGACGAACTGAAACTTCCCAACCAGCCAGAGGAACAGGCACAACAGCAACTCGGCCCAGATGGTTTGCTTCATCTTCCCGGCATCGATCATTCTGGCCCGATCTGCCAGAGTCTTAACCCGCAATCTGCGGAGCTCATACAACGACTTCGAGCTCAGTACGATTGCGTCGGCCTCGGAGATGTCGCTACCTTCGCTGTAGGCCTTCTTAAGGTGGTGCGTGAGCAAGAATGAAAACGTCTGCGCATCCTCCAACGCCTGGCTTGCGCCTTGTCCAGTAGTCGGCTGCAGCGCATGTGCCGCATCGCCAATGAGTACGAGGCCATTCTCGCCCCAATGTGGAAGCTCTGGCGTTGTGAACACTGGATAGACCGAGTCAATCTCAATAGTGTTGATGATGTTCGAAATGACCGGATCTTTCCAGCCCTTGTGTCGTTCTGTCAGCTGCTGCTTGATCTCCTCAACGTCAAACCCTTTCTTCGCCGGCACCGCTTCTGTCTCAAAGGTCGACCATGCCATCATCCGATTCTTAGATGGCGAGTAGGGTGAGTAGCCGAAGAAGCCGTTGGCGCCAAAGGTAAAGACCATGGACCTGTCGTGTAAGACGTCTTCTGGGATTGGCATATCCAGGAAACCTCCGACTCCTGCAAGCTTCCTTTGAAATTGTCATTACCGGAGTCCAATACAGCTGGCTTGTTGGAAACATGTCAACCGGACGGCAAACGGGAAAACTCACTCATACTTCGGACTGAACCTTTCGTCCTCAGCATCAAAAACCCCTCTTTTCACCGCCGACCACACCCCATCCGCCCCGACTATAAGATCAGCTTCCTCCTCCGCACCGTCCTCGAACCGAACAAAAGGCCTGCCAAGCCCAGTCACTCCAGCGTCCACGACCTTCCGGTAAATTACCTTTCCGCCATCTTCAACCACCGCGTCCATCAAAACGCTCCACAACCCATGCCTCGAGCTGGCAACGCACCACTCCTCCCTTACCTCCTCGCCATCCGGCCTCTTGACGTTCTTATCACTCGTCGGCGTCTTGTGTAACTTCCAACCCCTCGAGGACCGGAAATCGAAGTTCTCGCACCGGAAGCCCTGCGTAGTGACTGCGGCATGTAGAGCAGGGGAGAGGGAATGCAGCACGCGCATGCCATTGGGGGAGATGCCGAGGCCGCCGCCTACGATGGCGGTTGAGGAGGAGAGCTCCGCGAAGCTGGAGTCTTGGATGGCGGCGGGGGTGCTGCGGGGTTTGTGGGCTTCGTAGATGGTTATGGTGTGCGGAGGCTGGGAGGATGGGGGTGAGGGGAGGTGCTTGCGGAGGTGGAGGTAGAGGCTCAGGCCGGAGATGCCGGCGCCGACTATTATGATTTTCATTATTATACAGAGTAGCCTGAATCTTGTGGGGTACAGGGGGTTAATTGCAGTGTGTAGGCGTTCCGCCTCTCAGAAGAAACCCCTTGAGGCTCTGAAGGGGCTCTGGAGGACAAGGTTTTGCGGCGCGCTCAAGGAGATCTGAGCCTTGGACTATCTGATATCCCATACTTGATTCTAGGCAGCCATTTATGGACGCATCTCCATCTTTATGCACATTTGCTGGCTATGGTATGGCTTGCGTGAGGACGCGTAGGTGGCCGGTCTGGATACGAGAGTCACGTGCGTCTTTGCGGAGTGCTGTGTAACCACGCCTGAGGAGCTTGATTTGGTGTGTTTGACACGGCCTTCCAGTTGAGCTGGAGTTGCGATATGGTAGTTGGCTCGTCTACGGTGGTTCTACCGCAGGGCTGAAGATACGCGCTTGAGGTTGAGTTCTTGAACTTGAATTGTACATTTAGTATCATCACATGAAACCATTACCTGCTGTGGTCCGTTGGTCCATCCACTCAAAATCTTTCTCGTATACTGCCTGATAGGTTGTTCGTCATACGGCCCCGAAGCCTTCTCTGGATTGTCTCCCGGAATAAAGCAGTTGCTTTGTAGCAAAGCATTATGGAACAGTCTCTGTCCGCAGTAGGTTCATCCCGCATGAGGCGATCAGTTGTTAGGCTGTGATTTTGTCAGTCAGTCTTGTGCAATCACCGCCTTGTTCTATGCCTTAGTCGAGTACGCCCGCGCCTATCAACACCTTCCTGTAAAAGTGTGGGGCCTGACAGGGTTACCCGCTCCGCCGTTTCAGACGAAATTCTCCGAGCGAGATTACATACGAGGTTCCGTGACGGACAAGCCGATGGGAGCATCAAACAAGACATCAGACGATCCATGCGCGGCCTTCCGCTGGCAAGCTCGTTTTACGCGCGGGCCGCACGCTGTTACAGGCTGTCAGCCACCTCGTGTTTACGAGTTTCCTCTTCTCTATAAGCGACACCATCTTCGCGGCCCGCACTTCGCGCCGCATTACTTACGGTAAGCGCCTGGCGCCTGCAGTTCTCCTGCATCCGAGCACGGACGACATGGCGAGAGGTGTTCGGAAATACATTTTTACCTTTTTCGACCACAAGGCTGACGTATCAAAACTATTTTGGCCCCACGAAGCTAATTTCCACACTCTCTAACCGCCATCCTTATCGATGAGGCCTGAAACAACGTGCAAAGCTCGTAAGACTTTCCAAAGATGGGAGCAAACGCAGACTCAGCCTCGTCTAATTGGCGGCGCTGCTTGAGAACACGCGCATACGGCACCGCCGAACTCTGTCAACAACGCGCCACCGTAAGCCCCCTGATGGACTGGTACTTCAGCTTGAGAGCCTGAAGGATTCAAATGCTTGCTAAGCACGAGATGTGAGCCTAAATGGACTCCGACTCTCGACACTTTGCAATCGGCGAGCCCTCATCTACTCTCCCGGACAATACCTCAAACCGCCAACATGACGAACCAGGCGCGCCATGTGGTACTCTTCTCTCTTCTCGCAATTCTCACAGTCCCAGGCTATGCGAACGACAAAGATACCCGCGAACGCAATAGGTTCAAACCACATGTCGGTAACTTTCCAATTCCTTTCCACGATGATCGTCTCGACGGCAAGGTTGCACAGATAGAAGCAAATCAAACTCTCAGAGAAAACCTTGACACGCTCTCGTGGTCCGCGTTCTACTATTGGGTTGACAACTTCGATCCGAACTCGACCTTCGAGGCCACCGAGCTTCAGGCCCTCGCGCGGAGAGACTTACCCGGGGATGACTTTCGGCATCACTCCAGTTTGCTTGAACAAGCCAACGCCACGTACTTTGAGCAGCTGAAAGGGTTCAGCTTCAACGAAACCGCACTTTTCAACGATAGTTTCGATGACTTGGCCATCAACTATGTGGACGCTGTTGAGAATTTCAGCATTTCAACATTCTACTACACCCTCGGCGCTTATATGGGAGTCGGAAAGAGTGTCGAGTGCAGCTCCCACATCAATGAAGTCCTCACAGTAACGGATGAGTGGGAGAAGCTTGGATCCTCAGCCGCTACCACTCTCATGGCCTTGCTTCCGACCTTTCTTGCCTTCGGTAACCTGTGAGTGAGTTCCCTTGCATCCGGGTTCTCCATGCTAACGTCAACTGCAGGTACGTTCCACGAAGTTCAGAAGCCTTTGCAACCAGCTGGCTTATCGGACTGGGAGCCGCTATCTACAGCTTTGGCCTTCCAGTTCGTTCCAAGAATGCAGTACCGAGCAAACGCGTTGTCCAATTGAGTAGCTTCGGCATTACTCTGTTGAACAGAATTGGATCCTACGGGACGGAAGAGTGCAAGGCCAGCTTGGATGAGTTGAAGCGCTGGACCCAGAGCACCGGCAGCGCTCAGTATGTTGAGCAGTTTGGCACAATAAGAGCGCACGTCGAGCTATTTGGGAAAAGGTGGCACTGGTGGTAGGAGAGATCGCTGTTCATCATGGACAACACTGTTGCTCACACGCTCGTAGGCACATACCAGCTGTCTTAATTGCTGCGGCGCAGGCGGCAATGTTCGCATGGGCGGTGCAGCCACTCCTTGCTGCACCGGGAGTTCCACGCTTCATGTTTGCGTGCGCCCATCGAAATTGGACAGGCTCATACTTGGCGATCTCTGCTGTTGTCAATGCCATCTTTCGCCTTCTTATGTGGCATGCCGCAGATCACGAAGTAGCTAAGGGTATGGCTGTAGCTGCAGCATTGGAAAGCAACGCGCTGACCATGACCGCAGTATTCTCCTTGTCAGGGAGCTCGAAAGACTCGCTTCAAGCGATGGTAGATCGCAACCCGACCGTCACGACCAACAAAAGGTCCGTCCCCATTCCGACCACTGCATCGAAGCTACCGCCGCTTTATCCTCCCTTCGTATCAAGCATTATTATGTTCTTCGGCAGAGCGCTCCCGCTGGGCTGGCTAGGTTGCGAGCCAGACGACCATCCCCTGCGAGGCACTATGAAAGACTTGATCAAGGCAAACTTCATCTTCCTGAGATCTGTCCTTACGAAGCCACTCGACTTGGTGAAATCCGGCTTCGCCACAACCAAATCTGCGCGGCGCTGGCGGCCGCTCGTCATCCTCATCCACTTGTCTACCGAAGGTCGTCCGCAATTGCGCACCCTGCTTACCGGCTTCGTCGAGGCAGCTTTGCTGCTAGTCTTGACGTTTTTCTTCGCCAGTCAGTGGGGAGGAAATCTATACATAACTACTTGGGCTATCGGTCTGCTGCTAGTCTTCATAACTCTCGGAAGAGCCCTGGCGCTGATATACGTCTATCTCAGCGCCCAAACATGGGGGCTCCACGTGATCAATTGTGATGACAGCGACGAAGTCCGGGGCTGTATGCGCATCATTTGCAGCATGCAAGAAGTGTTAGTCATTTGTAACGGGGCGTCCTACTTCAATGGTCACAGACTGGACTTCATTGGGGAGGACTTTAAGAGGTGGAAGGAGCAGTATGATCGGGGCGAGTTTGACGAAGAGGATTCGCTGGGTAGGAACGAGCCCCAGACTGTGCAAGCTGTGCACGTGGAACCGAAGACTGCGGGTTCGCCGCCGAGAGTCAGTTCGACGACGCAGGCTGGAGGGCGTGGCAGATCGAGTACACTCTCGCGCTCTTCGTCAGCCAGGCCGTCATTGCAGAGCAGAGGAAGCGACGCTAATGTGTGAGCGGCAACGGGCACACGAAGCACTGGATGACGGGCGAGGAAAGCTTTCGGGAGATGTCTATACGGCCGGAGCACGGCTGGTCGTGTTTGGGGCTGTGTATCCTGTGTGCACCTTCGATAGTAAGCCTGTCTGAGTTCCATTCATGATCTCGATGGATGGAAAATCAGTCGGCTGCTAGCTATGGTCCTGGACATGATCTCAGCGGGAGACAGGTAGAACACGACAGATACGGCAAATCCCTCACCGCAGGATTCATCGTAGTCCGAGGCTGGATTAGAAGCTACAATAACTTTTACGCCTCTATCACAACTTCTGTGACATCCTTAGGTGGAGTGGTCGTGCAGGAGGTGAAATACTCCTACGATCGGGACCCGCGCTTCCTGATATCATTCTCAAGCTGAACCTCATTCTGACTCTTACCCCTGACCTTCCCCAGATATCCGCACCCGCCGTCCGACCCGACTTCCATGTTGCTGCCCACCTAGGCTACTCTCTCATGTTCCAGCGATATTGCCGTCCTGTCCGTCCACAACCTGCTACAGATGGCACTACGACCATCTAGATCCGATGCAGCTCCATCACGCGCGAAGGGATTACGGAGTTTGACTCGTCGACAAATGCCTTTCGGCCAGCACTTCCTCCTTCAGCGCATCTAGCACGCGTTTAGATCGCAAATCCATACCATCGAGGACAGAGATTCTAGACGCTCCTGCCAGAAGCTGTCGTTTTTGACCCTGATGCGCCAGCACGCATTACTCGCCACGGCAGAGCGCATACATACTCCATCGAGGAGGACGAGGTTCGATCGCACAGCAGGTTAAGGCTTGGGGAGCACGGGTTGTATCGTGCGTGTGAAGGAGTACAACATGCAGCGGGTATGCCTAGGGCTATGACGCGCAGCTCAGCCGGGAACAAGCAGGACCGAGAAGTCACCAGGCAGGCAGCACGCCAGTTTGCGGAGTAGGCTGGTATTTCCGATGGTGGATCTTTCTTTGAGTATCGCTTGTTGCTGCGTCAGCCTCATATTGTACAACATTCCTCTGCGGCAGATGAGGCATGTAAGAGCCGCACCATCAACCAGATCTACCGCTCGATGGACAACAGTTGCCCTGTGGCAGGTGGGAGAAGGAGGAAGCTCATTGTAGCCGGTTGCGGAAACCTTGCCCTCTACAGTAGTCTGGACGGGGTGGGAGTCTGAAAGCGGAGGGCTTCTTTGTTTCCGCTATTCCTCCTCCGTCATGGACAAGCTTTGGTCTGCCGACGATGTTCTCCACATCGCCGGAACATTGACTTTATGTAGTCGTGCAAAGGCTCAAGTCCTTGCGCAGTAACCAGAACTAGACGTCGCCTGCCAAAATCATGCCTAGGTACCCGGCCTCAGGCATGCGCCGAAAATCCTGGGCCGCGACAGAAGCTAATGTGCCTGCACCTGGAAAGGCATTTGTTGGACATCGCGCGCCCTCTTTCAACGCGTGCGCGGTTGTAGATGGAAACCTTGAGGGTAAGTCACCGCGCTCATCACCGCCGCACCTAGACGCTGTTCGCTAAAACTTCGATGTCCAGATGTGTCTCTGGACTACTATCTATCCAAGAACAAATGGCTCACAATTCTCTTCATACCCGCCGCCTTCTCTTTTGTCTGCCCAACCGAAGTCCTAGCGTTCAACAACTGCATCGATGAGTTTACGGATCGGGGATGTTCCCTCGCATTCGTCTCGACGGACTCAAAGCACACGCTTTGGCAATGGCAGCACACGCCGCGGAATCAGGGCGGACTTGGCCCAGTTAGCGTGCCGCTGCTCAGTGATTCCAGCCACAAGATGTCGCGCGACTATGGCGTCTTGCTCGAAGACCAGGGCGTGACTCTGAGAGGCATGTTCCTACTGGATCAGAGGGGCATCATCCAACACGCAAGTAACCGCCATCCGAAATGAAACAATGGCGTCGTGCTGATCATTTTACCTCAGATTACAATCAACAACCTCTCCGTCGGGCGCAGCGTCCTCGAAACCCTCCGCCTGGTAGAAGCCTTCAAAGCAGCGGAAGAACACGGCGTCCTGTGCCCAGCGAACTGGCAAAAAGGCGGCGAAACGCTCCTCGAATCCCACGAAGATCAGCAAGAGCGACTCGACCGCGAGTTCGGCACCGGGGTAGTGAAGAATCTCGACCAGGAAACAGCACCCAAGCCAAGCGGCAACAGAGTCACCATCATGTCGCTTAGAGCGTCAACCGTATCACCATCTCATGGTCCCACATCCGCGCCAATGCAGAGCCTTTCGCCGACTTCAAGACCGACCTCAGCCCCGATCCAGTTCCCCTCGCCCACATCGCTGGGCCAGCGCCGCGGCCACCCCAAGGTTCTGACGCTCGAATTCGCGGACCCAATCTCAGCCAACAGTCTCGGTTCGAGGAACTCGCCAAATGACTATATTGCGACGCCGGAGGGCAGGAGCCCGACTGATACGCTGCCTGAGGATGCGCAGCCGAGTCCAAGCGCGTTGGTAGCGGCGTTCAAGAGGTTGAGCGGGAGGGATACACCGCTTGGGGCGCCGAAGGATGTGATGGGGCATAGGAGGGTGGATAGTGCGAATACGAAGGGGTATTTTGGGTAGATTCACCGAGGTTGAACGTGGATATGGGATAATGTCGTATTTCTTGTTTTTTGGGGGTTCGGTAATAGTGAGGTCTACATGAGGAGTCGATAGAATATGGATATCGAAAATGACTTCGTGCACTTGCAGCAACGTTTCCAAAACACAACAATACGAACGAGAAATCTGCTCAGGTTCCAATGCTTGAGAACGGGGCTCATCCGAATGGAAGAAAGCCCGATTGGCTAGAACTCCGTGCATTCCCCTCGGTTCGGATCTGAAAAGATGGCAAGTGCGCATTGTTTCCGCTGTAAGGCACAGCGACACAACAGGCGCCACGGTGATTTCAAGGGGCACATCATGGCGTCTGACCATCCATTCTGAATTGAAAGGCTGCCGAATGCGGTCCCAGAAAGATGAGACAAACACTAGCGCTTTAACATTTCAGCCGCGCAGTTACGGATGAGGCAAAGGGTGAAGAGAGTAACCTGGACAATTGCTTTGCGGCTGAGGACAAGTATTGTGTAGGATGCCGCACAGAGTCATCCTTGCGTGTACGGAGGGAGTCATCTGTGCGCCTTTTTCTTTCTTGGACTGAAAAAGGTGGGCTTGTAACAGATAGGAAAGACATGCTTGATAACGAAGCTGGCTAGACACAATCATGAAGATGAGTATGCTGCCCAGATGGTGGTACAGCCAGAGGGCATGAGTCGGATGAACTGTATTTCAAAACACCTTCAGACTCAGCCTCCTGGTGCACCCAGAAGGTCTGCTACTCATGAAAAACAGACGTTGGCGAAGTCCGAATGTTTTGAGAAGCTGAAGCCGTGCTTCAATCGGCAGGCTTTGTTTGGCAAATCACGTGACGAAGCGGAAGCCGAGCCATGTTCTCCTACTGCGCCTGGGCATCTCGGCCTCTCTCCAAGCTGCCCCTGGATCGAAATCACATCACATCTGTCAGGTTGCCGCACGTCGCACCGATCTCCCCGGACTCCAGACTCTCTCGACGTTCCCATTCTGGTCCTGCGTCAGCAAGATGGAGGAGTTGCACGACTTGGAGGCGTTGCGCCGGGAGAATCGTGTGGGGAGCCGAGAGTCCGCGTCGGCCCTCTTGACATGCATTAGATCAGAGCCAAGGGCCGCGACATCTTTCTCAAATCGATTCTCCACGGTGCGAGAGGCTGGGGTGGCGTCCGTTGAACCTGAAGATGGGGTGATCCAACCCGCTTGGAGCGAATGTACAGGCTCTGATTAATGGAGACCCTCAACGGCATCAGGTCCCATTCACCAATCTCAACAGCCTGAGCCGAAACCACATACGCAATTACGACTTTGCAACCCACTCAATCCCTGTAGAGCACTATTGGGACTACCAAGAATAACCTTACTGCTACACAGAGCAAGCCAGTTCGGGCAAGCAGCTGAAGAAAGGATCTGGTGAATTCAAGCTTTTGCAGAAACAGCGCTAGGGTCAAACGCAGTCGTCAGATTGGCGGAAGTGCTCAGGAACGTGGCACATCCGCGCATCTCCCATGGGTCGAGCCACCCAGGGACAAACAGCTCGCATGGAGGGTTACGAGTGCCGACAGCCTGAACCTCCGAGTGTAACTGACACCGTAAACAGCGGAAGTTATCATCCATGATCCACGATTGGCATCACATTGACGGCCATTGGCAGCGAAGACAACAAGTCTCTGTAGAGTCTGTCATATCGAGTCTCCGGCCATCAGTGCTTTCTCCAACAGGACCGGGAACTCGGAGAGCTTGAGCGCGACCCGGCCTCCAAGCATCTTTCGTCTCTCTTTCGGCAGCTAAGCATCCCTGAGCCGCGTCAACGAACGGCACTAGTGCTCGGAGGTAGACATGCTGCTGGGCCATGATGACGTCCCTGTCTGTCTGGCATCTGCCGTTCCGCTGTCCAACCTGTCACTTGCATTGAGGCGGATTGGAGGGAAAGCCCACCGGAAGCCGCTCCCCAGAACGACCAAACACATCGCTCGTGGGGCCGAGACCTGCAGGACTAGCATCGGTGAATGCTCTATGCAGGTCCGTTGGTTATAAGAGCGGCTCTCCTCCAATATCAATTTGTACCATCAAGCATCACTTGAAGTCCTTCACTCTTCAACTCAACCCAACCGCTTCTCGCCCAAGCCTCTCGCTCAGCCAGTCAACTATCCATTCCTCAAACAAAAGTCGTTCAAGATGAAGTTCTCCATTTTCTCCCTCGCCGCCTTCGCCGGCACTGTCCTCGCGCAGAATGCCTCCTCCATCAACTTCTGCCAGGTCACAAATCTCGAGCAGTATATCAACCTCGCGCCCACTTGCGCCCACTACTGCGAGCGCCTTGCTCTGACCACCGACGGCTGCGGCGCGGACGACTTCCTCTGCCACTGCGGTGCCGCGTGGGAAGTTGCCGAGGTTATCCAGGCGTGCATCTTCAACCCGGCAACCTCAAACTGCACCACTGCCGAGATTGACCAGTTCGGCGCCATCTACTACGGCCTCTGCGGCTTCTGGAACTCCACCTCCGCGAACGCTTCGGCTTCTGCTTTCGCCTGCGGTGCTGGTGGCTGCGCGCCTTCCACCTCCGTCTCGACTGCCACCGTCTCTGTCCCAGTGACCGTCACTGAGGTCCACACCACGACTGCATACGCTGCCCAGTTCACTAGGGCTTGGGGCGGAGGCAGGGGCGGCTGGAAGTACTATCACGACTAGACGACACCACTGAATGATGACGACGGCAGGCGGTTCACTGGGGGCATGTGATCCGGGTTCATAGGCCAAGAGTACGGAATGTGGTCATAGAGGTTCTCTCACATCGTCTCCGGTGGTTCGTCTTTCGGAGTTTGGGACTCGACGCTTGTCGGCCATGGCTGACGGTTTGGCGCGCGGGATGGCATAATGTGTTCTGGATATTGGGGCGACGCTTGACGCTTGATGCATGTATATACTTATGTGCCAACAGAATGAGCTTGCATGCATGAATCAAGAACTGTTCGACATAATCTGTACCTGAGCATCTAAGGTGATTAATCGACTCACTAATCTTCGAACCCCTTGATGTTAAGATTGCATCATTCCCACTCATGGTGGCTGTCACTGTTGAGCAGTGTTCTCGTATGACCATTGTGAACGTCGCTGCCAAGGTTGACTTGGGGGTGTTGGGCGATGGTGTTGTGACCAGCCGTCGGGGTTGCCGCTTAGGCCTTTCAATCCCATGGCGGCATTAGATTTGTTCAACGACAATGGCGCAACTGTTAGGGCTTCGCAAACCTGTTTTGTAGAGCTCTCTAGCTAGATACCAGCCCTGCTGAAGCTTGTTTCGACCGCCCGGCTGCCATGCCGTGAGCTCGGCGGGGAGGGTGAATGCGATGGTCCCTCTGACACCTGAGGCCGCTTAGCTGTTCACTTCCACATCCACACGCCGGCCTATCTAAGACCTACGCTGTGGAGAACACCGTCAACTTGAGATGCCACCGACCAAGCAATGTCAGTGGAGTCCGCGTGTTCAACAAAGCTTATACAATGTCGCTGACCCGCATCTTGCATAGACGGACCGTTCTACAACTCCCAAGTATCACCGCAGCAGCACATGCAGATAGCTCGCAGCCCGTTTCCAACCTCTGAATAGTGTTCAATCCGCAGTTGCTGAGTCACGCAGCCCCGAAATTGCAGCTTGCACCAGGTCATCCTCCATGTCCGCCTCGCGACCAGTGAACGCGCCCAGCGAACCTCCAACCCCAGAGGCAGCTCTTCCCAGGCGCAGACGGCCGAGAAAGCTCAACCGCGAGCCCGTGTCCCGTCGACCCGAGTCTGCTGGCGGCGTTGCTCTACCTTCAACCTCGCCCTCCCCTCCTCTACCTACACCTACACCTCCCACAGAATCCCCGGCGCTGCTTCCCACAACGCCTACGCCTCGTCGACAGCCGAGAAAGCTGAATCGCCCAGCTGCCGCTGCACAATGCCCATCACCGAGTGGTCCTGAGCCGACGCAGTCACAGCAGCAGAGCAATGGCGGCGTGCCGGCGGACGATGAGCTGGAAGCGCTCAAGAACAGAGTGAAAGAGCTAGAGGCGCAGGTGCAGGAGCTCTATACTCGGCCGGTCGTGCCCAAACCTCCGCGAAAGCGAGGGCAAGGGCGGAAGAAGCAGGAAGCCGAAGAATTGCAGCGGTTGCAAGAGGAGCTGGAGGCTGCACGGAAAGAGTTAGAGGCTGTGAGACTAGTCGGACACGGCACGCCGAAAGGCACGTCGAAGTCAAAGGCCGATGAACCTGCGCAGGGCGAGTCTCAGCAACCTGGGGCAGTCGCTGAGGCACGGGAGGACGAAGAAAGCGATGACGACGCGGAAACCATCCTTCGATCCAGCCCCCCAGCAATCTCACCGCAATCCGACCGCGAAGCGACTCTAAGCGGCAGCTACAGTGTCCGCCTCCCGCCGAGCCTGAGCATGAACGACGTTCGTGCAATACAAAACGGTGTCACGTCCGCCGGTAACATCGCAAGGACTCTTGCGGCCGAGTACAACGCATGGCAGACCACGCAGTCAGCTGATCGGGGGAGCTGGAGTCAATGGTTCGGCAGTTGCAGTGCATCTATCGCGCGTATCGCCAACGAAGTCCAGGGAGAGGCCTTCGTGGAGTGGAAGGCGCGGCAGCAGTCTGGAGGAGAGGTACACGAAGCAGCAACGCCGATGGACACAAGTCGCGCCTTAGTTGGCACAAGAAACATTGCGGCAAACTCAGCGGCGAGAAGGCCTGCGCTGAAGGCTAGGACGTCCACTTCAACCACAACATCCTCAGTGCTAGAAGCGTTGCTCAAGTAATGTTGTCCGCAACCATAGACAATTTATCACGATCATCTCACGCCTAGTTTAGCAGAGACTGCAAGCGTAACGTCATATGTTTATGCGTCACCGTCCAGCCGTGTACTCATTGAGAGCTAACATGCGAACAGCACAGTCAAAGAGCGACATCCATTCAAAACAGACAAAGACGAAACGAGTGATGCGGGTCACATGATGACATGGCCTTGTACTTGTTGATGTCCTCCACTAGTACCGAAAGTTTTCAAAGGAGTGGCACCCTCATTCCCAGCGTCCAACCTATCCTCCGCCTCCGACCGTATTCTCATACTGCCGGTGAGAGCCCTATGAGCCGAGGGTGAGCGAGCGTCAGCTCCGCCTAGACCTCGATGACGGCATTGCCCAGGCAGACTTGAACGCTCTGTAGTCGCGGATTAGCGATAGATCAGAGCACTGGAACACGGACAGTCATGCAGAACACTGCGAATAGGGTCCGGAAATTGACTCACGTTGTTAGCGTTGCAGCAAACCGTGGTCTGCGAGCACGTGGAAGCGCCTGTTAGGGACTTGCAGGTAGTGTATCTGCCCGCATTGTCCGTGTTGCAGCAGAAGGGCGTGCTGCCGCTGCCGCACTGGTTGCCCTGGTTCACGTTGGTCTGGGTTGGCTTGGGCGGCTTGGTCGGCTTGGTCTGCGTGGTGCGTTGAGTGGTGCTCGACGTCTGGGTCGCGCTGTTCGTCGTCTGGCTGTTGGTTGCGGGGTTCGTGGTGGTAGTCAGGGTGGAGGATGTCCTCGTGCTGGAGCTGGAGCTGGAAGAAGTTGAGTCTCTCCTAGTGCTGGAAGAAGTTTTGGTATTGGTGTTGGTGTTGGTATTGGTATTGGTATTGGTATTGGTGGCGGAACTAGTAGTCTTTGTCTGAGTTTTGGTCTTGGTCGTAGTCTCAGTAGTCCTGCTAGGGGACTGAGTCGAAGATGTTCTGGTGTTGGTGTTGGTGTTGGTGTTGGTATTGGTATTGGTGTCGGTGTTAGTATTAGTAGTACTCGTCTGAGTCTTGGTCTTGGTCTTGGTCTTGGTCGTAGTGTCAGTAGTCCTGCTGGGAGACTGAGTTGAAGACGTTCTTGTCTGGGTAGTAGAGGCGGAGTCGGTGGTCTTCGTCTGAGTTTTGGTCTTGGTCGTAGTCTCAGTTGTCGTCCTAGTGTTTGACTGAGTCTGTGAAGTCTTTGTGTTGTTATCGTCGTCGTCGTCAGACTCGGAGTCGTCATCGGAGGACGCATCACCATCGTCAGACTGGCTCTCGTCGTCGGAAGAATTCTCGCCATCAGTGCGCTTCTTCAGGGATCTAGCTTTCTTGTCATCCTTCTTTTTATCGTCATCGTCGTCATCAGAGTCAGAATCGGAGTCAGAGCCATCCTTGTCGTTGTCCTTCTTCTTCTTGTCGTCATCTGAATCTGAGTCGTCGTTGCGCCTCATAAGAAGCTTGGGGTGCTTCTTCTTGTCCTTCTTGTCGTCATCTGAGTCGGAATCAGAGTCGGAATCCGAGTCGCTGTCATCATCACGCTTGGTGAGAAATTTCGCAAAGCCGCCGTACTTCTGGCCGGTGTACTCTGTGCTCAAGTCCCTGGCGTAGTGGCCGTTGTCGTCACGGGCGATGAACTTTGGGAAGGCAGCGACTAGGCCAATGCTAAGAAGCACAGCAAGCCACAGTTGGGTGATCCTCATGATTGATGAATGAGTTGCGTGATACTAACGATTGACAAAGACTAGCCAGTGAACGATGGTGATGAGACAACTCCTGAGCTCGGGTTCTCAAAGACACAGCTGGCCCGATGCGTGGAAAGAGGCGAAGGAGGTCGGACCCTTTATAGGCGGAGGCCTTACTCCTCTCTGTGTGCTTCGGGGAAACCTTGCAAGATTATGTGCCAGGCGTGGTCGAGTACTAGCGACATCGCGGCCGCAGCGATGTCTATGCCAGCATCTGCCAGACAGGAGCACAGGTTAGAAACTTGATTTACCATCCAGTTCGTGCGGAGATCCTGAAAGGAACCGAGCCGATTACTACACTGAAACCAGCTCGGAAAGTCTATCGTGATCTTCTCTTTAGCTTCCGTCACTCTGCCCAAGAATGGGTGGATATATCGCCCAACATCTTGGGAGTACCCTTGCTAGTTGTTTGTGATTACACCGGATATCTCGATCCCGCATTTTTCCTTCAGTGGCGGACGCAAAGCCGACTTTCAGCCCAGAGAACTCTATGGTCCAGCCCCTTAGACGTCCTCTCAGCTTGTAGGTCAGCGGCAAGGTAGAACGCTGATGCAGATACTAGCTACAAGGCACATGACGAGACAGTGAGCCTTCTACGGCTTTGCCGCTCGACCGTGGTACCATTTGAACTTGATGATTTGCCGCCAGTTCTCGTGCTGATGCGTGAGATCGCTGGGAACGCGTGCAATTAAGGTTCTGGGACACGTCATGTCAGGACCCGTGTAGACATCCACGGATGCGTATCGGGCACGCCTCGACGGCCGCTGATGCCGCCTGGGCTAAAAGCATGCTGCATGCTTTTCTTGGACAACAAGGGTAGATGCAAAGTAAGCTCGGAGCTGCCTTCTATCATGGATACCGCAGCGGCAACGCAGAATGCGCCCTCTTGCGGCCGTTGCAGATCTCGACCATCAACTATCGGGGAAGCGGCGTGGAACAAGACGGCACCATGTCCAATGGGCTGAGCCGAAGCCGTTTAGATTTCGGTACGCTACGAATATCATCGGGACCTACCCAAGCAGCCGGGACCCCCGCATGCGTGAAAGTACTTAGTACATAGCGCCATAGATGGCGAACTTTAAACCTCGATCCGGGGAATTGCACCTCGACTACAAGGATTCCCCAGCTTCCCTGACGTCGATCCCGACTTTGGCATGGCTCTAACACAACTTCATCCAACACCACTGCCCAGAATCAGGAGATAGTGCTTCCCCTTGCCAGAACTGGATTGGACTGAAATGCACTCGATAAGGAGGGTGCAGTAGCTCAGTCGATAGCGGCAAAGAGCCTCATTACTACCGTCGTAAGCTTTGCCATTCCTGCCACTCCCAACTCTTCATCCAACCGCGGCCGATCCGGAAATCCAAACACGCTACTCATCTGATCGCTCTCACTCTACTGGAGACGACGAAAGTCGCAGTGTGTCGAGTAGAAAGAATGCGGCAACGGCTGACTGACTCGTAGACCAAACGAATTACTCCACGAGGACTGTCCTCGATGCGACCGCTGCATGAGCGGAAACGGTACCCGTTGCAAGGAACAAGCCGTTCCCTGCGTTCAGGAACCTGTAAGCCGTACCTTGTTCTTGCGCGTGGAGTCCGAACAATTCTTCGCCTTCCCTGCCACCGTGGGGCGCTCTGAGCTGGCAGTTGCTCTACTGAAGTGCGCTACTATTTCCGCACATGAGCTCCTCAATCAGTGATCTATATCCGCGATGATGAGGTCTCTTCATCACAGCGGTCCCGGTTGCACCGTCAGAAGCGCAGTATAGACCGCTGTGATCCGGTAATTTCAAGCGTGAAACCATATCGAGTATTATTTCAGCTGTCTCACAGTCAACCTTGCATCACGCGGTAGAGCCCTCTGGCCCAGAGATTTTGCCCCACAGATCAACAGTCGCCTTGCAGCTTCGCGCCGTCTCGTTTATTGCCTAGGTATTCTTCCGGGTCAATCTGTCCGCAAGCCGCATCATGCAAGTTGCGTCTCATACCCCATATTCCAAGTTGCCTTGCCACTGACCTGTAACCTCTCTTTCCTACAGCAAGATCGACGATCCTCTTCAGATTTTAGAAGCTTCATCGGCCAGGGCTGTATCATTCCACCGGCTTGCACCCTGTTCCCTACTCATTTAGGCTTTATCGAATACCGCCACTCTCCGGTTGGGGTCACTATCGCTGCTACTCCTTGCGTCAACGCAACCCCACCATTATACCACTGTGGTGCCTGGCTCATCTGGTGTATCATTCGGCAGGATCGTGACAAATGTTGTGCTCCGGGCGTTGTCTGCATGGCCCAAGGACGTGCTTGATCTTTACTCGCAGCTGGTCCTAGCGTGGCGACGTCGTATTCGTGACTACGGAAGCGATGGCCAATAATGCCAGCTGAGTGATCATCTATATACACCAGAGCACGGCAACTTTCGCCGCCCATGCACCCAGACCGTATGCCCGACTCTTGTTTGATGGCGAAGAGGTGCTCCATTCGACCCCCGCTACGCCGAAGACGTGGTCCGATCAACTGCAGCTCCTTGTAAGCGGTCTTCGTGACACAGCTGAGCATCTTGCGGGCTGCTGTGCGTTGTCCCTCACATGCCGCTCGAGAGACTGACCGAGAAACAGGCGTGCCCTAGGCCCCTTTACTCCCAAGAATCAACAGAGTCAAGTCTAGAGCCGTGCCCTGAGATGTCTCCGCAGTGGGCATCTCGAACTACACCACCAGAGATCTAGGATTTTCGCGATCATTCGAACCTGTCGATCATCATGGGTCTTCTTCTTCCAGACGCTGCTTCTCCACAGTCGCTCGCAGCCTTCTCATTCTCGCTTCGTATCTAAGGTGTAGCAGACAACGCGATTACAAAAGCACATGACACAAAATCACCTACTCCGCCCGCAGCACACAGCGTAGCACTTGGTGTAAAGACTAGCAGCCGCTTCCTAGCGCCTGTCTCGTGTTCCCGCTTCTGCACGATTTGTACTCCACAAAACACAATCATGGAAACGCCTCCTTCCGTTGCTTCGACGTGCATATATAGAGACAGGTCCTTACGCTCCATAGACGTAGCCCTATCGAAGGACCTGCCGTGGCGACGTGTCCGTCCGGACCCGCGAAGCGTTTCACCTATCGTAGAACTTGCTTCCGCGGGACTGCCCCAAATCCATGAAACGCCCTAGCCTACTAGGACTCGCTGTGGCACGGGCCAGCGGAATGCGCAAGGTGCGGCAACAGGTCAGGACCGTCAGAGGAAAGATGAGCTCCGTACCGTGTGGTGGCAGGCCGCAGGCGCGGATATGGGGCCCTTGAAGCCCCTTGGCACTACAGTTTGGCCTTGACAGAAAGATATCATGTCAAGATTGTATCCCTTGCGGTATCTAGCGTTTAACTTCGATAACCTACACTTCACTGTCGATGGGACCTCCTATCAACAGCACTGAATTCCGGCATGTCATGACGTACTCTGATACCTTCGTCGATTGGGCAAGCTCTGGAGAACGAACGCATGTGTTCGCAATCCTTGTGATCTCATGTCGGACGAAAAACTCACTGGATAGGGATCGCAGGCGAGCATAGTGGGGCTGGTCAAAGCCCGGGCCGATGTGACAGAAATCACAAGAGCATGATTATCGTGGGAATGACTTGCACAATGTGACGGCTCTTGGTTTTAAGTAAACATTAAATCAAGCATCCACCCATAAGATTGCATCACCAAAGCCATTCGGGAAGCTTGTAGCTCAACTAGAGTCTAAAAACGAGTGGTGCAGATCATTCCATTCAGCGTGAAGAGCGGCTGTACCGAGACAACTGCTGCCGCCATAAGCAACCTCATCAGGTGATCCTAAAGGAAACGTAATGCAATCTCCAGAGATGCAAGCGCCGTGAGCGGACCGGAAAGCGGCTGCTTTCAGGTGAGAAACCATAGGGTTCCGCACGCGGCACCTCATCCCAATAGTCCTGCAAGCGCGACAGAACTGTGTCAGTGAAGTGGACGGTGCGTTGTTTTGGTGATGATCCAAAAGTCACCAGTGTGTCTTCGCCAAAGGAGCCTGGGTGACTATGTAAAGCGCGGCGCAGGACGAAGAAGCGGGCTTGATTGACAGTCATCCAGGTCCCGACGGGTAGATGTTTGTCCTCGTTGCTGACCTTGCTACGTCTCGCGTCCGTCTCCGTGGGGGGGAAAGATATGATCGGACACTGCTCCGTGGCTGTTGAGGTGCAGGTCGTCCAGCTTAAGCAGCTTTTATTACGGTTTCCAACCATGCAAGGTGACTTCAGATCCAGGAACCGTGAAATCCGTTTTCTGTTTCGCTGCGCTAGTAAGTCGTCGGATCGCTTCTGCCAAGTGTCGAACATCGAAAGCAAAAGGCGCGAGATCGGGGGGGACAGGCGCGAAGATCAGATGTTCTTCTTGTCGCATCCTGGTGGCAAGACGGCTCTCTGGGTCACACAGGGCCATCGGAACAATGGCCACCATAGAAGGGGTTGTAGGAAAGCCTAGCAACATATACGCGGTCTGCACCAGCTCTTGGACAGTCAACGTCGGGAGAACCATGCGAAAGCGATTTTCATTCGGTCAGTCATCAGCTTCCCACCAGCCCATGGCTTTGATATATCCGGCCAACCACGCCCGTTCATTCGCCCGTCCGGAGGCCGCCTTCAGCTTTTCGGGCCAAGAATGGTGATCCGGATCAGGTTGAACTGCCTCGCCGCAGTACAGAACCATGTCGAACGCGGCGGAAACTTTACAACGGACGACGCCTCCGACAGAGGCGAGCAGCTGAAACATGAGGGCTTTATGGAGGCGGCCAACAGGCTGACCTTGGGCCATGGTCGTGGAAGGTTGCGCCTCTGCAGGCTTGTCTCGTGGCTCGTCCTGGGCGTCCATGGCGCAGGACAGTGAAATCTTGACCGCGTTATGGATGCACAGAGACGGCTGGTGTCAAAGAGAATCTAGATCTGAAGAGCCGGAAGTGGAAGATAGGGAAAGAAAGGTGTGAGTGGAGAGAGGATGAAAGACTTGATAGAAAGATTATTCTCTGTGAAGCTCAAAATCTCGGCATGCTGTGAATCGACCGAGGGCCGCTACATGCAAGACAGATGCCGCCTGTCATCCTGTTGAAACGATTCAGCTGCCGACGTGCGCCAATGCATCAGATTTATACCGGGTACCACACTGGCTAGCAGAGGTAAGGGCATCATGACAAGAGGGATGGGTATCCTGCGTCTGCTCGTCGAAACCAAAACCGACTGTGGGTGTACCGCTAAATGCCAACATGGGTGTATGAAGCCAGCCAAAGCAGGGGATCACCCAGACATACTGGTAGCATCGAATTGGAAGCACAGTTGTACAAAATAGGCCGAGATGCAAAGATGACATGATACAGCGCGCTTCCCAAACGTTTGACGATGCACAGGAGTGGCGGTACTGTGCAGTCAGAAAGGCCTCCAGACGTGGGAAGCCGCTAGCGGCCTGTTCTGTGTATGAGTAGTTGAGACACCTCCTCCGCCGACCGTTCTTCACAATCATCACTCGCGATCAAGTGTCCTGCGCCTCCCTACTATAACCATGAACAATCCTGGGGTATACCTCCGAACGCCGTCCGGCCAAAATGACCTGCCAATCCTCCGACCTCTTGCCTCTACCCTTGATACATCCTCGTCTGCTCGCGGTGTTCCCCTCGTCCACCGACATTCTTCTCAATCTTTCTTCTATTATTTTCGGCCGCTGGTCTTTCCCTGTCCTCCTCTTCCTCCCGCAACTCGTCATCAATATCCTTCCTCAACTGCATGAAGCGCTTCGGCAACTGCCCCATTTCAATGCTGGGCGAGCCCTTCCAGTACCTCAGATTCGTCAGCACTTTCGCAACCAGCTTCTTCAATTCGGCATTGTTGTTCCTATTCACGTGTCGGTTCACACCATTGTTGTGCAGCGACGGATAAAGCTTCCCGTCCCCATTGGCTTCCCCCTCAAACGCCTGTCGATAGGGCACGTGCATCGGCAGCTCGTCCATCAGTTCTGCTCCGACACACAGCGCGGTCTCGTGACACCACGCTCGGGCCACATTCCTTGGCGTGTAGCCGCCACCGCCAACCAGCAGCAGTGGACGACCGGTCTTCTTGACGAACTCGACGCAGAATCCGTGAGTACGGATATTGAGATTGAACTTGCCGAGTCGATCTCCGCCGAGCGAGTCGGCGCCGCATTGGAGGACAATGGCGCCGGGATTGTACTGCTCGATTACGGGGCCGGTGATCATCTCGAAGAGCCATTCGTACTGCTGGTCATCTATACCGTCTTCAAGAGGCACGTTGAGGCTATAGCGTGCGCCCGGGTTGTCGGGCTCAGCCGGTCCGTTTTCATCCACGCCGCCGGTTCCGGGGAAGAAGTCGTTGCCGGCGTACTTGTGGTAGGAAAGCGTCAAGACGCGGTCAGTTGAGTGGAAGGCATCCTGGACACCATCGCCATGGTGGACGTCTATGTCTATGTAGAGGACTCGCTGATGGACTTTGAGTAAGTGGAGAATTGCCAACACAATGTCGTTCAGATAGCAGAACCCGGATGCCCTGCTCTTCCCGGCGTGGTGGAGACCGCCAGACCAGTTGATGGCGATGTCGGACTGGCCGTTCACGAGTCGTTCCGCGGCGTGGATGGATGCGCCGCTGTATAGACGCGCGTAGTCCCACATGCCGTCGAAGGCGGGGCAGTCGTTGCTCTCGCCGCCAAAGTTGAACTTCCCGGCTGCCTTTTCCTTCTCTAAGAGGTTTGTTGGGGTCACTCTGTGTGTATGCGGTCAGTGGTGTCGCTTTTGACGAACATGCAATCGGGTCTTACTCTGCTAGAAAATCGAGGTACTCGCGGTCGTGGAAGAGGGCCAGTTCATCCGATGTGGCCATCCTGGTCTTGTACATATCCATGGCATATTCAAGGCCGTATGACAGTATCAGTTGCTTGGTAAGTTGCAGTCTCCAGGGCTTCATCGGGTGCGATCGTCCGAAATGATGCTCTTCGACCTTGGCATTGTAGTGGAAGGAGACTATGTAATCTCGAGGTCTTTCTATGCCATTCGCGTCGGCTTCTTCCTCGATGACCTTGGCCTTTGCGGCTGGAGTCATCCCCTTGTATACCGCATACCGGTGGGAGGCGGTTCGCGTGCGGAGCGCTGGGGGCGGACTGTATTCTTGGACGATGTCGCCCATCTTGAAGTCTATCTGGCAGATCCCTTGTAAGATCTCGCAGACGCCTCTTGATCCTTATGGAGGCTGAGTGGGTTGTGCGAGAGTCATACTGCTCTACGTGGCTTTGTTGCGTGATGAAGTTCGAGGTTCGAGGTTCAGGTCGCCGGCTACAGTTTAGCGCCGCGTAGGATCTGCACCTGGGCACAGCTGCATGCAGGGGAGTTCGCGCCATCGCCACAGGGGCGGTGCCAAAATGCAGGTTGCCGCACCTCTCGGCCCATATCACGCGTGAGAAACAGCAACCTTCATTCCACCTCGCACTTGGCCGCCACCGAAGTGGAGGCGACTCACGTGATCTGCCTGCCGCTGAGCGGACGTGAACAACACCAGAACACTAGACGAGCCTTGGAGTCCAGGAATGATGACAGATCCACGCTGACCCTTCGCCTTTGCCAACACTTCGAACCGAATCTCGCATGCCTTTGGAGCATGACCTTATTCCGTCGATCGCAGGCGAACTCTATCAAGCCAAACACTCAACATGGCCCTCGCCGAAGATGCAGCAACCGTGCTTGAGCAGTTCGTCCACGATGGTTTGGCTATCCCGTATACCTTGACGAACCTAGTACTCACAACAAAGCAGTTGCAAATCTCCCCGCCGAAATAGTGCATCTGTATGAAGAGATGCAGGCGAAGCAGCAGCTCATACACCAATCCCTGGCTTTGATCAATACCCGCGACAGCAGCATGCAGAAATTCATCAAGCTCAACGGCGGGCTCGTCAAGAATCCCAAGGAAGAGGCTTATGAAACGGTCATCAAGAACCACTATGACCGCGCTCAACTGCTGCAAGAAGAGAAGATCGGGCTGGCAGAGAAGGCCTTCGCCCTCGTACGTCTGACTGATCACGTGATCTGGTTTTCGGAGCCCCGGCTAACAGATCACGCAGCTTGAGAGACATGTCAAGCGCCTAGACATCAAGATGCGTGATCTGCAGAATGATGGTTCTATGCCACTGGACCCATCTCTTCCCTCTCTCCTGCGCGAATCGTCAGGCAACCTCGTCCCTCCACTCTCCAACAGCAACACAGGCGTCAGCACGCCACTACACCCCCTCTCCCTAAATGTTACAACAGGCGGTGCCGCCAACATCGCCAACGCTGCCATCGCCCGTCTCACCTCTGGCAACCGAGCCGCCTCTGCAGGCACACTGGGCATGCAGCCACACCCCCTACTCAATCACTCCACTCCAGCAGGCAGCGCTCGACAGCGCGAGCAGTCCGTTGCAAGCGACAGCGCCAACAAACGCCGGCGCCTGAACATGTCTCTAGGGAACCTCCCGGCCACCTCATCTAACCTAGCCCGGCAATCATCCTTGGGACCCGGCACGCCCAAAGCCTCAACGCCAGGGAGTCGACAGGGCAGTGCCGGACCAGCTGCGCGGCCCAGAAAGGCGGGGAAGAGGGTTGCGCCACATGAAAAAGCCTCAGCTGCTGCGGATGCCACGAGGAAGAAAGTCAGCAAGCACTCTATCTCGAAGAAGTCCCGCCGCCGCATCCTCAACTCTTCGAAAGCTTCCCCAACACCCACGACGACTACGGCTGGGGATGAGGACTCCCTTATCAGCGAGACTGCTGGTACTGATGACGAGGATGCCAACGTGTCGGCTGCGGATGGAGTGGAGGGCGATGAAGGGGAAGAGGAGTCTGACGACACGAAGTATTGTTTCTGCCAGAGCGTGAGCTACGGGGACATGGTGGCTTGCGACAATGATGACTGCGAGTATCAGTGGTTTCATTGGGGTTGCGTGGGGATCCAGAGTGAGCCGATGGGCGATTGGCTCTGTCCGGCTTGTAGGAAGTTGCCGAGAAGCCAGATCAAGAAGAGCAAGTAGGCGGTGGGAGGCGTCATCCGATCAGTCATGGTGATCACGGTTAACGGCGTTCGGAAGGGGTTATTTGGGGACATGCATGCTCTGTTGTATTATATATCCTTCTACCTTATAAGACGCATCAGAAGAGCGAACAAGCCACGACCTCTGGCTGTGTTAGGTCCTGATACAGAATTTGGTCCAAGTTTTCTCAAGCGTCTATAGCATCTCCTCAGGATCGTAGGCTCGGACTTTCCGCATTCCACCTTCTGCCTTCTACCCTACCTTACAGAGTTCATGTAGACCAATCCAGCTGCTAGAACTTCATGCTCGAGACGACGGTACGAGTCTGCGAGTCAGTCAGTCAGTCAGTCAACGCGGACGCAGCTTACTGCTCTGAGATGGCGTGCGCTGGGGCATGGGTGGGCAGTAGGAACTTGGGCCGGTGGTAGAAAGCGCTCAACAAAGGATTGCGCAGGCCCTCAGCTGCCTTGCAAGTGATGCTACCAAATGCTCAGCCTTCTGTGGGCTCACGATCCTGCAGCTACTCGTTTGTACCTCGGTGGTAAGAGTTGTGTCTGCGAATCATCCTGTGAGGCCTGAATGTGCCCTCCTGCCCAGCATTCTCTAGCGCGGCAGCCAGGACCCTTTGGACCTCGCACCCTCTCGCACCTGCGCGAAAGGGGGCGCCAGCACCACCAATCTCGGCTTCCACAACACATTCCCTACATTCCTTCGAGATTCTTCTCCGCGACACCAACCTTCCTTCTACCGCTTGTGCGAGTACCTTTCACTCCTTTGTCCTGAAATCGCGGAAACCATCTGCACTGCGCCCTCTCTCCACGCGAACCCCTCCGCTGGCGCCGATTACCGTCCCTTCCAAAAAGCTGTTTCAGAATAATCCTTCCTGCGGCCACGCCACGAGTGCTGCAGGACTCCGTAGCGTTGCAGCACGCCTACCGGGTTTCCGGGAGACTCGACAAGCAACCGTCTTGCGCACTCGTTTGAAACGCGCCTGCAGCAGCTCTGGCGCAGGTCAAGGCCAGCACTCTCTTGAAGTGCACCTACACCTAGCCTCTCTCTTGGAGGAGGACTCAAACACGAACAATGAACGCAGCCCGCTCCCACGCCCTGTCCCCAGCATCAATCGACAGCAACGACACTTGGTCACCCGTCACGCGCTACCAGAGCCTAGACAGCAGCTCCCCATATCCCTCCGCTCCTCCCAGTCGCAATCGCATCGATACACCACCAACTTCCGTCCACACAAGCACCAGCACAACGGCTACAACATCAGATGGCGGTCTACCCAGCCACGGCGGCGTTGGGCCCCTCTCATCGACCAACACCAATCCCTCTCCACCTGCCTCTATAGCCAGGTCCAGCGATGCCACGGGCCGCTATGCTCCCAGCGTCGCCGACTCGCGCGCAAGCACCAGCAAGAACAAACCGATACAGGAAGAGACACTCTCGGAGCATTATCAAGTCCTCAAGCAGTACCTAGCACCATATCTTAGAGACGAGAAGGGTAATCCGCGACCCAACCGCGCGCGAGACAAGCTGCTCAGGCTGAGCGCCGTACAATTCCAAGAGTTATCCACAGACGTCTACGACGAGTCAATCCGGCGGGAAGAACAGCGTCGCGAGCGCGCAAACCGTCCAATCGGTGCGCCAGAAACACAGGGCCAAACACCGAGCCACCTGTTGCCCATACCCAAGTTTCATCCGAAGCGCAACCAGGCGAGGCAGAAGCTTTCAACGCTCCCGCTCGAGAGATTCAGACAGCTAGCTACAGACGTGTTCTTCGAGCTTGAGAGGAGATTCCCCAGGTTCGCAGGCGGAGAGCCGTCACGCGCGCCCAGCCCAGCGCCATCAACCGCCAGCAGCAATCGCAGTGCGCCACGAGCGAACGGTGGGCCGCCGCCAGGATGGCGAGGGCCGAGGCCGGGTGCAGGAACAGGCGCGGCGCCGCCGCCGCAACAGTATCGGAATGGACCGTCGCAGTCGCCTGGAGTTCCGGGCAGTCTGGCTATTGGGGAAGGCACAGGTCAAGGGAGCGGGAATGTGTATGGGCGTCCGCTACCGAAGACGTTCCAGAGTAACACGATTGTGCCGAACAAAAGTACGATGGTTGAAGATGATGACAGCGTGAGTGGTGCAGATGAGGAGGAGGATGCAAGGAGTGACGCTTTTGGGCTGGAGACAGACGGTCAGAGGAACAGCGAGCTTGCGGCGTTGAGTCAGGAGAAAGAGAAGGAGCTTGTGGAGTTGCGGGAAAAGGTCGCTGGGTTGGAGGGGAAAGTAGGATCGCTGGAGGCCACAATGAAAGACAAGGATGAGGAGGTAGAAAGGTTGACAACGCAGGGCAAGAACCAGGAGAGTGCAAGTGATGCGGAGAAAGAGCAGTGGATGAGCGTACAGCGGGGGTTGGAGAGTAAGTTGGCGGAGGCGCAAAACCTCAACGCGTCGCTCCGCTCCGAGATCGACAAGCTGCGTAGTGAATCCTCGGCCACGCAACGAGACCTTCGCGCTCAGATTGAGGAAGCTAAACGGATTGTAATCCCCGCTCCGGCACTCCCTGCTCCAGCGCCTCTTGTGGAAGGCGACTGGCAAAAGCGCTATCTGGAGCTGGAGCGCGAGCTGTTCGAACAGCAACAGGTCACCGAGGACGTCCGCCGTGAGGCCTCGCAGTTCCTTGTCGAGATGCGCGCCCTGTCCGAAAGAAGCGATGCAGCCTTCGAAAAGGAGGAGAGGCTTCAGCACAGAGTGAACTCCCTCGAAGAAGAGCTCCAGCAGTGGAAGTCCCGGTACGCCAAAGCGAAGACGCAACTGCGCACTCTGCGCGCCTCCTCCGTGGGATTATCATTGCAGAACCCAACATCATCGCTCTACATCCGAGATGGTAGCCTCATGGGGATCAACGGACTAGTGAAGGATGTCCATGTGACCAAATTCCAGCTCAGTATCGACGAGCTTCTCCAAGCGGCTCGGCAATCGAATGCCCAAGCTGTGCTGGACTGTATGAAGACAGTCGTCGTTTGTGTCCGAAATATCACCTCGGACGTAGATACCGCAGACTCCTCCCGCTCGAGCATGGAGAGTACTGAGACGCCAAGAAGCCACACCAAGCTCAAGGCGAGGGTTAGCGCGACGGCAAATAACCTTATCACGGCCTCGAAAAACCACGCAGCCGCTTCAGGTCTCTCGCCGGTATCGCTGCTAGACGCAGCCGCGTCGCATCTCACCACCGCAGTCATCGAGCTGGTCAGGACCGTCAAGATACGTCCCACACCTGCCGAAGAGTTGAACCACGACGAGGATCAGGGAGAGAAGGGATATTTCAGCTTGGCCAATGGCATCAGCCATCTACGCGAAGCAAGCACGACCAGCGCCGGCTCCTCGGCTGCGGGCTACAGCACCAACAGAAGCTCTGTCGAGCTTGGGTCAGCGGCGGTGGCGCCTGTGTCAAACGGGGTGCGCAAGATTCAGGGCCACGACAGCGAGCTACAAGACTTCAAGGTATGCTGCTCTGATGTTCCTCGGCAGTCGACACTCGATTAGACAGTTCAAGATCTTCAGTAAACACCGAAGCTGTGATTGCTAACACGCTCCCACCCCCAGAACTTCCTCACCAACCAAACCACCCACCTGATCACCACCCTCACCCCCCTCGAAACCGCCATCCGCGCAAACCCCTCCACCGAAGAAGAAGAAAATCTCATAAACGCCCAAATCGAACAGATCGCCCAGCTGCTCCTCTCCATCTCCACAGCCACCCACGACGCCACCTCATCTTCGCACATCGCCGCCTCCGAGAGAAGCGCCTTGGAGAAACACACTCTGCCGGTTGTGAATGTGCTCGAGGATTGCAGGATGCAGCTTATGGATGTTGAGGATGTGGATGCGGTACTGCCGATCACGTTTAGGGTTAGTAGGGCGGTTACGGAGATGGGGAAACGGGTGGAGCGGGTTGTTGGGGGGAGACTGACGGCGGGGATGACGCTTTCGGTAGACTTGTGAGAGGGAGTTATCCCTGAAATCTATTTTGCGGAAGTATTTTCATGGAGCATCTTAGCTGGTTCCTGTTTGGTGTCCGGGGCTTTGGCGCTTGTAGCATTGGCATTGGCATCTGGAGGCGTTCTGGACTGTGGTCGCTGCTGTGTTGGCCGAGCACTGTGAATCTTTGTCGCCTGGGTCTGGCTCGTCTTTAGCTGTTTTTGTGTTGGCGAACGCTTGAGGAACAATTCATCAGTATCGTTGGTGAATCCAGGTCCTATAATGTGATCACATTCCTGACGTCGCACTGCAACGCATATTGATCCTGTAGATATTTGTATCACTGATCATTGGCTAGAAGGAGGCTCAGAAACGTGCAGCGAGAAATATTAGCTAGCTACTCTGATCAACTACTACAGAAACCAAAATAAGCGCCTGAAACCCCTCCAACTCCATGACCCCACAAACCTACGCACCAAAACGCCCTGACACCCTCTGTGATCATGTACATCATTCAGCACCCTATAATACAACCCAATCCTACACGCCGCCTCTTTTGCCTCTAGCTGTACACGGCTATTTACTAGATAGGCACCACGACCCGCGCGTGCCTCTTGCCAATCCCACAAGGTGGTTTACCGGTGGTCACCATACTGACAGAACGTATCCGATGGACAGCCACCCGCCTGTTCCGGCGTTGGCGGCTTGCCAGCCATATTTTCCGTCGCGAGCGGGATGTATGCCGGAGCAGGAGCAGGCGCGGCTGGTTTGGCGGCTGACTCGGCTTTCTTGGGCGGCGCGGCCTCCGGCTTCTTCAGCGATGGTGGCGTGGTCGGTTGAGGTGACGTCGGTGCAGCGGTGGGCGAGGAAGGGGCATCGTCGTATTGAGACTCGGATGAGCCTGAGCTGTTTGGCGATGCGGAGCCGGAGTCTGAAGACGAGGAGCCGGGCGCCTCGTGGTGGATCACGGTGTCGCTCGATGAGGCGCTGCTCTCTGAGCCGGCTATGCTCTCGGATCCGGCTGTGCTCTCGGATCCAGATGATGAGCTTTCTGAGCCGGATTGGGACAGCACCTCAGCGCCGGGGAGCTCATGGTGTATGACGGTTTCGGTTGATGAAGCTGAACTTTCGGACCCGACTGTGCTCTCGGATCCGGACGATGAGGTGTCGTGGGTGCGGTACTTTGCTCCAGGAATCTCGTGATGGATTAGAGTCTCCGTGGAACCACCCTCGCTCGGGACTTCAGACGACCCCTCGGACGCCGTGTGGTATGACTCTGATTCGGGCGCGGTACGGAACGACTCGGTCGAGGAAGAAGGGTTGCCTGACTCAGGCGTGGTGTTGAAAGACTCAGTTGATGAAGAGGGATTGCCCGATTCAGGTGCTGTATGGAACGACTCCGAGGCAGGTCGTGGCCAGTGAGGTAGATTGTACGTGGCCGCGATTGTCGCGGGGGTCATGAGGTGCTGGAATGCGTGTGACAAGAAGCTGAACGGAGCAAAGGGCATGTGTGCGATACCACCCACTGTCTCGGCAATCACCTGGCCCATGATTGCTTCAGTGGCAGCAGTAGCGTCAATGCCAGCGAGTTGAGCGAACTTTGCGATTCCGGCAGCTGTGCCTGCAGCTGTGCCCACGCCGCCTACAGATGTGGCAGCTGCCTAGATGGCGGCGTCAGCTATGGGGAGTAGGTCCGCAGCATTGTTGAATCTCGGATCATAGGGTGTACGCCCAAGTGCATGAGATAGGCTATTTAGAAATTCGACGTTCGGCTGTATCTGTGCAGCGGCCCCAGAGGCGGGAGTGGATCCCGAAGCGACGTTGAGGGGTTGTGCCGCAGCGGCGGACGTAACTGCCTCAGCCCCAAAATTGGTGACCATGTTGCGGAGCGTTTCGGTGGATAGCTGCAGGCCTTGGTTTGCCAGCTGGGTAGATAGCTCGGAAAAGAACTCCACCGAAGCGGGAGTGTTGGCAAGTGCAACTGCCTCTGCGAAATTCTCACTGATTGGTATGGCGTCCAGAACCTGCATGGAATGGAGGCTTTCTAGGCTCTGCACTGCTACATTCGTATCGTATACGGCATTGGCAGTGGATCCAAACTTGATCGCGAGGCCTCCAAGACCTCCAGCAGCAATGAGCCCAGTGAATCCGCCTATTAGTACCTCCTTTGCCACCTGGCCGGGAGTCAGTGCCGTAGAGCTCGCATGGGCGCTGGAGGATATCGCGGATGGTGCTATCGCAGTTGGCTGAGCATTGACAAGAGTTGTGGCTAAATACTGTAAATGATGGTATGTCGTGGCAACGCCCACAACGTTATCGCGCTTGGCGAACTGAGTATCATCCCGGCCAGAGGCGGGAGGAACTGGGCGCGCCTGGGCGATAGAGGCGGCAAGGAGGAGGAAAGAAGCGATGCGGACCATGTTGAACTTGGACAGTGGTGACCGGGCAAGAGTAGACTGATTTGACTTCGGACGTAGTGAGTTTGTTGATGTGATTGACTTTGTGTTGATGTTGGGTTTGTGGGAGTAGTTCTGATCCAGAAGCAGGAGGGACTCTGTCCGTAGCTTTGATGAATCTCTGCGTTGGAACGGAAGACGGAGAGCAGTGGGAATGGGAGGTTAAATAGAATGAGAGCGCAGCGCTTCATCACTCGTTGACCCATAGTCTGGGTCGACACTACAACGCTAAACCAGAATTGCCCGCTCAGACCTTACATACTATGGGTAAAGAAAAGGGTCGCTCTGACAACATGGTAGATGGACAGATGGTTCACTTTGAGATCATCCGCTCTGACAGAGTTCCAATGAAGTAGACGTATGGTACCAGATAAGGTTTACCAGCGCCGAATCGGCTCGGTACCATAGTTCGTCACCCACTGATGGAGCTACTCCAGCACGACCTGCCCTGACAAGTCATGAAGCAACAAAAGTTCGTCCAAAACGAACACTCACTGTCTAAGGTGCTACAAGTGTGTTTATAGGGCGCAATGCCGCTGTAAAATTAATCTTACAACTTACTCAGATAGCACATATGGTTCAGACGAGACCTTGCCTGCCTGACTGCGCTCGGGTGACATGGAAAACGACAGCTCCTGCTGCTTCGAAAGTTGCGCAACAGTAGATCCTCACGTGACTTTCGCACCGTGCGGGTAAGCAGAGGCGCAGAAAAGGTTCCTGGTATTTATAAGTGACGACTTTGCATGCTCATCCGGTCGATGCGTTAGAGGGAGACGATGTTCAGACGCAGACCGAGGGAGGGGCTGAGAGCTGAAAGCGAAGAGCTAGGCCGGAGCGCAGTCGAGGTTGGGTCTTGGCGGACGCTGGGGCCAGCTAAGCGCCGCGCCTTGCCCGCAACTATTTCCTGATATAGGCACTCCGTCTGATGTATTCTGAACAGCCGGCGGAGCACATGCACTATTTTGTTTGTCCGGACTGGTTTGTGCATTCTCCAACACCGGGCGTCGAATAAACCTGCCATAATTTGGACGAGGCTGACTGGCTGGTGGCTTTCTCAACAACTCAAAATGTGAGACAAAACTTAATCCCCGGCGCAGTCAGTTTTATCAGCGTGGTGGCGAGCAGGCGCAGTAAAGCCACTAGATCGATAAACATAAATTCGACAACCGGAAGTTCAATTCTTCCCTCTCTCTACTTAAAGCAGAATGCAGCCCTTCCTTTCTCAATCATTAAAAATTAATCTTTCTCAAAGCCTGTTCCTTAACGCATTCCCATCCATAAGAATTATTCTATCTGCCCTCCTCTCCACCTCCATAAACCACACTTACGCAGAATGGCTCAGGACGGAAACCAATACAGAGGACAGTTCCCTCAGCAAGGACCCCGAAGGCAGAATGGTCGACAACAGCGAAATGGCCAGGAATATCAAAACGGTCGGTACGCTCAACAACAACGTATGCCATCCCCAGCTCATCTCACCCTTTTCATCTGAGAGACATCTCTAACAACACTCGCCCGGTAGCCGGTCCCAACCCTACAGTTCAAGCAGTTCTCGGGTTCTTGAAACTGGTCGTCAACACATTTATAAGTGGCGTCGCGGAGCATCACCGCCATCAGGAGGCCCTTGGTGCTGCTTGTCGATGTGGATGTAACGGTTAGAAGTAGCGACAAGGTATATTAATGCTCCAGCATTTCTCTTCTATGATATTATAGCAGCCTTAGAGGTTCATACTATAAAGGACTTTGCGCACGAAAGGAAACAACGTGCAGTTAAAATTTAAGATCAAGAGAAGGATGCCTCGCTGACAACTGTTTTTTAGTGGATTGTATAACTTAAGTATCGATTCCGCGTTGCTTCCAACCTGGAATCAGCATGTTTCTGAAGGATTATTGGACGTGTGACGGGTTGGTTTGAGTCCTGGGTTGTGGGTTGCGTTCTTACTGTTGACTATGTGGGATAGAATTATTGGCCTTTATTACGTGCATCTTTCACTTCGAAGTAATACTTTTAACATAGTGTCAACGAGCCGCTCCGAGGTCTAGGCTATAGAAACGACGCTTGCGGCCGCATTAAGACCGTCCATATTGGCCCTGACTGAAGTTCAGATATAACACTCCAACAGTCCTGACGCGAGTATGTTGCTCTTGGACCATGAATTACTCTCCATGTACCGAACTGCTCCTTAGTATGTTGAGGCGCTTGCGGTACGAGAAGTGGTCTTAGCATATCGAAGTAGTGTACCGAAGTGCGCTATAGTAGGTAAGCCTCTCGTCGGATGCCGATTGCTCTTGGTATATCGAGGTGCTCCGCCGTATGCCGTTCGACATTACAGCGTTGGCTGTGCGAAGAGCTTCATTGATCGGCTTTCATGTCAAGCTCTACCCATGTAACCGCCCGGACTGTTGATCCAGCTCCCCGCATGATCCACTGCGTCCGGTTATAGACGCGAGATACCGAGCTGGGTGAAGTTTCATCCGGACTGTCTGTTCCTAGCAACTACGCAAGGCTCGCAGAGTCGTTGGGGATATCTGCGAATTTGAATCTCTCAGCGCTGAAGAGAGGTTCATCTGAGGATCTATGCTTGTGGGCTGTCTTGTTCGCTTTATAAACGGCTCCAGCTGGATGTATGTTGGGCGCCTGGCTTTGGCAGTTGTGATAGCGGCATTTAAAGGCGCTTGTAACAATGTTATCGATGTATCTAAGCTTATCTATGCGTTTGCAATCCTGATGACACCAGTTCTCTCGTTGAGCGTTATCATAGATACTTGCTTCACTAGTGCTAGGCTAGGAAGGCGTAAAGGCGTATTGTAAACTGTTTTCACGAGTAGTTACTCATTTGGCTGCTTGCTAGATACCGACCGATTCGAATACACAGAAAGCCAACAAGAAACTCAACTCCGTGAACCCAAAACCGTACGCCTCAACTCCCTCTCGCGCCAGTGAATTATATACATCGCTTCCTGCCATCGTATTATCACAGTCCGCCACTCTCGTCTGTACTATCAAATGCATGATTCACTCTTCCCAATGGCGCTGTATTTCTTCTCCAGCTTCATCTCGGCTCATCTGACCTACTCCCGCGCGCCATCGCACCCGCGCCGCTCTACCCAATTTTGTGGGCCTTCTTATTGACTTCCATCGGGTCCTCAGCAAAACTGACAAAAGCTATCAACCTCGCCGTTTGGATGGTTCCGCGCATAGTCTGCCTGATACTCCTGCTCGGCCGCTAGAGCTGCGGCTTCTTCTGGCGTTGGCGGCTTGCCAGCCTGCATTTCTGTTGCGGGCGGGATACTGGCTGGGCCGCTGGCTGGGCCGCTGGCAGGAGCAGCTGGAGCAGCAGGAGCAGCAGGAGCAGCGGCCTTAACGGGCGGTGCGGCGGGTGATGCGGCCTTGGGCGCTGCAGATGGCTGCGACTGCTGGGGTGGCGTGGTGTTTGCGGGCTCCGCGGGGGTGGATGGAGTCGTGGGGGACGGGGACTCGGAGTGGTATTCGCCGGAGTCGGAGAGGCCGTCGCTCTCGCCGGAACCGCTGCCTTGGGAACTGGTATCGAATTGGGGGTTGGGCTTCATGCGAATGCCCGACGACTGAGAGCTGTGATAGCTGCCAAGTTCTGTTCCTTGCGAACCCGAACTCTCCCCAGAGAACTCAGGCTGATGGGTACCCTGAATGTCCCCGCTTTCACTGCTGTGGTATGAATTGTAGCTTGTGTCTGAAGCGGTGACATCAGAAGGGCTGTTTGACTTGACTGATTGCGAGTCTGCCGCGAGCTCACTGGGGGTCTCCTCCGGAATGTCCTCAAGTCCCCATCTGTTCAACTGGGGCGTCTGGACGACGGACTCCGCAGGCGAGCCCGCGGACGACAGCCCGTCCTCCGACACCTCCGCGATGGGGTCCAGCCTGGTGCCCTGGTAGGCCACAGAGCCCGTTGATGAGCCACTGCCCGAGCTGGGCGGCGATGGTTCTGAGCCAGATAGGGCCTCCGGCTCTTGGTGAACGACTGAGCCGGTGGACGATTCAGAGCCAGGTAGGCTATCCGCCGCATGGTGAATGGCCGTGCCGCTTGACGATTCAGAACCTGATAGGCTGTCGACTCCATGTTGAGCAACAGAGCCGACTGACGACTCCGAGCCAGCTAGACTTTCCGCTCCGTGCTGAATGACAGTGTCACTGCTCGACTCCGAACCGGCCAGACTCTCCGCTCCATGCTGGGCGATAGTGCCGGTTGATGATTCACTGCCAGATAGGCTCTCGACCCCATGGTGAATGACGGTGCCGGTGGTCGACTCCGAACCAGCAAGGCTTTCCGCTCCATGCTGGATGACCGTCCCAGCTGCTGAAGACGCGCCTTCGGAAACCGGCTGGCTCACAACACTAAGCGCAGACCCACCCGAAGAGAGGCCATCAGCCGTTGCGGCTCCCACACTGAGGCCTTCCGAAGCCGGCATGCTCATGAGGCCACCACCAAGGGCGCCCGCAGCAGCAAGACCAAGAACGGCTCCCGTGGCCGCCTTCTCGGCATCGGAAGGGCCGCCTGGAGTTGAAGGAGCATGCGGGACGGGGGCAGCGGATGACGACGACGTAGGCGGAGCGGGGCTGGAGGATGGAACTGAGGCTGATGAAGCAGCCTCGGAGGAGGATACGGCGGAGGAGGATACGGCGGGGGAGGCAACGGCCGAGAGAGGAACGGCCGAGAGAGGAACGACCGAGAGAGGAACGGCCGAGAAGGGAACGGCGGCGAGGACGGTTGAGACAGAACCGGGAAGAGAGGTAGTTGAGATGGAGCCAGGAGGAGAGATAGTCGAGACCGAGGGATCCGGGATGGAAGTGGTGGGGAGGAGGGAAAGGGATGAAGAGGAAACTGCAGGAAGGGAGACAGATGCTGCCGTGGCATTCCACTGGCGCATATACGGCCCGGAGGGAAGGGCGACCGGACGCGCGTGAACCAGCGCGGCGGCCAGAAGCAGAAGGGTCTCCAGACGAGCCATGACTACTGCGGAGGGATGAGGATTTGAGAGCAGGAGATCTTGTGCTATTGGCGAAGATGGGTTCGAGTAGTGGTGCGAGGTCTAAGGCCGACAGGACTTATGGTGGTGGATGTGGATGGTGGAGATTGAAGAGGTGAGATTGTGGAGAGATATTGACGAAGCAGGATCACAGGAGAGCTTTTGGGTAAAAGGTGCTGACTGATTCTGATGCAGAGGAAAGCTGGACAGCAGATGGGAATGGGGGAATACTTATGCACGCTGCAGAGCGTCTGCGACGGTTCCATCACGCAGCTAAACTTCTGTTGGAAGTGGATTTGTTCGCTCTGACAAACCTCTACCATGGTCACGGAGTTCTCTTCGCTCAGACTTCAAGAACACGACAGTCAGAATCCAATTCGATCCAGTCATGCTCATACACGGACTGCAACGGGAAACAACTTCGCTACCCAGTGACTGAGGTACTACACAGCCGTCCACACAAGCATAGAGTTGGAAGTACGCTTTCCTGATAGCAGCACTGTGGTGCCATCCTTGAGAAATACTGCTCTGACTGCAGGAGCACACACATTGATAGGTCAACTCAACAGTGCTCGCTCAGACAAGCACTGCGATGAACAAATTCTCGCTAAGAATTGCTGAGGTACCATAGAACTTGTTACCACGAGCGCACAATTAAGATTCTCAGTTCGCTGTCCGAAGAACTAGCGTATCAGTATCTTACGGTGCCCGCTTGGCAAACACAACACCAATTCTCTTACACGCTTGTAAACTGTGAGAGAGCAGCACATGAGACTCTTACGATATGGTCATGGGATCAGTGGCTGGGAACTCCACATCCAGGGCAAGTGAGGTAAGGTGTGCACGATGAGGCTGATGGAGCGAAGAGCAGCGGGACGGGAGTCTTGGCCGCAATGTCTTGGCGATGCCCCGGTTTTACGGAAGACCCTCGAACCGTTCAAAATGCCGTCCGCAATCCCCACCGGCTTGTTGATCTAGAAGTCACTGCTCATCGGTCTACGACCGGAACCCTCCAATGGTTGCTCACGGGTATCCTGCGCGGCTGCTCTCAGTTCACAGACTAGAGCTTGCTTGTATTAGAATTTTCAAATCTGTGAATGCTGCTGGCGAAAGTTGCCTCAACACTGGTTGTCGGGAGATCGCCCTGATCGCTCGCCTCCGAGACCAGTGACATCCCCGCGGAGATCGCCGCAGAGGCAAGATCTGTCATGCCTTGCCGCATCTTTCAAGGTTGCTCGTCGTCAAACCTGGTGGACGGGCGACCTTCCCCCAAACCCCCAATTCTCTAGTTTCTGCACCCTCGCCCACCCCCCAGTCGTCGCTTTCGACATCTTGCTTCGGCCCGATGTTCATCTTACGCAGGTGTACATGGGTCAGTAGCGCGACGGATTCTGCGCTGCCCGGAGCCACCCTCTTGTTTTTGGATATCAAGCATGGGTTCAAGCTCTAATGCATGCTTGGTCACCGCGCTATGGACCGTCCCCAGGCTGTGCCTGAGCCGTCATGCTTCCTGACGTCGATAATACCCACCGACGAGCCTCATTGCCAAATCTATGGGCGCTATCGGCGCCCATAGATTTGGCAGAACGTCGGGATCATGTCTTAGCAGAAGCACAACTCTCTACGTGGTCATCTACAGTTCACTGTCGGGAGTGGCCGTCATAGCATGTGCAGCATGCCAGGTGCTGCTGAGTTACTCTTTCTGTCAATTACTGTTTTCCTTCCAACATGTGCTCAGTTCTACAGATAAAAAGAGTGGGATCGTTAGAATGTGTCACAGTAAGACTAAACCGAACAAGTCCACACGCCAACGCCATCAGTTCTGCTTTATGAGAGAATATTGAGACCCTGCATGGCCGCTCTTGCGCCAGGGCTTATCCACTTAAGGAGAAACCCTCGTCATTCGTACCTGGAGTACTGAATCCCAGGATCTGCATCTAGCATATTGCCATCAAGATGAGGAAGCTAATAGGTTTCTCTCACACCTCGAGTGTTTCATTTCAGTTCAAGTACCTTGCGCGTCTTAAATACACATGCTCTGCCAATAGTATTCACCCCTCTACATCAGCAATAGCCACTCACTCCGTGCTATTGTTCTCCTCAAACACTTCTTTTGCTGTGTCCACGTCATGGCAGAGTTCCCGCCCCATCCAGTGGTGAGAAATATGTCGAGACAGGTGGCTCCGTCATACACGATGGAAGCAATGCCTAGTAGAGTCTCTTCACAGCGCCGAGAAAGGCACCCTGTAACTGAATACACGATCCCGCCACGGGCAACTTGGAAGACATCCAAGGAATCTTCACTATTTCCCGCAATCGAATATGGGTCACGCCGACCAGTAGCCGAAACTGCGTCGAACTCTCAACGCCCTGCAGACCATCCTTCAGTCGTTGGCAACGTCGTAGTACCCGCTTCGCTTCTGAGAACAGCAAGCAACAAGCAAGAGTGGGTTCCATCTCGTGCGCGTCCATCCGTTGTTGCCCAGGACCTCAGTCGACCGCTGACCTACACACCCGCTCGCCAGTATGAGCACACCAGCATACATCGGGCCACGAGTGTCGATGTTGGTGGCCTTGGGAGGAGTCGAGTTACGGGTACAGACTCAAGGGCGAACGGCTTCACCGTATCTGAATCACCGCGGCTTGCACCAGCGCGGGTACGGCCGCGGAGCGCGAGCCTCCCGGTGATTACTGAGACGCCGACGCCTGCTTTAAGTACTACAACCTTCGGTTCGAGAACGCCGAGCCTCAATCCTTCCAAGCATGAGCTTGACGTGGCGGGAAGATTTGATCCAGATGGACACTGGCGACATTCAGCGCTTAACCAGAGCCTCAGCAGCTTTTCCTTTTCGAGCAGACCGACAACACCGAGGAAACAGATTGAGGAGGTGGATCCTGGAACCTCCGTTCCGCTCGATCTTGACCTGATCAACACGAGGCTCTCAAGAACCGCGACATGGCAAGCTGAGCTGCAAAGTGGTGAAGAGCACGCGTTCGAGAGGAGGACAACCCTTACTCGAATTGTTTCTCCTATCGTTGCTCCCATACAGGAAGCCTCGCAAAATGTTGCAGCTGCTGTGAGGCGGAGCAGTCTGTACGATGTGTATGAAAAAGCAAAGGTGCGCGGGGCGCATCTGCAACGAAAGCAATGGGTGCAGATGTTGTTCGAGTATTCGGTATATTTCGTTCTGCTTGCATTTGTCTACTTCGTTCTTGTTGGAAGACCGTTGTGGAATGGCGCTGTGTGGTGGTTGTACTGGGTTGTGGAAAATCGCTTTGTCATCGAAGGTGGCTTCGCTATCACGCTCGGCCTTGCTACAATGTACCTCTCTCTTCTCTTTCCGGCCTTTCTGGCACCGAGTGCTGATCATATGCGCCCAGATATGCGTTCTCGCCACTACTCATCTTCTTCGAGCGCGACCCGCCAATGCCAGACCATCCTGTAGGCTATGATCTTGGCAAGAATCCTGTCGTTGCCAACACAGCGCTTCTTATCCCCTGCTACAAATCTGCCGGCCTGATAGGTGCCACTCTGGAAGCTGCTCTCAAAATCTTTCCTCCCGCCAACATCTTCGTCATAGCTAATGGCAACAGCCCGACGCCGCTGGATAACACTGAAGAGGTTTGCCGGCCGTATGGTGTCAACCATGTCTGGTCTCCAATCGGGTCTAAGATTGTAGCGCAATTTGTGGGGTGCTATGCTGCGAAGGGTTTCAAATATGTGCTGCTCATCGACGATGACTGCGCCTTACCTCCAAACTTCCCAATTGTTAGTGATCGCTTGAAGGGCAAGGTCAAGTGCATCGGATATACCATCAAGTCGGTCGGACCGGAGTCGTCAAAAGGCACGCTTTGTCAACAGTAAGCTCATTATTCACTACGGCGCACAACCTTAAATCTGGAGAGTGAACGAATGTATGTTCTGACCTTGTCCGACAGAGCACAAGACCTCGAATACAAAATCTCCGGCCTCCAACGCGCTCTAGCCGGCATGATTGGCTCCGCCACCTTTCCCCATGGTGCTATCTCTCTGTGGGATACGCAGTTCCTAATCAAGACCTTTCACGAGCATCCCGGCTTCAGCGTCTCCGAGGATTGGTTCTTCGGCCACGTAGCTCGCAAGCTCGGCTGCCGCATCAAGATGTGCACCTCCGTATTCGTCGAGACGGAAACGCCGAGCGCCGTCTTCTTCAGCAGCGGTGGGAGCCGAGGCGGCTTTGGTGAGATGACGATATTCAAGCAGCGTTTTATGAGATGGAACTTCTTCTTCGTAAATGGGATGTGGTATAACATGGCGTATATCATTGGAAGTTGGAAGCTCGGGTGGTGGGAGTTTGGGGCCAAGTTGTTTGTCTTCCAGGAGGTATGTCTTCGATTATCGTCCTCCTTCACCCAGCGCCTCACAAAACTCTTGCTGATCGAGGCCAAAGGTATACGAGACGCTGCTTTACCTTCTCACGCCTTTCGTACTTCCAATATCCTTCATCGTCCGTCCGCTATTCTGTCTGTACCTCCTCCTCGCGACCTTTGGCCTCTACCTGGTCAACGTCACCATATTCAACGAGGTCCACCTCCGCCGCAAAAACGAGCGCGTCGGCTTCGTAGCACTCTACATCTACTACATGCCCTACAAGATCGTCCTAACCGCCGTCAACGTTGCAAGCTGCTACTGGTAAGCGCCACAGCCGCGGCAACCATCATCACTACCCTCGTCGTCACCACGTGAATCTGACGCCGTAACGTCACAGGTCCCTCTACAAATACGCCCGCTACTTCGCGCGCCGGCACCCAAAAGTAATCGAGGACGAAAAGGCCGTCGAGGTGGTGCTTCGGCTGGAAGAAACCGCGCCTGCCCCTGGACCTGATTCCGCCCTCTCCCCCGTCTCCTCATCGGAAACATCACCAGACCAGCCAGGCCGCCGCATGACCGTTACAGCCGTAAATATGCGTCGCAGCACCGCGCACTCGCTGGAAGCCGAGCAGCGGCTCAATGTAGGCTTGCCTGCCGCGCCGCTGCCAGGGACGGCGGAGATGGCGAGGGTGGAGAGTCTGAGGGTCGAGGACGCGGCGGTGGAGGCGCAGGATTTTGCGGCCAATGTTCAGAAACCTGGTAGAGCGTATTCTCGCGGTATGGAAGGATCGGCGGTGGAGTTGGGGGTGTTCCGCGAGGGGTCGTGGAGGAGAAGGATGAGTGGGAGAAGGAAGACGAGTGCAGCGAGGAGTTTGGTGTGAGCAGCTTTTAGCGGGCGAATGGGCTTGACAGGTGTTGGGATCGTTGCGTTTTTGGGATATAATGACCTGCTTGCTAGTCGCTGTGGCGTGCTGGGCATGGACGGAGCTTTGGACGCAAAGCTACAATAGCTGTTATTGCAGAAATCCTAGGGCGAGCTGCGCTCAAACGGAATCACTTAAGTTGCAGCGGTCATCCGCCCGCTTCGTCAAGCGATTTCCAGAGGGACGAGATAAGAGAGCAATGATGAAGAATGACGTTCTGCTTTCTGACAAGTATTTACGGCTACTGCTACATGGTGGTTCAACCTCCTGCCCAACACGCTCCAGTCCAACTGAGCTCATGCAGGTATTGTACGGTTCCCGTTCGTTTTCTCCAACGAGTCACAGAATCTCTACCGGTATTCCGGGCGTACGAAATCCGCTAGCGTCTTCGGCTCGCCCTCAAAATTGTGCGCGCCGTCCTGATCCGCGTCTATACAGTTCACGAGATGTGTTAGCAGCGCTCTCTGAACAAGCAACGGTCACCCGAGGATGGTACCGTGGTCAAATATCGACATGATCTGCGGATCACTGTAGTTGATCAGGGAGGACGTACGGGTGTGGTGGCTGCTGTTGCCGTGCTCGTCGTGGTGGACGTCCTGCGGGCCGACGTACTCCATCTTCAGCACGTTGCCGCACTCGGGGCAGCGCTCGATTGGCCGATCGCGGGACATCTGTGCGATATCGTTAGTTGGACTTTTGCATGGGATGGGAGCCTGGAGAGGGGTGTATACCGTGAGCCATTTCACGCCGTGGGAGTCGGCGGGAATGCCGGTGCAGCCGGCGTACTGCTCGTCGCCGAATGATCGGACGACGACTGGGTTATCGAGAGTGCCTGTGAGGGTATCGATGTTTCAGCGTGATGCTTCTACGGGATGGCCCAATAATATTGGATTTTCGCGCGTTATGCGATTAGAGTCCCGCGACTGCTATCCCGGTGGGAGAATATGACGCACCCTTCCTGTCCGACGGCAACGGCTTCATGTCGAAGATGTCAATGCCCTGCATCTTTCCCAGAATCTCGAGGCGCTCAAGACCGGTCGCCTGGTCCAGATCGGTGGGGATGGTGCCAGGCGGAGCACCCGGGGGAAGGAGGTCCTCTTCGGTCTTGATCTCTGTTGTCCGACGGCTGAAGCATTAGCGATTGCTGCGCTCTGCCGACACTGGGGCCCCCCGCGAAGCTGCGCACCGTCGAACTTCTTGATCCTGTGGTCCGTTTCGCCCGGCGCCGGGTCGATGTTGTCGCGTCCTGCAGCATTGGCGTGTCAGCGGCGGTGCAATTGAACTTGTCTGCCAGAAGCTCCCTGAAGCTTACGGCGAAGTGCGGAACCAGCTGTGAAGGCACGCTGGGTGGCTGGCCGTAGAGCCACCCGCCTTGCTAGGACGCGAGCGGAGCGCTGGAGAAACATGGCGGCGGAGCAATTGGTGTTGAGGGAGAGCTTCGAAGTTGCTGGTGGAGGAGCTTCCGTGAGGTCGAGTCGGACGATCGCGAATGGCTCTGGCGGGCCAGGAGTCTTGGCAACAACGTCAAACCAAAGAGTTACTCGAACCGCAAGTAAATCTCAAGGCAATTCTCTACATTTCCAATCATAAAGTAATTCTTTGATCTCGTGAAGCTAGATGGCACAAAACCCTTATCCGCCAACACCCCGCAGATGGAGCTACTACACCAGTTTTTCGCTGAGTATTCAAAGCGAGACGCCATCAACAAGCCGTAAACCCAGTGCTCGAGCGCCAGTAGAGACTAGTTTGGTTTCCGTACTCCTCACAAGCTGCCAGCAACAAGCTTGCTCACATCCCCTCACATCCCTTCACATTTACGTGCCCGGTCCCTGGCCCATACCGAAGACCATGTTCGGCCACTGGCCTTGCTGCGGCAAGTGATGCATGACGCCATCCTGCGCCGTGACAGGGACGCCGGCCGCGCCTCCCCCAACGCCCATCTCCTGTCCGGGCTGTCTATGCGCGCCTCCGAGCGCCATCAGCGCGCTCGCCGAGTTGAGGTAGTCTTGGCCGCCGCTCATGCCAACGTTCGAGCCAAAGTTAACTGCCCGTTCCATCCAATCGCGCCAGTCCATGTCGATGGTTCCATCCGGTGGTGCGTAGGGGCCCATGAAGCCGAATTGTGCGACGGAAGCGGAGGCGGTGGCGAGGACGGCTTGCTGAGCTGCTGTCATGACCTCGTTGCTTGGAGCTCCCGTGCCGTACGTGGCCATCGGGGGTTGCGGCGTCTCCGAGGCGTAGTATTGTACTCTTGGGGTTGTGGCCGGGTATGGATGTGCCTGCTGCGCTACGTCGTCTGGAGGGAGATATGTTGGACGAGTGTTTTTGGTGTCTTGGTGTTCGCTGCCATTGATGGCTGTGCTGTATTGCGCATAAGCATTGGCAGGCTGATAGCCATCGGACGCCGAAGGAGGTTCTTGATGCCGGTGGCCAGAAGCTGATGCGAGTGCATCTGCTACCTCGGCGGCGGCGGCTGAGGCCGTCTTCTTTGCCAGGTGCCGGCTTATCATGTTAAGGCCGTCCTTAATGATGCGGCGTGTTTCGGTCTCTAAGCGGTCGCCGGAGCCTGTGTCACTGTTAACAATACGAATGTCGCAGGACGGGGCAGGACTCTTTACCTAGCAAGACGCCGCAATCTCTAATGATGACCAGCCAGGCGTCCATGTTTGAATGCAGTTTTGCCAGATCTGCAGATGTCATGTTGTCCCTGCGCTGGTAGTGCACGAAGAGGTTGGTAAAGATCGCCGCCAAGTATACCGTGCAGGTCATCCACGTACTGTCTAGACACATGTATATTCGGAGCTGGTTGGCAGTGTCTAACATTTTGGAGGCCGCCTCGAGACACGCAGTCATATTTGCAGTCTTGAACTCTGACGATGTTGAGTGACAGGTCGTAGGGTGATGCAGGAGCAGCCTGAGTTCCACTTCCAGCGATTGCAAATGGAGGGCAGTGATGCGATCCTCCCGATTCATAGAAAAGGGATCCGCATATTCTGGAGGAATCTGTTCGCGCCACTTCCTGATTTCTTCTTCCAGTTTTCGCACGTTGCTTTCGTAGGACTGCGGGGCTTGTCTGACAGCGTAAATGGTGCTATACATCTGACTCATTATGACGAGGAGTTTCGCTGTGTAGATGCTGGCGCGGAAGGAACATTTGTGGAAGTCACTGGATGCCTCTTCGCTGGGAAGGTGGTCGTCAATGGGCTCTGGAAACTCCACGTCCATGTCCTCCATACGCATGGGCATGGGTCGGCCGAGCTTGCCACTGAGACAGACCAGAAGACCGTGAAGGGTCCAGAAAACCCGCTTTCTAGTTTCGACTTCTTCCACCTCCCTCCTCGGTGCCGTGTCCGCCCACGCCCCAACAGATCGATGAAGCCCGAGCTCAAGAGCTATAGTGAATGTGAGTCGACTCATGAACCACGCTGCACCGGGTTTGGGAAAGTTCCGAAGATGAAGCGATATAAGCGTCAGGGCCTGCACGTCCTCCAATGAGTGGCCTGCCGCCAACTGGCCCGCAACAGTCAAGCAGTAAGCGTAGTGTTTATGAGACTCAGAGAGCATGTCTTTGGAGGTAGGGTCATCCTTGTTGCGGGATCCGGTTTGGTACATGATGTGCGCTAGCATCATGTGGACCATAACAGATTCAGCTGGCGAAACAGGGGCACCGTGCCCGTCGCAGATCCGCGGAAGCTGGCCAAAACATAATCAGTGACACTTCAGGAATGGGGCTGCGTATTTACGTACCAGCTCCATGAACTTGCGCTTGCATAGTATTGGGCCGTGGGGATGTATGAAGCTGAAGAAGTAACCCGAGTATTCTTGGCACTTCTGGAGGGGGGGTAAAGACACGGTATATGGAAGCTGCTCTTTTCCGGCAGTGTATCTGAAAAAATGTAAATAAGAAGTCGGACTCTCCGCCTCATCTGGTTCGTCATTCGGTATGAAGTCTTTGATATCAATCTTCTTGCCGAAGAACGTAAGCGAAGTTGCTTCTATAGGACTCAGTTCCGAGTCGACCGACGAGATCCCTAGATAGTTGTCTCCGTTACATCCAGCTCTGAAAGCGGGAAGTGTATAGAACTGGTTCGCCCCCACATCACGGTGTCTGGCGGATGGTTCGGTGTTACTACCATACGGGAGCTGGCTCCCGCCGGACTGATGTCCCACCCATTGCTGGCCGTATTCGCTTGCGTTACTCTGCGGCCATTGCAATGGTTGTGGTTGATGTTGATATGGTTGTGGTGGTGCGGGCGATGGCAGCGGAACGTAGTCAGGATACTGTGGAAGAGGCTTGAGGTCTATGCCACTATCTTTCAGCTGCTGTTCCCGTTCTTCAAGTGCTTGTCGAAGATACTGATTCACGATCTCGAGCTGCTCGGTGTGCCCGCGTATTGTGGCGCGGCCGGTGATTCTATCGGTGGTCGTGCATTCCGTATTATTCTGTAAGCATGGCGAACAGCCGCCAGCCCTGCCGTCACAGCGTATCTTGCGGATCTATGAGTGGCATACATGTTAGCGCGAGCCTCTCGAAGCACGACTGTCGGGGCCGCCCACCTTACACCGGTCGCATGCCTGACCCGTCCGCGTCGATGATTTTAACTTGCTCGCTACTGATCTGGAGAAGTCGCTGGCGGTAGGATGCTGGGTTCGAGGAGCTTTTTCGACACGCGGCGACTCTCCTGCGACCGACGGACGCTTGGGGGGCATTATGCGCCGAGTCGCAGCTATATGAGGTGACGCTGGTGGCAGATTCCGTGGGAAGCTCCGCAAGGTCGAACCGGCGCGGTGGATACTGTGAGTGCGCCCTCCCGAGGGTGGTAAGTTGATGTTACTCTTTAACTAAAGCAACTCGGACGTTCGACACGCTATCGTGCATCGTGCCGTGCATCACTAGACGGAGGCTGCAGATTGATTGCGCACGCAGAGGGTGAAGCGGTAACAGTCTCACAGGATTTGGTGGAGAATCTAGATCGTCCTCGAGTCTGGATCACGTGCGGACTATCTGACAACCAGCCAAGCTGACATCCATCTATAAAGGGTTGAGAAGATAGTGGAAACTGCATCCTGCTGTGCCGATACACCTGTTCGGATCTTTCGCACTCGAGGAACAATGGCCGATGTCCACACGTTCCATCTCTCGCATCTTCCATCGCATCCTGTTCATGTCTGTCTCTTCAAAGGCGTGGAAAACACACCTTTTCTACGGCAGCAGTTGCTTGCCGGTAACAGCGAATTCGAGTATGCTTTCGTGGATGCCACTACGGTGAGGGACCACTTCCATACAGCGTCTGGCTTGATGGGTGAATCTGCAACACCAGAGACTACGGCATCCAGTATTATGTTCACTTCTCTAGCATCAACCACAGCGCTAGGAGAGAACCCTCACGTTAAATCTGCAGTCGCACGTCCGGACTCAGCGGCCAAAACTCTCAGCTAGCCATCCCGTTTAAACATGATGAACTTCTAACTCAACAACCTCCCTAGATCTTAAGCCCGACCCATCTCCTCTCGGCCGTCTACCGTGCGATCGTCGACTCTCTGAACTCTCGCCTCCGCAGCCGGAACATCCACTCCGAGATAGTCTTCTCCCTCTCCCCAAACAACAACATCGCCGAGTCGTTCCGCCGCTTCGGCATCTCAGACTCTACAGCCTCTTTGCTTGCTGTCAAAGTCGGGTCACCTGACAACCCCAACACCACGGCAGAATCAGTGCGGAAGCATCTGACGGAGGTCGTGGAAGGGAGCGCGGTGAAGTTTGGAGAGGAAGAGCTGGAGAGGATTGCAGATGTGAAGAAGATTCGGAAGATCTACAAGCTTGATGATGGCGGGGAAAGGACAGGGAAGGGGGAGAGGAAGGGCGGAAAAAAGGCTAACGGGGTAGTGAATGGAGTTCACGGGCCGGAGAGCGGACTGGATGAGCTTGACGAGCTTGACGAGCTGAGGGAGATGGAGGCTGTAATCCTTGGAATCATGGCGTTGAAGGGATCTTGAAGTTGCCCGCGCGTCGCATCTGAAGTGGAATCACTGCTCGCCGGATCGGACGCAAAGCCCTGGGGCATGAACAATGCCTCTTCAGTGGCAACCGAGACGGGCTGTTGAGCTTGTGTTGCTGAGGTCTGCGAGGCTTGAATACAGCTAGCACAAACCCTCACGATAGAGTGAAGGAATCCTGCTCTTCGGTCTGCCGTTCGAAGTGGCTTTCCGATCAGCTCTGCTTCTGCACCATCCAGCATGGGTATTCTAGGACTATTGCTCTTCCCGGCAGTACCTAGCCTAGCGTGTTCTTCTAGCCAGCTGCAGACACGGGCTTCCATCAAGCTTTTCGCTATCCAGAATCCGGCGAACTAGTTAAGGTTGACAGCTGTCGAGATTGTCGAGATTGACGGCATCCATCGATCATGAAAGTGGCATGTGGCATGTGGCATGTGGCTGGAGCTGTGGCTGGAGCTGTGGCTGGAGCTGTGGCTGGAGCTGTGGCCCGGCACCCCGCGGTTAGCGCTGTCACTCGTCATACCCGAGTGCCTTGCATCAGGCCTTCATGGCGCGCGGGCTCACACAACTGGCACACTTGCACACACGCCTGACGCCCGCCAACCTGGTGCCTGCAACATCGGAGGCCTTTATGCTGAACTACATACCCGCCTACCCGCCTACCCGCCCTGCGACCACCGGCTCAGCACCTTTGATTCGGAATCGTCGCGCAACATTATCTACCTGACTGCCCGCTCGCGTTGCCAGTTTTCTTTGCCTGCTTGTACACCCCCCACTTTGGTGCCAAAATGGTTCTCGGCCACTTGACCGGCCATAGGCGGCACTCCACATCGAGTAGGTTCACCTGCCTTCGTGACAGACCATGCTAGACAGCAGCCGGCTAACGCGCCTGCTTCCACAGGTGCCCGATCCTCGACCGAAGAAAGCAGAGAAAGGGGGGATTCGGTCAACGACAAGGATGAAGAAGCTTTGGATTCAGAGCAGGGAAACGGTACGCCAGGAACCATCACCCCAAACCCTTTCACCCGATCAACTCCGAGCTGACACGGCCCCCGCACAGTGCTCTCGCACATCATCTCCCAATTACGACCCGGCGCAGACCTTAGTCGAGTGACGCTGCCTACCTTCATACTGGAGCCGCGCTCTATGCTGGAGAGGATCACAAAGTCTGTCTTTCTCAGCTCGCGAGAACGACCACGGGCAACGCGATACTGACAATGCGGTCAGCTTCATGGCCCATCCGGAATTGATGCTGCCCATGCCGAAGATTCAAGACCCTGTCCAGCGTTTTGTAGCAGTCACGAGGTTCTATCTCAGTGGCTGGCACATCAAGCCTCCGTACGTTTACCCCGGACGATGCAGCATACGAGAGGAAAGGGAGAGAGGCTGACGGACCGTCAGGGGTGTCAAGAAGCCATTGAACCCCATTCTCGGCGAAACATTCACAGGCTACTGGGAGTATCCGGACAACACCAAAGGCTACTACATTGCCGAACAGACCTCACATCATCCGCCCAAGTCGAGCTACTTCTTCATGGCTCCAGAGCACTACATCCGGATTGACGGCTGTCTGAAACCGCGCAGCAAGTTTCTCGGGAACTCTGCAGCCAGTTTGATGGAGGGCATAGCTGTAATGCGGTTTCTGAACCACGGAGAGCGCTAGTACGTACGCTGCAGTCGGAGGTGGACACGCAATGGGGGCAACCGCTGATTTTGGGGCAGTTTCGTAACACAACCGAACATGTACGCACGAGGCATACTGTTCGGTAAGATGAAGTACGAGCTTGGAGACCACGCCTACATTCGATGTCCCGAAACCGGTTTGAGTGCCGATATTGAGTTCAAGGTCAAGGGTTGGGTGAGCGGAGGCTATGATGCTATCGAGGGCTCCATCAAGGACGCCAACGACAAGGCCCTGTTTGAGCTTTCTGGAACCTGGAATGGCGCTATGTACATCAAAGACCTGGCGGTACGTCTCACATCCTCGCCCTTCACTCTATCGGGCGGTCTCTCGCACAAAAACTACGGCGAGGACAAGCCATTCTGTAAGCGAGAATGCTAAACTACTGTGAAGACAGGCAAGAAAGAGCTTCTCTTCGACGCTACAAACGCCAAAGAGACGCCGCCATCCACGAGACCATTGAGCGAGCAGAGAGACCGGGAATCGCAGAAGCTGTGGGCGAAGGTGACAGCGGCCATCAAGAAAAGGGACCAGAGCACAGCGACCGACGAAAAGGCCAAGATCGAGGACAGGCAGAGGGAAGAGGCAGCAGAACGCGCAGACAACGGCGTTGATTGGCAGCCGAGTCTCTTCAGACGTGTCAGAGGCGGTCGTGGTGGCTCTGAGGAGGGTGAGGAGGATTTGGAGTGGATACTCAATGCCAAGATGTAAGCCACACAATGGATCCTGAGTTGGATGCTGTTCGGAAACTGACCTCACGATCAGCGATGGTAGGACTCCGGAAGAGCAGACCAAGCAGATTCTACAAGTAGCGGCAATACTACCCGGTCAGACTCCGGAGAGGAGGTTCTCGATTCCGGGGCGGCATCTACATTCGGATCAGGTACACCCAGGAAATCAACAGCAAGCACAGCCTATATATCAGCAGCAGGCGCAACCGACTTATCAACAGAAGGCACAACCGCCAGCGCCGCAGCAGCAACAGCATCACGGAGATCTCATAGATTTCGGTCAGCACGACGATCAGCGTTTTGTGCCACAGCAGCAGCAGCCACCGGGCCAAACACATTTCCAGCCGCAGCCCTTAGGCCAGACACACGTTCCGCAGTCGCAGCCAGCGCACCCTCCCGGGTCCAACAGGCTCGCGAGAAAAGATTCCGAGACTGCGGATGTTGATGAGTTCGTGGATGCTGAATCTTGACGGGTTTTAGAGCTTTCTCTTCGGTTGGCATCACACTGGATGGGGTAGCGTCATGGCAGGCTAGATAGCTTCACGAAATGCTTTATCTACTCTGAGGATGCCTTTGGCAGGGTAGAGTAATACCGGAAAAGCTACGGTTGTGGTTTGGAGATCACTCAACATGCTCTGGACGTGTGTGGTGCACCTAGATACAGACGTCCCCCGCCAACCACACAACGTGTAGCAGCTCGCATGATACTTAGTAATGAATATGCGCCTGGGCACAATGTCCAGAGCTCGCTGTATGGAGAGGCTTCCATTGTGGCGCAAGCGGCCTGCCTGCCCTGTGGCGATCGGGTTTGTCAGCGCCCCATATGACGCTGACACTTAGAGATCATTTATATACACCATCACTCTAGACATTCAAGCATTGCACGACCTTAATCCAACGATTCTCCCACTCACTGCTACGAGTACAGCAATACCAAGCCTGCCCCGTTCGCAACCCTCAAACTGAAGCTCCTCTTCCCAGCGTTCATTCTCATTGCCGGACTCTTTATGGCCACTGACATGTCCGGCTTCATCTCACGCCTTATGCGCCCCTTCTCGTCCGGCCCAATGCGCTTCGGCGCCGAGGGCGCAGCACAGAACTACCCGGCCGGCTCGAAAAAGGCGACAGTCGCAGCAGGCTGCTTCTGGGGCGTCGAACACATGTACCGCCGAGCATTCGCCAACCAGGGTCTCATAGACGCGAAGGTCGGATACATAGGCGGCGACACGAAGAACCCTAGCTACCGCTCTGTCTGCAGCGGACGAACAGGACGTGAGTATCAACTCGGAGGCGAGAAGCGTTACGGAGCGCCTGGCTAACAACAATCGCAGACGCCGAAGCCCTCCAAGTAGTCTACGATCCCGAGAAGGTGTCCTACCGCCAACTCATCGAGTTCTTCTACAAGATGCACGACCCGACGACCGCGAACCGGCAGGGCCCAGACACGGGCTCGCAGTACCGCAGCGCCATCTTCTACCACGACGAGGAGCAGGAGCGCGAGGCGAGGGAGGTTACGGAGAAGGTGCAGAAGGAGTGGTGGAGGGCGGGCAAGATCTCGACGCAGATACTGCCCGCGGGCGAGTGGTGGGATGCGGAGACTTACCACCAGCTTTATCTGGATAAGAATCCGGGCGGGTATGAGTGTCCGAGTCACTTTTTGAGGAAGTTCCCGCCGTTGAGCGCTTAGGGTTTGGGTTTCTTGGGACGGCGTCTGTTAGACCAATGATACACCTGTTCATGTACGCAATCTGTGGCAGGCACTAAGTTATCTCGCTCCCGTGGTGACAAGTTCCCAGTCCGCTGCATTCTGTATGCATAGTACTGTGCCTACAGAGTCATCAATTTGAAACACCCCCTTGACAGTCGATCTCTGTCGGATAGGAGGAGTGGTTTATTCTGGCTATAATCTCAAATACATCGGCCCTATTCGCTCAACCCGACCTGTTCTAGCCGTTCTCCAACCGTGGCTGGTTCGGTCGTCTGGAAGCTGGCTGACAGCTACAACGCTCCAGTCTCCCATCCTCGCCGACGCTGCCAAAGCATGCTCAATCAGCACACAGGCCTCGAGAGCAAAACATCCATAAGTGACAAAGTGACTTGTCTCCGATCCCATGCGACTGCCCCTCATCTGGCCCCTGCGTCATCCCAGAAGCTACCCCACCACGGCGCCAGGAGTGTCATGCATAGTATTTGGAAGCGGCCGGCGGGCCGTAACTGTGCTTGTCCAAACATGGCGCGCTGTGCTCGGGATAGCCTCATCCATGGATGTTTAGGCAAGCTACGGCGCGCTGGATGCGTCATTCGGGGGACTTAAGTCTTGCATGAGATGTCAAATACCTGAAACGCGGTGGGCAGGAGGGGGTGTCATAAGAGCACGTCAAGTTTCCTACCTATCTTCCTCCATAGAATCGATCAGCGTCCTCTCAACCTCAACTTCCTACCTCATTCACCGAGTCCTCGTCAGATAAGCACACCTCGAGTCCAATCTCACATACATCCAAACTCTCAAACCCCTTCAAAATGCCCACCTACACCGGCAAATGCGACTGCGGCCAGACGACCTGGGAAGTCGAGCTCGACAAGGACACTGCCTCGCACATCCTCTGCCACTGCAACACCTGCAAGCGGCTGTCCGGCGGCGCCTTCACGCTGAACCAGATCATCCCCAAGGACTCGCTCAAGTTCACCAAGGGCGGCGATGAGCTGAAGAAGTACACCTACAGCGGCGAGTCGGGTATGCCACTCCCCCCTTCCTCTCCTCTCCTCTCCCTGCTCTCTCTCTCTCTTCATGTCCTCCCCCCTCACCATCCCGTTTCCTCTCCGCTTCCCCCTCTCCTTCTCCCCCCCTAACTCAGACCATTAGCACCCTCCCAACTAACCCCCGCTCAGGCAAAGAGGTCCACTGCTACTACTGCCCAAACTGCACCACGCACCCGTACCACCACCAGACGGCGCTGGGCGACGACAAGATCATCCTGCGGACGGTGCTGCTCACTCCCGAGGGCACGACCGAGTTCCAGCCCGCGGCCGAGATCTTCGGCAAGCTCAAGATGGGCTGGGAGAAGGAGGTTGCCACCACCTTCGAGACGTTGCCGCCGCAGTAGGGGCGAGGATGTAGCCGAGGAGAGAAAAGGAATGGGGAGGCGGGTTTAAGCGGGCGTTAGGGCTGTGGGGATTTGAGCGAGCTTTTTGTAGGGCTGGGATAGCTTGGGAGGGGATTGGATGGTGCGGCATGATGTGTTAATGGAGGCGGCATAGCTGCGGTGGCTGAGGGTCGCTCAAGTCGTAGCTGTATCTCGACGAGATTGAAAACAGAATGACCCGTTCCCAAGTTGGGATCTGGCTACAAGCCTCTGTAAGTTACCATCGGAGGTCTATTGAATCTGCACAAAGCCGAGCGGAGCGTTGTGCGAACGATGAACCAATAGTGCCTCGAAAATCGCCATACATACGTTACACCCGATATATGTACAATGCCCACCGTTTTGTGGCGTCGCCCGGCGCCAGCTCGCTTATCCAAGATGAGTTATGATTTTTTTCTCGACTTCAACAACGGTCGTGACCACCCACCTCCTCACTGATTGGTGCCATATCCATTCGCCTCAGGCATCAACTGTTCCTGCGGCATGAGCTGCTCCCTCGCGCCCTCCGCCTCTATCTCCAGCTGCTTCCTGTGCATGCTTCTCGCCTTGAACCAGACATAGCCGACGAGCGCAATACCAACAAGTAACGCAAGACTTAGCAAGATGACATTGACGGGGATGGGATTGTTGTCAAAGACCTTGTGCGTCAGGGCGTCGAACGCCGATTGCGAGAAGTTGAACAGGCCGGCCAGGCAGATGATTAGGCCGTAGACTTTGCCGAAGGTGGCGAAGCCGAAGACTTTGGCGGCGTAGTCGCTGCGGGGAGGTGTTAGCGAGGCTCTTTACACGCCTGGAGGATCAAAGTAGAAGGGAAAGGGGAAACCTACGAAACCGTTGTGTAATACAGTGGACGGTAAATCACGAAAAGGCAGATATTCGCATACGCAGCCCACATCTCCGGTATGACGCCGAGGACACCAATAGTGGTCGCGATGATAACGAGCAAAGACAGCACGAAAGGCGTGCTAGTGTTATCCAAAACCAATCCAATGAAGGGCACGCTGATGACTCCACCAAGCGGCAGTGCGACGTCAAAGAACGAATTAACCTGCACAGCCTTCTCATAGTCGCCAAGTAGGTACTCATACTGCGGCCGGATAGTCGCAACAAAGTAGTTGATCCTCGTCATCTGCACGACCGTGAATAACGTCACGAGCACGAACCACGGCGACTTGATCTGTTCCCACGCGGTGCGGCCGTGCAGCGCACCCCACACGCCGGAGATGTTCTTCTTCTTCTCTTCTTGCTCGGACTGCTTCGTGCCGTCCTTGCTGCCCAGCAGTTCTGTAATCTCCGATATGACGCTCTCGCGCCGCACGCGCCGCTCGTCACGTATGCGCTGTATTTCTGCTGGATCTTCGATCTCTTCGTCGGAGTCATGCTGGTCGTGTGTGCCGTCTTCGGCTACGGTTACGAGCTCGCCAACGGTTTTGTAGGACTGGGAGGGCATGAGGAAGACCTGCACAATGAGGATGTAGGCTGGTACGACGAGGTACGCGAGGAAGAACTTCTTGGGCCAAAATGAGCCATCCGTGGCCTGGTAGATGAGGCGGTAGAAGAGGAATACCGCGCTGCTGGTGTCGAAGGCGCCGGTCAGGAGCGCCAATATCAGGCCCGAGTACTGCGGGAATGTGTTCGACAGCTGGAAGGAGGAGATGAACGCGAAGGGGCCGCCGAGCGCGAGGAAGAGGTAGCCGGGAATGTAGCCGTCGAAGGGGAGGTCCCACGCGAAGGCGAAGAAGAGCGAGCCGAGCGTCAAGAAGCAGACGCCGATTATGCCTGACACGCGTGGGCCGTAGCGGTCGAGGAGCGTGCCGACGGGGAGGGCGCAGACATTGGTGGAGACAGCGGCAACCGTGAACATCAGGTTGAGCCTGTGATGGTGGTTAATGGTCATCAGTCTATGTAGGACAGCCCGAGGATGCTAAATTGATACCGTATCTCCTGCTCATAGCATACCCGTACATCTTTGTCTAGCTCTTCCTGAGTACATCTGTTGCGGTATACGCCCTCGCTGATGAGTACGGGTTTGAGGGCGGCATATCCAAAGACGACGCCTGCAGCGAGAAGGCAGTATATCACGGCGGCGAAGACTTGTACTGTTGCGGATCTGATTAGCATACGCCTGTCCCAAGTATCCAACAAACGAGCTTACCTATTCGCTTTGCCTTTGAAACCTCAAATGCTCCAAGTGGTTCTTCGTGTGCGGCCGGCGGCACCCATTGCCCAACAGGGTTGAAAGAGAGCTTCCTCCGCGAGCCCATAGATGAGGACCGGTCTCTGTTCCACTCCTCGTACTGATCCATTGAGGAGCCACGGCGTGTTAAAGACATGCCAGCTGCCTGAGCCCGCCACGAATAAGCTACTCAAAGCTCCACCGAATTGATGTCTAACGCTAAGCAAATAGGTAGAATGACGCAAATGCAAGACCTTTGACCGGAAGAGGCAATGAGAGAGTCAGCTGGGCAGATGATGCACGACGGCACAGAAGCAGGTAAAAGATCGGCTGTATATTGTCTATGAATGCTACAAGTTATGTACAGAGAGTGCGGGAGGGAGGGGAGAATATGTGCACGCGCGGGCTAAAGCCTAATCAGCAGTGGTGGGGCGGTTGACGGACGAAAAAGATGCACAGATGAAGCTCACGGGATGTTATCGCAGCCACACGGTCACAGCTCGCCGTCCATGGCCAAACCAAGTGCGGTTTAACGCCTTCGGTTAGCTGCAGCCGATATGCATATGTAGGGCATCGCGGAAAACGTCAGGGAAAATCTGCGATAGAGAACTTCGAGGGTCTCGCTTCTTCCGAGGTTAGCGGTACATATCTTCTGCCGCAGACTGTCTGTACAAGTCACTCTACTCGAGGCCCGAGGGCGATCCGAAATGCTCCTTGCCGCATCTTTGCTTCGGCTTTCTCAATACGATATTCACGGTCAAACTGGACTCAGGATCTTGCCGATAGTAGAGCGGCTGGACCAATCTCATGCGATAGAGAGTAAACGAGGTCCATTGTGTCACATCTTCGATGCATCGATCACGCAAGGTGTTTTGAATCTGTTAGTTGTCCTTTTGGCTGTTCACCTCCAGGGCTATGGAAAGCTTTTGATGCGACAACCTTCATTTTCGGACGGCCCTTGGCCCAGCGTACATCACCCGAGACAAGGGTGCTCTAAGGAAAACCCCCGGTCTCATACCCGCTCCCTAGATTTATCTTCGTTGTGCTGTTACAGTCTGGCCCGGCTCCTACAACCCAGTTTCCAAGCATGCGTTAAGACGAAGCTTTAGTAACTTGATCTCATGTACGATGAGCAGGGCGGTTTTTCTGAGTCGCCGATTTTGATGTTGCTCAGCGTATCACATCGCGTAGTAGAGCTGGCTGCCCGTCAGGAGAAAAGCTCCACCTGCGCTGCTATGATTAGTCAGCAACTCTCAAAGGTCAGCAGGATGCAATCGATCATGGACTTGCTCTCTGCCGAGCCAAAGATCCTGACCTTTTTAAGTTTCGATCGGGGTCGTAGGCTCTGAATAGATCACCGTGCTCTCCTGGTACCAGCACTCCGGACACTGCCCCAAATACCCACTGGCCCAGTCTGCTACTACTTCTCTCCAGTTTTCCATACCCAATTTGGTCAATTTCTTCTACCGGTGGCTTTGCTTCATCAGTCGGTATTGTAAACAGTCTATGCAGATACGCCAGGCCTTCTTCGGTCGTCCAGTCGCCGTTAATGGCTTGATACGGTTCAGCAGCTCTATCATGGTGGAGCGGCGGCGTGACACACTCTGCCCGACGAGAGTGGATGTCTTGAACGAGACTAGTGCAGAGACTTGGAGAAGGTGTTTGCACACAGGTGCGAGTGCAAGTTGATCTACTGGTCCAGCGCGATTGAGTATCTCGACGAGAGTCTCTGCAGGCAAGCACAAGAGGGGTGAGGAGCTGATGCATGGCACATTGAGGAACTGCAATCAGGGTCAAACCCGTATAGGCTGAATTTATCAAAGCAGCTCACATTCTGAGGTATAACGAAGGTCTTCCGAAGCCAATCTGCCCACATGGCGATATGTCTCAGAGTTATGAAAGTCGGATGTTGCTTCTTGGTCATACTCTTGGGTCGAGTCCATAATAACGTTGGCATATATCTTGTTAACCTCAAGGCTGCTGGAAACGCCACTATACCTGATTTGGACACGTGCAGAGGCCAAGCGTGCGTGGCTGGAGTAGGTTTACTTCACTCAAGGCTCAGCGCGAAAGCTGTTAGCTGTCAAGGAGTAGAGTAACATCTTCCACAGCACCAAATATTGGAAAGGCGCTGGTAAGAGTGTACTGTGTAACAGCTACGCCGAGCTTCGTACAGGTACCTGAGGGAGAGCATCGGTTATGCAAGATCGTCGTATTCTTGCATCTCACAGGCATGGACTCCGCTCTGCCGCTCCTCCGGCGGAAATCTCCAAGCTGGATCGCGCGCGAAAATGCACTGCATGAAGATGCAATGAAGATTGGATTTTAGAAGAACGAGAGTCTGTTGTATTATGGACACGCAGTGTCTGTGATCGAGGCCGAGAATGCAAGAAACGAAAACATGCCCAAACTCCTTCGCAATGCAGTTGATGTTTTTTTTAGCTCCTAGTTCAGCTCGTCCACTTGATATCCAACACCGCAGACTCGGCCTGCGATCCAATGCGCCCCGCACAGTCGCAGCTGTCTGATGCAATCTCGCTCCATGTTCTTCCTGTAGATTGTCTAAGCCTCACCCTTGGCAGGCGCAGCGGCCTTCTTGTTCTTATAGAAGAGTGTGGGCAGCAAAATGGAAGAGGTGGTGAAGAGAATGCTAGGGTACAATTAGCGAATGCTCTGAGACAAGATTTATTGCAAGCTGGACCTACCAAAGAGCAATGCTGAAGCCCCAGATGGCCTTGGAGACGTAGCAGTTGAGCTTCGTGGCGCCGGCCCAGGAGTACAAGTTCAGGTTCGCCCCGCTGACGCCCAGGTTGCTCGTTACGGAGGTGGTAAAGGCATACGCCGATGCAGCGTTGACAGCCCTGGAGGCGTCGCTCACGAGGGAGCAGTTGAGGAAGGACAGAGGCTTTCCGACTGTGACTGCGACGACGATGAAAGAGATCAGGAGGGCGAAGTCGGCGCCAGCCATGACGAAGAGGCCGATGTTCGCTTCAGACCAGAAGAACGCAACGCTGATGAGGACGTAAAGGGCCGCGATACAGGTCTTTACCAGAGTTAGCTTGGGTTTCTACTCCGTTGACAGAGCAGTACGTACCACACAAAGCGTGCCCACAATCTCCTTTGGCGGTTCCACGCCCGATTGGATGATCTCGGAGACGAAGTTGGCCGTCATGCCAACGATTGCAATCATCGAGATGACCTGCATCGCCCGTACAAGAACGAAAGTCTTGCTGAGAGGAGCTGCGCCATAGCTTGGGATAGGCATGTTGATAGACCGAGGTTGAATTTGGCTGAGTTGAGTAACGACGAGTGATGGCGACGCTGAAAAATGCTTCAAGTGACTGGAAAGTCCGCTCAGCAGACGAAAGGAACAGATCGATTGATACGAAAGACCTTATGAAGGAACGATGGCAAAGAGACAAACAAATGAAACAGACTCAAGGAAAGTCGTAAGAGTAGTGTTTGTTGGAGGTGATGTGGTTGATGATGCTGAGAAAGAGCAGACTTTGACGTGTCTTAAGTATCTGGCCATCATATTGATCAGATGTGTTGAGTTGCACAGATCAGAGTACTTTCTATAATTGTACCATTGTATTTCGATGGTAGTTTCATAGTGATTTTACTAGACGCTGCTTCGTTCCAATGAGAGCCTGAGACGGATAATTCCGATTTCGGCCAAGCGACGTTTTAGAGTCAGACCTGGCGGCTACAAGCAACCTGCGACGGATTGGTCCTCCACACAACAATAGCAGGCCACTCAGATGTCCCACACGCGTAGTTTCAGGCTTGAGGCTCTCTGAGCCACGATCTCAAGCTTTCGGCAGGCCTCATCCGCCCGCCGCTAGTGCAAGAGTTGTCGCTGAGCAGCGATCCGGATGGTTTCATCCTCCTCCGCGAACGAGCTGTCAGCAGCCAGGCTGTAGAAGTCTCTCTTTCTTTGGAGGCAGCAATTGCAGGTTCAGCTGGCAATCTCTTTTGCTCGCAGTGTACAGGCGCTCGTTTGACGATCGCGCTGTAAGGACCTGAGCATGAGCCTGAGCCTGAGCTCGAGCTCTTCAGCTGGCGACGTGCTGGACGAGCCGGATCGAGGACGAGCGGGCTTCCCACTTAGCGGCGATGGCGGCTTCGCAGGCTTACGCTCATCGCGAGTTCTCTAGTTCTGGACACGAACTTTGCTTGCTGCGCCGAGCGATGGAGGAGCAACAGCAGACGCGCAGCGAACGCGTTCTGTCCTTGATGGCAGCCAGTCTGCATTCGGCATGTCCACGCGGAGAGCTTTATCTTATCGGCTTCCGTCGGCTGGAGCTTCAGTCCCCCATATAGTGTAACTTCCCCCGCAGTGCAATAGTACAGTAAAACACATTCGTTCCTCTCTATCTTTCATATGCGTAGCAGGTGAACTACTCATAGTTTACTGATATGTATCCATTCGACTACTTTCAACATTGGAGGGATTGGTATGCATCCGAAGATCTTGCTACCAACAGCATCAAGCTCACAGTATCTTTACAGCCAGCGCAAGCAAGCAGAGCGCGCCTCGAAGATTGCTACCCTACCGAAACCCTACCTCTCTCCTCTGGCACCCGAAGAGCGGACCATACTCGGCAAGCCGATCCAGGAGCTCGTCCAAGATGTCCAGAAGCAGATCACCAGCCCCGTCGACGTCCTCCGCGCCTACGGCAAGGTCGCCATCTCGGCGCAACACAAGACAAACTGCCTGACAGAGATCCTGTTTCCCGAAGCCGAAGAATGGATAGAGCGGGGCGAGATAAACCTGAAGGGACCACTTGCCGGCATACCCGTCTCCCTCAAAGACTCGGTAGCCGTCGGCGGCTTCGACGTGAGCGTAGGCTACTCCTGCAACACCGGAAAGCCCTACCCAGTCGACGGCTCCATGGTCCGCATCCTCAAAGACGCCGGCGCCGTCCCCTTCGTCAAGACCAACCTCCCCATCACCCTCCTCTCCTTTGAGTCCACCAACGACGTCTGGGGCCGGACAACCAACCCTCACAACCCCAAATACTCCCCCGGCGGCTCCACAGGCGGCGAAGCAGCCCTCCTGGCATTCGGAGGTAGTCGCATAGGCATCGGTAGTGACGTGGCAGGCTCAGTCCGCGCGCCCGCCCACTTCTCTGGCTGCTACTCCCTGCGCTGCTCAACGGGGCGCTGGCCAAAAATGGGCATGAACACCAGCATGCCCGGGCAGGAAGGCATCCCGAGCGTCTTCAGCCCCATGGCGAGGACCCTGAACGACCTGACCTACTTCACGTCCAGTTTCGTCGGCATGGAACCCTGGAAGTACGACCATAGTGTCCACCCTATACGCTGGCGCAGCGATGTCACAGAAGAATACCGCACCAAGCCCAGGTTCCGCATCGGCGTCATGCGCACCGACGGCGTCGTGGACCCGTCCCCGGCCTGCGAACGTGCGCTGCAGAACACGGTCAAGGCGCTGACGGTTGAGGGGCATGAATGCTTCGACGTTACGCCGCCGTCGCCCTACGAGGCGCTTGTCATCGGTTCCCAGCTCCTCAACGCGGACGGCTGCCGCACATTCCGCTCCTTCTTCCGCGCCGGCGAGTGGGAGGACCCCGGGGCAAGGCAGATGAGCTTCTATATGGCGCTGCCGCGGCCGTTCAGGTGGATCCACTACTTGTGGGTCAAGTACGTTCGCAAGGACGACGTCTGGGCAGGGCTCCTCAAGGAGTTCTCGGAGAAGAGCGCGTTTGAGCAGTGGAGACTCGTTGCCAGGCGGGAGGCGTACAAGGCGCGCTGGCATGATTGGTGGCGCGAGGAAGCGAAGATGGATTTCATGCTTACGGTGCCGAATGCGACGCCGGCTGTGCCGCATGGAGGGATGAAAGAGGCGGTTAGCAGCTGCGGGTATACGTTTCTGTTCAATTTGGTGAGTGCCCCTGCTTCGCCCTAGAATCCCAGCATGGAGTTCTTGGATGGCGCTGACAGTCGCCTCTGTAGCTCGATTACACCTGCGGCATCATACCCGTGACGCACGTAGATAGAGTCCTGGATATGCTGCCGCCAAGCTTCTCTGTGGAGAAGCTGAACGGGGTTGCACAGGGCGCATATGAGTACTACGACGCCATCAAGATGGAGGGACTGCCCGTCGGTGTTCAGGTCGTGGGACAGCGGCTGCAGGAGGAAAAGGTGCTCGCGATCATGGAGAGGGTAGAAGATGCGCTGGAGAAGCATGGCGGGAAGTACGAGTTGCTGGAGGTTGAGTAGGGTGCCGGTGGTCAGGCGAAGAGGGCGAATGAGTGAAACGAGAAGAGGCCAAGGGCGTCATCCAAGGATCTGGTTAGGCCAATATACCCAGCGCAAGATACGCCGAGAGATTCAGCCGGTGCTTAACGAACAAGGAGGTATGAAACTTTTTGAGATTTGTGATTATCTCTTCTAACATATTTCCTCTTGCACGCCCGAGCACATTGTGAGTATCTGATTCTTGCGTTCGCCGCATGGCCAAACATGCCGAAAGCGCCACGGAAAATGATGTAAAAGTAAACCAGCAGCCATCCTGGAGGTATATCGCACGCTAAATCCCGACGCCCATGCATCACTAGTACTCCGTCTTCCTTTTTCTCGGGAAAACCCTCGCCGCCTCTACACCACCCACTGCTCAAATCTGCTACGTCTTCTCTCCGACCTGATCACGGCACCTGGGCAGCAAGCTCCGCCCCAGCTTCCGCATTGACATCCTCTTCGTTCCTCTCCCTCTCACCCTCCGCCTTCGCCGCAGCCGCGTCTTCCATCTCCATGTCGGTGGCTGCACTCGGCTGCACGCCCACCGCGCTCTCGCCAACAGCCACACCCGCACCCACAGCACCAGGCGACTCCGGCGGCGTGGCCACAGCCTCCGGATGCGAGTTCGGCGCATTGGGCGGCGGCTGCGGTAGTTCCTCCTCGCCAGCCTCCGAGCCATCCGACGCAGCCTCGGAGCCCGACGCGGCTTCATCGTCGCCCATATCCACATCGCCGTCCTCCTCTTCTTCTTCTTCTTCCTCTTCTTCGTCTTCCGCCCTGCCCGCACCATCCGAGCTCGACCTTTCGGACCGCGGGCTCCCATCGACCTCATCCTCGCCATTCGGCCGGGGCGTCCCGCTCGACTGCCTCGAGCGTAATGATGGCGAACGCACGGCATCAGCGCCATCACCGTCGCCATCGCCGTCACCATCCATATCGACGTCCCCGTTCCTGCTGCCTGCCGCCGGGGAATCAAGCCCCGACCCAGGGAAATCGGCCGCAGGGTGCGGATTCTGATAGTCCATGATATTCCTCCTCCTCTTCCGTCCCGGCTGTCTCCTGACCCCGTTCCTCTGGTTCATCTCCTCGTCCTCGCTCTCGCTCAGCTCGTCGTCGCGGGTGATGCGTTTGTCCCACTGGCGCTGCGTATAGCTCTCGTCCTGATTGCGGTCTTCATCCTCATCGTCGAGGGCCGCTTCGTCGTCTTCGGAGATGCCTGGCATGAGGGAGTGGCGGGGGACGTCTGTCATCTGCACCGAGGGCGCGAAGGAGGTGCGCCGTAGGTTCTCGATGACTTGGTTTTTGATCTTCTCGAGGTATTCAGGGGAGTTGGCGTTGTCCATGTTGGAGGGCCGCACGTCGAGCTCGAAGTCGGGGGCGAAGTACTGGGGGATTCTTAGCTGTGTTCTTCGCAACAGCAGAAGAGCTCTGTTTCAGTATCGGGTCACTCACCTCGTAGTAATCGCAGTATGGGAGCTGCGGACCCATTTCCTGCCCCACCAGCTGTCCGGTCTCGTACGCCCAGGTCCGCGCGACATTGCGCATGGTGTATCCGCCGCCCCCGAGCACCAGAACGGGCAGGTTGAAGCTCTTGACGAACTTGACGCAGTTCGCATGGCCCTTCATGCTGAGATTGAAGCAACCCAGCCGGTCGCCCGACAGGCTATCACCCCCACACTGCAGCACCACCGCCTCAGGTCTATACCAATCCATGACCGCCTTGATGACCGGCTCGAAGACGCTCTTGTAGGTCTTGTCGTCGATGCCGTCGCGCAGGGGGAAGTTGACGGAATAGTACTTTCCGTTACCGACGCCGATATCGCGCAGCTCGCCGGTTCCGGGGAAGTATTCGCCGTATTTGTGGAAAGAACACGTCATGACACGATCGGTGGTGTAGAAAGCTTCCTCCACGCCGTCGCCGTGATGGACGTCAATGTCGATGTACAGGACGCGCGACTTGAAGCGCAGGAGTTCGATGATGCCTAGGACGATATCTACGAGGAATTAGTCTTTCGTCAGCATGACTCCCCTAACACCGTCGCCATAGGCGCGCAACTCGAGAGCATGCGACAGGGGTATCCAACTCACCATTAACATAGCAAAACCCGCTCGCCTCGCTCTTCTTCGCATGATGCAGTCCACCCGCCCAGTTAACCGCAACGTCGCACTTGCCGCGATTCAGCCTCGCGGCGCCCTCCATGCTGCCGCCAGCGCTGATACCACAGAACTCGAAGAGGCCGTCGAAGACGGGGCAGTCGTCGCCGACGTTGTATTTGCCCTGCTCCTTGGCGTAGCTGTCCATGTTGTCCGGCGTCACCTTGCGTAGGAAGTCGATGTACTCGTCCGTGTGGAACTGGGTCATCTCGTGCATTGTGGCTGGTTTTGCGCGCTGGGTGGGGTGTCAGCTGATGTCGCTACAGTTGCGGAGGAGCGGAAAGGGCAGATGTGAGGAGCGCTCTCCAGGCTGGGATGCTACTCACATATATCTCCATCTTGGTGTATAGGCCGTAGTTCATGACTATACTATGCGCCATCCGTATCCGGTGCGGCTTCATCGGATGGCCCGCGACATAAGCGTAATTTCCCACATCAGAGTCGTAGAAGTAGGCGACTTTCCGCGATTGCGAGGAGCCATTAACCGGCAGGTCGTCCAAGGGAGCCACAGCGCGCGCCATGACGAGTAGGGGTTTGGATGCTAGCGCTACAAGTGGAGGGCGAGATTCAGAAGGTTCAGAAGGTTCAGAAGAGGAGGAAACGGAGGGCCAGCGTAGAGGAAAGTTGAGAAGGAGGCTGGGGAGGTTGGTTAGGAATAGAAGCTCGAAGATGAAAGATGGGAGGGCATTGCTCTGAACTGGACTGAACCGAACTGAACTGAACCGAACTGAACATGCGGCGCCGCGGTGGGTGACGGCGGGCGGTGAGCGACTAGTGCGGCTCTGCTCTCTCCCGGCCTTGGCGCGACCGCGAAGCTCCGAGAGCCTGGAGCGTGACGATCCGTCAACCTTCCGCTACAGCTGTCTGCCATCTTCTATCACCCGCCACAACACCTGCACCAACTCGACAAAACCCGCCTCTTGTCGCTTGTTTCGGCCTCTTGAAGCTTCCTTGACACACACATCTCCTTGCACGCCACCGATGGACCGATTAAACCGGATGCTGGCTGCGGCCCAGCAGATGGGTGGCATGGGCATGAACGGTCCTGCTCAGGTAGGTACGCTCCGTCTAGTACCATCAAGATCCAGCAGAGGACGAAGACCCAAGGAAGCTCTAAAAGTCGTGGCGCGAAGACGCGCGGATGAACCAGCAAGGAGCTCTGAGAGTGTTGACTGACATCGCCAAGGACACCCAACTCATCGACAACTCCGAAACCGTCTACATCTCCTCCCTCGCGCTACTGAAGATGCTCCGACACGGCCGCGCCGGCGTGCCCATGGAAGTCATGGGTCTGATGCTGGGCGAGTTCGTGGATGACTACACAGTGCGGGTGGTGGACGTTTTCGCCATGCCTCAAAGCGGTACGGGCGTCAGCGTCGAGGCGGTAGATCCAGTATTCCAGACCAAGATGATGGATATGCTGCGGCAAACGGGGCGGTACGTTTCATTTGGGCTGCTCTCTCTCTCTCTCTCTCTCCCCGCCGCACGCTTCATGCATCATGCGCTGACTCAACCTTGCACGCAGACCCGAGACCGTCGTAGGCTGGTACCACTCGCACCCCGGCTTCGGCTGCTGGCTCTCCTCCGTCGACATCAACACGCAACAGTCCTTCGAGCAGCTCACCCCCCGCGCCGTCGCCGTCGTCGTCGACCCGATCCAGTCCGTCAAGGGCAAGGTCGTCATCGACGCCTTCCGCCTCATCAACCCGCAAACGCTGATGATGGGCCACGAGCCGCGGCAAACAACCTCGAACCTGGGGCACCTCAACAAACCTTCCATACAGGCGCTGATACACGGCCTCAATCGGCATTACTACAGCATCGGGATCAACTACCGCAAGACGGGGCTCGAGGAGAACATGCTGATGAACCTGCATAAGCATGTGTGGACGGAGGCGCTGCAGATGGACGACTTTAAGCAGGAGGGCGAGCGGAATATCGAGAGGTTGACGCGGCTGGTCTCGTTGTCGGAGGGGTACGAGAAGAGGGTCAAGGAGGAGACGGAGTTGACCAAGGAGCAGCTGAAGACGAGATATGTGGGCAAGGTGGACCCGAAGAAGCGTACGTAACCCCCGGAACCACTTTGTCAGAACGACCAGGACGGAGTGCTGACCTGACCCTGTCGAACACAGACATCGAAGCCGTCGGCCAGCAGCTCATCGAAGACAACATCGTCTCCGTGTCCAGGCAGATGATCGACAAGGAGGCAACAGTGCCAAAAGCGAACGGCGAGGTGAATGGCCACAACGACATGGAGGTGGACCGCGACGCTGAACTCTAAGGGCGAGGAGGCGTGGCCGTCGTTGTTCAATACAATGTACCATGGGGCGGCGCTATGGAGCATCGGGCATAGATATCGGCTTTCTCCACTGCGGTTTGTGCAGTGCGTGCTCGTCTGGGGAGGATATTGCCAGGCTGGGAATCGGCTGTGGTAGCCACGTCACTAGCGGCCATGATGACCGTGTGAGATACCTCCATGAGCGTGTGTCCACGAGAACAGATAGAAGGGTTCCCGTGAGCGTGTTTGAGTTTGTATGGGTCGACGTGATGAGTGTTGAGATGTGGGCAGTTCGCAATACCGTTGGCAGTTCTCGAGTTCGTTATTACAACCACGGGTCACAAGCACTATCAAGAGATCAAAGCGTTTCCCGAGACTGTTTTCATTGTCTGTCGTTTCCACATGTATCCCGCCATCACTCATTACGCGTGCGGGTATCCCACCGAACGATCAAACCAGCCAAAACGCCTTCTAGTGCCCTAAGCCTTAGCTATCTATGCTCATCACATTTCATGACAGTGCCGCCCAAGATGTGTAAAGATCGTAAGACCAGCCAGTGGTCATCCATCGTTAGTGACAGGCAAGTGAGGAACCGCGAACGCCGTCGCAATGCAATGCAGAAATCACAAGAACCCGAGAAAATAGAAAACGCCTAGTACCGGAACTTGGCTCCCACGGGCGCGGTGGGCCGTACGAAGCTGCCGTTGCTGGGGCCTGTGACGGTGATGTAGACGGTCTCGACGACTGTCTCGCGACCGTTGAAACCGTCGGGTCGGCGCTCGAATCCGCCATCAGGCCTGTTGTCGGGTCGGCCATCGGGCCTGCCGTCAGGCTGTGCGGGAGCTGCAGTCGGTGGCGGTTGGGAAACAGCGGCGGAAGTGACGCTGGTCTGGAATCCGGATGTGCTCGAGGGAGCGAAGGTGCTTGAGCCGACGGGTGTGCTTGAGGCAACAGGTGTGCTTGAGCCAGCAGGTGTGCTGGAGGCAGCCGGCTGTGACTTCTGACCGTTCGTAGGCGCGGCGTCGGGAATGGTCGGTGCAGACACCTCCGCGGTGCGAGACTTGTAGTTCTTGACCGCGGCGGTTTGCGGGTCTTGCTGCACGAGAGCGTTGTTGGCTTTGCCTCGGGGCGGCTCGTTCACGACGTCGACATCGGAGCACGTGATGTAGTACTCCTCCTTGCCGTTCGGTCTGCCCGGGTCCAAGCCGGGGATTGCGCGCCAGTCCCACACCCAGTAGAGGGTGTAAGTCTGGCCACTCTCGAGGTCATCGGGCATTTGGACGTCGGTCTCGCACCACTGCTCGCTAGTAGAGCCAGGTTGGCCAGGGAGCGGATTTGCCTGAGTCTTGCTGCGCTCGGCGGCTACCGGGCTGCCGTTGAGCTGGTAGCATCGGCCATCGTCGTAGTTTTGAATGGCGAGGAGCTTGCCTCGCTTGTCGCCACCACTGCCGTCAGCAGTCCACTTGAGCACATCCATGATCTTCTCATCACCCTTCGGCTCGAGTGTGCCATAAACGAATACAGTACCGCCTGCTTTTGGGTCGGGCGGGAACGGATGCCCGATAGTGTGCAAGGTGACATGTCCGTTCTCGGTGTACTTCATGGCGACATAAGAGCCAGGCGCAACCTGGAGGCGTGGATACTCGTTGCTGATCTGCTGCCTTTCCCTCTGCGAAGGATGGCAGAGAAGATCGGTTTCGTCGATGGCGATCCGGCCAGATGATGCCAGAGGAAGAAGGTGCTGGTTCAAGGGACCATCGAACTTAGGTTCAGTGCGGGCGTGGTAGCCGCGAGGATAGCCATAATCGCCAACGTAGTTGCCACGATCATCGATCGCGACGAGCTGCTCAAGCCAAGTGTGGCCGACGGCTTGTCCGGCGAGGAGTCCCAGGAGGGCGAATTTGTAAATGGAAGGTGCCATTTGTGGGGATTTCGTGAAGAACGTTGCGGTGCGGAAAGCCAGTTTCTTGGTGACGTTCGAGAGGTTGATGTTTGCGATTTCGGCCAGCGAAATGTTCTTAAAAATCCAAAAGTGTTGAGTCAAAGACAGTGATTGTGTGAGTAGGACCTTGCAAGTGAGTAAGATCTTGATAAGAGAATGTTGTTGCTAGTTCAGATCCTGCTGGGAGTTCTTGACTGAAGAAGAGAATGGAAGAGGGCCGAAGTGACTATAAGTAGGCAGGCAAGGCAAGAAGTATTTACAATGAAGGTATTGTGAATGCGCCGGCGCAATGACGTGGAAAGAAAATCAATCTTAGAGCAAAGCCGACAATAGCATTGTTGAAGCGGTCATTGTTAGGGGGACCTCTGCCGGCTTTATGGTGTTGGCGCAGTGAAAGCAGGAGATGACTGTACCCAAGGGTACCTAGTGGCGTTGCGCCTTATGGCCGTGGGCGACAGCAACAATGAAACGGGAAACGCCAAGGCGACTGGATATCGTGAGAGATGTAACAGTACAGTGAAGTGACAAACACCAATGGCATAGCGTTTGAGCAATTGCACGAAACGTGGAGGAAATGCAGGAAGCGTGTGACAGGGTTCCAGTAGATCTGGAATCGGAATACGTGCAACACTAAACGCGGTCTGGTGTCGAGCAGCCGCCCGCTTGTCCTCCCGATATATCGGCGCGTAGGAAGCATCGCAGCACTAGCATACTAATGGCTCACCTACCTCGACCAGAATTGAAGGACTCATGACTCTTGCCGCATATGTGTTTCCATATTTACTCCAGTTTCTGTCGATGCTCCGACAATGGTTTGGTTAGCCTACATCTTCGCCTTCACCACCCGGTGGCGTTGCGGGTCTCTGCTCCGACCGCTACATCACGGACAGCACACCGCGCCGGAAGGTTAGGCTTCGCAGATCAGGCTCACTGGACACGCGACAGGCTGTTAGAGCCGGTTGCTGGGAGCAAAGTGGACCAGTAGATGCGCACACGGTACGAGTGAAGGCGACGTTCCACTGCAAAGTTCAGGAACTAGTTTCGCATGGCGACTCCTAGCATGTTTCTGCAGCGAAGTGAAGCAGAGCCGCAGGTACAAGTGGTTGACATTCGCGCTTCGTGAAGTCGCCGAGTTTTGACGTTTGAGATGTGGCCCGTTTCCGTTTCGAGTTTCAAAGCGGAACGATTGGTCGACCGCCCGAGTTGGCGGCCTGCAAAAGACGGCGCCAACCGCCAGGCCGCTGCCACCCTTGTGCAGCTCTTCATGGGCCTTCCGCAGAGCAACCTTCCATTCACTTGTACCTCGAAGTGACCTACGAACTGCCGGCGAAATCCCAGACTAAGTGAGACGGCCATGGCTGTCTGGATCGGTAATATCTCTTGAGCGTAAGGTCGGCAGCTAATCGCTCTCCCGAGAGGTGGTCACTAAACAGTGCTTGCTTGCTGTGCCTGATAGAGGATGTCGAATTCTCAAATTCAGGCGTCGTTCGATCAAGTGTACGAGTGCTTCCCTACCATATACCACTTGTCACTTGACATGTAGACAGGCAAGCTACAAAGCAACAGTATCGGATTCTTTTTTTTCCTTTGTAACGATCAACTTTCTCCGCGTCATCTTTTTCTTCAATATCATAGTCCTGCAAGAAACGCGTCGTTCATCAAGGCGGATAGAGACGTGTTGTGAGAGTTATCATGCACCAGCCGCTAGTAGGTTGAGGTAGTGGTACTGTTCTCTCCTATCACGGACTTATATCCTCCCCAACACTTCTGGATAAAGCGATACGACTACGTTCCTTGTAAAGACGAGTCGTAGAGGCGCGCCATCTCTCTTATCAAACACGACGTTTCTCTCTCGCTTCCAACGCTTTCCTCGACAAAGAGAAGGAAGAGCAGCTTGCCGTCTACCAGAAGACTGCCAGCCCATCCACCCTATCCGTCCGTTCTCCGCCGCTTTCTTTTTCCGTTAATCGTTTAAGACGCCCTCTACCGCAAGTTGTCCAGCACCACTTTGATATGTTCACCACCACTCAACTATGCAAGGTGCAACCCAGGGCAGAAGCGTTCGGCCCCAACTCTTCCACGGTCGCCTTCTGCATCTTGGATCTGTATACCCTCAAATGCGGCTACAGAGTCACGACGACCACTTACGGGCCGTGTCGCACCAACTGCGCCCTTCACAAGGTTCCTACGTTCGCTGGAGACTTCCTCTGCGAAAGATGCCTCAACGACAACGCCGACCGTCGTTATGCCAACGCACTCCGAGCACTGCGCGACAGGACCGAATTCGACGTGCCCCCGATTTCTGATGTTGAGGATTATGAGAGGTTGCTTTACATCAAATGCCTCCTTGATTGGCGCAATGCGCGTGTGGTAAAACCTGAGAGGGAGGAGGAGCTGAAGACACTGCATAAGCGGGACGCAAGATATGTTTGGGTTCTACCAATCTTGCATGAGACACGAAGGGGGGTGTAGGTTCGTTGTAAGAAGGACGTCGGTGCTGATCTGGCGGCTCTCATGAAACGGCTAGATGTTCATGGGGAAGAGGATGATGATGAGGAGGCGGACGGTGTGCTTGGTGTGGCCGGCAGGCTGCGTAATCTGGGCCTTGAGCAGTGGTGGCTCGAAGTAAAGAATCTGCATCATATGGGTTGGAAGCGTCAGGTTCCATCTTCAGTATCGCGGAACATTCTTTGCGGGCTAGAAGTTGACTGAGCGTACTCACTCGCTTCGTTTTTTCTTTATCAAAGCCCAGAATCACTGCATCCGCAATCAAGCCTGGAATCCCGAAGTCTCAGGATTGTCATCATGGTCAAGTATGTGCTGCATTGACTCCTCAACTGGGCATTTGCCAATCCAGCGTATCCCAGTATTTTGCGTAGCATGATCACTTTGACTGTATCCACTCCCTAGCAGCAGCTCCCTCACGCATTCAGAAGCCCTCTCCCGCCTTCCTGTATCTTGTGCAAGGATATTCCACAGGCCCCATGGCCATTCTCGTTAACAAGTTCACCCCTTCGCCCTTGACCAGGGCCGCAGGACTTCCTCCCCGCATCCATTAAAAACATCATCAAGCACAGTTCAACGTTTGACTCATGCCTTTTGGATTCCTCAGCCACAGCGGCGGTAGTCATGAAAGCCGGGGTGCCGGTTATAGCGAGGGCCGTGATACCATTGAGGGGGGCCGACTGTATTGCGAAGGGTGGATGGGAAGTCCACAGATCAGAGAGATTGTAACTTGTAAGAGTCAGTGACCTAGAGCTGCTAGGCTCGCGATATAGCAACCTTTCTTCGGGAGAGCAGTAAGGTGAGGGTGTGTAATAGGGTATACACACGAACGAGATGGTCAATGTCGAAGGTACGGAGATAAAGGAAAGCCTGCAGTAGGTGGAAGATAAAGCTTGAACGAGATGGTATTATGTAGCTCTACGAATCCGTCCAAGTTGCGCCAGCAATGCCTCTACTAGGAAGCCTTCTCTATCTGAGCAAGTGTATAACTTCTAACGCCAAGAACACCATGCTTAAAAGCGACAACGAATTACGAGACAAGATACAGTCTGCCCTCATACGGTTTGAGGGGACCCTCAGTGCTATCCGCGCTGCTGACTAGCAACTCCAGCTTCCCATCCACCTCGCTAGGCACGCTGTACTCCTGCTCTTTCTCCGTGAAGTTCAGAAGGACCAGCACCTGTTGCCCGTTGTGGCTCTTAGTAAAGATGTATGTGCTCGGGCTCTCCATGTCATGAACCTTGTAGTTGCCATGAATAAAGACATCGTTATACTCCTTCCTGAGCTTGAGCATCTTCTTCCAGAACGCCAGGGTACTGTCCTTATCCTTCTGTTGCTGCGCAACGTTGATCTCGTGGAAAGAGTCATTGACGCGCATCCACGGTTTCTTGCCGCTGGTGAAGCCGCCGTGAGGTGAGTCATCCCACTGCATCGGCGTCCTGGCGTTGTCGCGGCCAAAGTAGTTTAGTGACTCCAGCGCCGCATCCAGCTCTGCCTGATTGCCATTGGTCCTTTCGCTGACGAACTTGTAGTACTTCAGCGCGTCAATGTCCTTGTACTCCTCGATGGGCCAGTCTTTCGGGATGTTGACCATGCCGATCTCCTGCCCCTGGTAGAGATACAGCGTCCCGCTGAATGCGCTCAGCATGATTGCAAGCATTTTTCCGGCCTGCACGCGGAACTCGGGTTTGTCAGTCACGAACCGCGTGATGCTGCGCGCCTGGTCGTGGTTCTCGAGGAAAGCGGTGGTCCAGCCATCATTGTCGTCGATCAGAATTTGCGTACCGCTAAGCGCCTTCTTAAACTCCGGCAACGCCCAGTTGTACGGTTTTGAGTCGTACTTGTATCTTGGCCCCAATCCCACGTTGACGACATCGAACTGGAATACCATGTTCAGTTGCTTCGCCTCAGCAGAAACGTAACGGAGGATGTGTGCTGGATCTGGTGTGTGCGGTAGTTCGCCGACGGTGAAGGCGTCGTACTTCTCCAGAATCGCGTAGATCTCAGAGAGGTAGTCGTGCATGTAGGGACCATTGCAATAGAAATCTGCAGCCTTCTGGAAGAAGCTCGTCTCGTCTTTTATTGGGGCGTCCACAAACTCCTGGTGCTTGCTGTACATGTTGACTGTGTCGACGCGGAAACCGTCGACGCCCCTCTCTAGCCAAAACTCTATGGCAGATGCGTATATGGCTTTCCTCGCCTCCTCATTTTCAAAATTCAGATCAGGCTGTTGTGGCTCGAAAAGATGCAGGTAATACTCCTGCGATCCCTCGTCCCATTCCCACGCAGACCCGCCAAATTCGGAGCGCCAGTTGTTCGGCGGCCGCCGATTGCCGTCTGCGTCATACTTCGCTGGGCGCCAGATGTACCAGTCTCTCTTCTCGCTCTCCTTGCTACTTCGACTCTCCTTGAACCAGGCATGCTGATCACTGGTGTGGTTGATAACCAGGTCCAGTATTATCTTCATGCCCCGCTTGTGTGTTCCCTCAATCAACTCCTCCATATCGTGTACGGTGCCGTAGGGCGGATAGACGGACTCGTAGTCAGAGATGTCGTAGCCCATGTCGACCTGGGGGCTGTCGTACATTGGGCAGACCCAGATGACATCGACACCAAGCTCTTTTATATAGTCGAGTTTGGAGATGATGCCTTGTAGGTCGCCCATACCATCGCCGTTGGAGTCCTTGAAAGAGGCTGGGTATATTTGGTAGACGGTAGCGTCCTGCCAGTATTTGCGCTGGCGGCGCGATACGCCGTTGGTGCCATTGACAATGCTGCCCATCTTGACAGTGTTCGGAAGGACTGTGAGGTGGAGCCAGCAAACTCTGAGGAGCTTTAAAGTCTGAGGAGGGAAACAGAGAAATCGACCTCTGTATTATTCGCTGAGATAAAAAGACGGTAGCTGTGGAAATACGAACGAAGACAGCGAGGGCGATGTGGGATGAGGGGAAATATATGCTGCCAATCGAACCTGAACGATGCGATGGATATATGAACACTTACTCGAGCACCGTCATGCCCGAACAAAGTTTTTACGATGGGGAGCTACTCGGTCACGGCGATAAGTACCAGCCGAATGCTTGTTGATTGGCACAACCGATGCCACCCATTGGCTTCAGCGCGGACCGAGGCGAATATCACAGCTGGCAGCTGGGAGATCAACCAGACGAAGTGACCTCAGATGGGAACTCCCCGCGTCCCAAAGGCCACGAAGCGGCGGGGTGTCGTAATGGGTGCGGGTGTGGAATTCGGGGGATCTGCGGAGTGACGAGGTAGCGGGACGGGTTCCCATCAGGAGGTTGATCGCATGTTCACTGGCCGTCACTCGGTCCGAAACGGCTTGCTGGACTCCACCGCGGCCATGGCACGAGTACCGAGTCGAGCTGATGGCGCCGTCTACCCACTTCAGCCGGCTGCAACCTTACTCTAAACGGCGCGTGGGCGTGGTTGTCCGGAAGAGTTTGTGCTCGAGCAAACCAGGACCGCGGTGAAGTTGGATGGCTCGGCGGATGGTTGATCCTGAGCCTCGGAGACGGAGCCTTCGCCAACGGCCAGCGAAATCCGACTCACGTGACTCGACAGGCGAAGGCTCCGTATCAAAAAACACCGATCCTGATGCAGGAACAGCTGATGACTTGCAGGAGCATCGTGGCTGCTTCTCGGGAGCTTGTCTGCACGATCGTGTTCAATCCACTCGGCGGACGTTCTTCAAGGCCGTCGTCCCGTGAACGTCATATCACAACGCCAAAGGCTGTCGGGGACTCGTTACGAAACGGCACGAGCTGTAGGGTGCCGGGCTGCGTAGACCTTTCCAAAATTGCCTCTAATACCGATTCACTTCCAGATCCTATGTAGATGATCGAATTTCAAGTCTCTACAGGAGTCATTGTGTATCGTAGCTTACTCGTGCCGATGCTGCGTTTGAACTTCCGGAGAAGCGGGAGCGCACGTGGTGGGGCGTGGATCTTCGCTTCCTTGGGCTCCCCGCATTCTCACTCGGGTCACGCAAATTCCAATTTTCCAGTCCGGACATCAGTCCGAGTCGAGGAGTCGATAGCATCCCGTCTGCTTGCCCTTGATCAGGGATCCACCGGTTGTCTAGCTGCCCCCTATGACGATGGCTGACCGTCAGACTCCAGAGGAACCGCGGCGTGTGGTAAACTGGGCACTACATCAGGACGGAAGCCTAGCACAATTGCTGACAGCTCTCAGTCGAAAGCATGCGACGCCTGCCGGCTCCGTAAGGTCAAGTGCAACGGCCAGCAGCGCTGCCAGCAGTGCAACCATCTCAACCTCAAATGCATCTACTCGGCCGCGAAAGTAAGAAAGAACGGCCAGCGGGGGAGCGTCATCTCCGGCTACCGCAACAGCCGGCAGAACGCTCCATCTTCATCGCAGCCGTTGAAGCCCGCCATCATGCCGTGCATCACGCCTTCAACAAGCAGCTTGACAGATTCTCCTGAAGATGGCTTCTCCGACCCAGTCAGCTCGCCGGCTGAGGGTTTAGAGACGGCCTTCTTTCTCGAGATGCTTCCGGACTACCAGGCTTCTGTCTACCCTGTCAATCCCATCATCACTGAAATGGAGGCCAGGGAGTCCATTCTGCGCATGCACACTGATATCGAGCATTGTGCGTTTGCGTATGCCTTCGCCGCGGTAACCATGAACTTGACCAAGACCGGACCAGACACGTCCCCTGATGTTACGAAGCAAGTCTATGACCTCTGCAGGCGGGCCGTCGAGCTACGGGGACCCATTTTACCTAACGAACGCATTACCACACGGAAAATCATGGTCTCAATGTTCGTGCACAACTGCCTGATGACCCTCCAGCACATCGACATGGCCTTTTTCTACATGCGTGAAGCCATCACCATGATCCTGATGCTGCGTGTCGACGACGACGCCGCCATGGCCAAGCTCACCGCAACCGAGCGCGCGCGGTGCCAGCGCCTCTACTGGCTTGCCTTCGTACATGAGCGATTTCTTGCCATTGGAGAACACCGCCCGGTAGTACTCAGCCCTCTGTCCGCCCTTCCGGAGTTTGACAGCAGCATCTCCATCATTGTACACGAAGGCTTCACCCAGATCATCAAGCTGTTCTCTCTCGTGGACGGCGGCTTTTTGAACAACTGGCTCAGCCTCCAATCCCCTTCCAACTCCTCGCTAAGCAGCACCTGGATCGAAGATATGCACAAGCGCCTCGACAACGAGGAAGAGAGTTCTGAAACCACCGCTTTCTTGACAGAAATGCAACAGGCTGACCTCATCATCACTCGGCAATGGCTCCGCATGCTTGTCTGGCAGATGGCGATGTCGAAGTGTCTGCTTTCTTCCTTCAGTCAGAAAGAATGCATGTCCCTCCTTTTTCCGGTGCGGCTGTCTAGTCGAATCCGTGCGGTAATAAGCACAATGAGCAGAGAGGCAATTGAGATCCATGGTAGCGGCATTCTGCAGAAGCTGTTCGAGCTCACAGACACGATCGCAGACGTCATCATCCACGTCCCAGCTGCGACGTTGCAAGAAACATTCAACAGAGTCGATGACTTTCTCTTCCTCCTCCGTTTCCTCTTCACTTTCCCAAGATTTAGTGCGGTGCAGAAGTCGCTTTTGCAGAAGAAACTGGAACAGCTACAGCAGCTGTTTCCGTACATTGCCGGTCCGGGCGAAGGAGTTGCTATTCCACCTGCAGCGGTAAGCCCGGGAACAAATTATACGACCGCCGAGAACATGAGTCCGCAGCAGCCATGGCTACACATGGCGAGGAGCATGTTGCCGCAGGGGCCGATCAGTCCGCCAATGTCCCTACCGGAGATTATCAAGACCCAACACCAGGGAATGAGTGACGGACTGGGTGCCACTGTTGGCGCTGGGGGAACCGGTGGCGGATTACAGGTGCCGGACGGCCAGGCGCAGTTCCAAGACGAGATGTGGCAGCTGATGACCAGGAGGCTAAGTGCTGCTGGGCAGGAGATGTGGTTTGAGTGAAACCGACGGTGGGACTTGGTCTAGAATGTCCGCACAGATTGTGTCGATCAAGGTTGATCCCATTAACGTTCACCGTTTCTCAGGAGCCCGGCGCGAGTGTGTGCCAAAGAGTTCACGGCTTGGAGGCCTACACTTCGGTGGTTCATGGCCAACGCGTGCGAGTGCCATCTCGGCGCTGCCAGCTTGCCTTGTGTATACGGTGCTAACCAGGCGTTAAGGCCAGGCATAGCGGAACAATTCCGATGGCATGGCAGGGAAGGCATCGGAAGAGCGAGCCCTGGAGATGTTTCCGCTCACGTCGTCCTCCCATGATCCCAGGTGAAGCACCCAAGGATCTAATGGAACACGCAAACGGAGCAACGTTTTGCCAACACCATCAGCTTGGTGTGACCCACACTCCACACAATAGGACTTCCGGACTACGGAAAGATAACGGCGAGTAGTGTCTAGCATGACATATCAGACCTTTATGGGCTCTCTATGTCATGTCCGCTGGACACGAGTTAACATGCCCAGACGCTTGTCGCGCAATCCCGTTCGAGAGGAGGCGGAAACAATGACGCTCCTCTATCAACGCTGTTCGAGTTCGATGACGCTGGTGTTAGTCCCAGGGTAGCCCGCAGTGGCACAGCATTCAGCGCCGCTGCAGATTCTCTCAGAGGATCTTTGGCCTCGCGCTACTCGTAGCTAACGCAAGCATTTGGGCGGTCTAGCACTGACCGGTTTTAGACTATCGGAGCGTTCCACGTCAGGCCTTTCCCAGTCATTTCGAAGCTTGCCAAGAAACTCGGATCTTCCGGCTTGTATGCTCATTTCGCCTCACGGATCTGCTCGGACCGCTACGATCTACCTTTTCCGTCGGTCGCTTGGACACTTTCGCGATGACTGGGAAGCGAAGAGGCAGAAGAGCAGTCCATGGCACTGTGATTTCGGAACAGCAACGTGGACTCGGAGGCCTTCGGTTAAGTCGTGGTAGCCTGAAGACGAACGCAGACGGGCAACTCGGGGAGGCCGTTGGGGAAAAGCTAGGCGCTTTGCAAATGGTATCAGGAGACTTTCTGGCGTCGTTGTATCGGTGCTGTCAATGCGTTGGTTGGTACGGCCAGTGATGGGAGTGACGAGGGATGCTCCACGAATTCTTTTGGCGATAAATTGTCTGTTCAAGTGGGACATATGATGTTGTGCGTAGTAGGTCATCCTGTATACCGTTGTAATGACGCAGTTGTAGTGGCCTTGCAAGCTCGAATAGCATTCCCTTCGACGCCTCAGTCCTACTGCGTCGCATGTCCATAATATCGCGGAAAACGACAACGAGTCAGAGGGAGCCGCAACTGAATTACCTATGAAGCTCATGCAAATTCTAGCGGCACATGATTCCTTTCAGATGCGTGAGCATGCGTGTCTATCCCATCTACAACATAAGCGCTTGAGTCCAAACTTCCAGTTTCCCGACCGATTCGTAGTGAAACAAGTAGCAGTGAATTAGTCCCGCACGCTTTCTGCGTCGCGCATTGCTAGCACACTCATGAGCAAACACGATTGTACGTTTCTCCGAAGCATCCAATCAGCTACATCCTCCGCGCTATAACAGGCTTCATTAGAGCAGTTACTAAACCCTCTGCTGTACTCAAGCCTAGGGTCAATGTGTCACTCCTGGCTTGGGATTGCTCTCTGAAATCGTTCTGGTCGATCCATTGTTCAAACAATGGTTCTTTGATGCTATTGCCAAACGAACCTCCTATAAAGAGAACATCCAACTGGCTTTATTGTATGTTTCCTAATCGAAGGCATCCCTTGTTCTTCAAATCAATCTTACAACGTAACCCTCCTTCGAATACCGAGTCGCTTTAGTTGCGTCTTAGAAACCCGAATTTTCATCTTGCCATATACCACTATAAACACCTTTTCCGTTTCACTCCCCAAACACCGAGTCTACCTGAGTTCTAATACCTCAGCAACACAACCACCACAAACATGAGATTCACCTTGATCGTCCTCTCAGCCTCGCTCGCAGCGATTGCCAGCGCGGCGCCAGCCCCCGCAGCACCGCCGGCCGGTCTGCTGAGCGCGGTCAGGAAGCTCTCAACCAAGAAGGTTCAGCCAAGAACAGAAGAGCAAGGGACTTCCATCCCTATTATTGACATCGAGGAGCGCGAGGCGTACACCGCCGTCCACCCAGACCCAAAACCAAATACCAGAAAGACAACCCCTAAGACCCAGAAACGCAGCACCGACGCCGGCTTCGTCCTCTGCATCGACGGCGATTTCAAGAGATGCGAATGGATGCCGCTCGTCGATGCCAAGTGCACTAACGTGCCGGCCCATCTTAACGACAAGATTTCCAGCGTCAGGCCCGATGACAAAAATATTGGACTGGATAAGCAGTGGATTGTGAGATGTATGAGCATGCTAACTGCATGGGTGCCAGAAGGGTGGCTAAGTTTCCGGGGCTGACGCGGCTGGTGGGCTTTAATGATGTGGCTAGTAGTGTTAGGTGCTCGTATACTAATGTGCTGTTGACTGCTTGGAGGGGGTGATGAGGCGAACAAGACTGGACCTTGGGGTCTGCAGTTGAAGTAGCAACGAGCATAGTCTCTATACATCAGCATAACTCCGTTCTATCCAAACCGTCTTTCGAAGTCGCATACGTCTGAATCACTGTCCTGGAGACAGAAGACGCCCTTATACGTGAAATATTCGTCCGTAGTTGCCGTCCTAGCTTATAGCAGCGTCAATGCATTCCTTGCAATCAGGATGAAGTGAGCGTTTGTAGTGGCACGAGAACGATCGGCTTCGCACGATATCCAAGCTGAGAAGGACGAAGACAGCCTAGCCGTTTCGCCACCGCCCTTGCCTCTCCTTGCGCAGGTCGTTCCCCTAGCCAGCCTCGCAAAGGCATACGCGTACGCCCAGAACAGATGTTTCCACCACACCCGCGCCCCCTTTCTTCCCTCCAATCAGACTCGCTGGAAGGACTCGCAAATACAGACGCACGTACATGCGAACCTGGTATACCGCATTATATCGCTCTCGCAGCCTCCCCTCCACCCTCCTCTAGAGCTCTTGCCCGCGCTTTGCCCCTCCCGATCCCACCCTCCCCAACCCCCATCCGCCTCGCGACGTACCGCTGCGCAACGACACCGACAGCGAGGCCGATGGCCTCCTCGATCCACTCGCTGATCCACTCCCTCGGATCCACGCCGCCTTCTTCGATGATTGTAAGAATCTCAGGCGGGAGCTGACCTGACGGCTGGTCCGGGTCATCTGCGGTGGGGGAGGGCGCAGAGGCATCGAGCCAATGCACCCATTTCGCCGGGAAAGATTGCGAGAGTGTAGGGAACGCGAGAGAGTGGATAGGGTCATGAAGGTATATCGCAAAAGCCATGAGCTCTTCCGCTTCATCCTCCTCATGCACCACACCCCCTCCCTCCCCCATGCCATCCCCCCTCTTCTCTCCCGCAGCCTGACTCCCCGCAAACAGCTCCTTCGGCGCCGCATACCCGACCGCCTGCACCGCCAAAAAGATATCCGAGCTCCTCACCGGATTGGTCTCCGATAGGACCTGCGTCGCCATCCTCGCCGCGTTCTCAACCCCGCCCCTCGCAGCAAAGAACTCAGCCGCGTAGCTCTCCGCCCCAACCCTCGCAAGCTTGGTTCCCTCCGGCAGGCCCCTGACGGCCCCGATATCACGCTTGACGCCCCCCTGGCGCCACCAGGGCCCGTCGCTCCACCCGCTGGCGCTAAGGTCGGAGGTATGTGTGGCTTCGGAGCCGCGCTGGATGACGAGGAGGTCTCCGCCTTCGACTTGCGACATTACGCGCGCGAAGGTGCGGTAGATGAGGGGGTCGAGGGAGGGGTAGTGCAGTAGGTCGTGCGTTATGTGGATTTGGAGGCGCTCGTGTTGAGAGATGGGCGGGGCGAGGGTGTGCAGGATGTTGGTGAAGGTAGGGAGGGCGCGGGATTTGAGTTCGCCGCCTGGGTAGTGGAGGTATTAGTATTGCGTGAGGTGATATCCTCAAGATCTGAACGGGTGGATTGGGAGGAAGGGGAGGCAGTACCAAAACCACGCAAGGCGCCGACATTGCCTTTGACCTGCTCAGCCCATCGCTGAGCCTCTTCATTCTTCTGGATCTCCTTTACGGCGGCCTCGGCTTGCTTCACAGCGGCCGATGCTGTCGCGAACAGCCCGCCCCACCATCCACCACCACCGCCGCTCTTCTGCGCTGGCTCAGGAGCTAGCGACGCGGCGTGAGCCTTCTGCTCGTGTTCGGCGGTCTCCTCCAACGAAGGGGTGAAGCTCTGGTGAAAGGAGCGAGTGCTCTCGCCTGACCTTCTGGGTAGCGCATAGGAATGGGCGGGTCTGTCTTCACTCGTTCGACCGGACGACGGTGGCGTCGCAGTGCCGGGGCGTCTGGGCGAGCGGTTGCGGCTTGCGGTGCTGGAGGAGGAGAGCTTGGGTGTTGCAGGCCGGCTTACTGGTCTGGCTGCTAGACTTTCGAGCTCGGCAAGGGGGTCAGGGCCTTCGGCGCTGGGCGTGTGAGCGGTGGATCGGGTTGGTTTCTTTGCGGTTGCGGCGTTGGGAGCTAGGGTGGTGGTGTTGGTGGTTGTAGGGACTGGGGGGGTGTCCTCTGGAATGTCTTCGAACTGAGCGAAGAGCTCTTCATCTGTGAGGGCCTTCTTCTGGGCCATTGCGGGGGTTGAACTACGAATTGCCAGTGTTGCTAGTTGCTGATTGCTGAGTTGAACGTCTGCAGCTGTTCTCTTTGTTCGGTGTGGTTGCTGTGTTGCTTGAATCGCCAGCGGCAGGAGCTCCGTAGCGGGCTGACCAGAAGCACTCTGATTGGCTCAGCCAATGGCAGAGAACAATGCTCACCACTGACCACGACGACAACCATTTCCCATGATCCATCGATCACACAACAATCCAGATACCCTCACGCTCCCTCCTTCCTCAGCTCTACTGTCTGTCTCGCATACTATCGGTACAGTGACAGAACGGGTGGCTTTGTCCTCACTCATCACGCTCAGGGTCGGCCGTATGTGTTGCAGTTGACCTTTCCGGCGTGTGGCACACTTTTCTGGAGGAGCAGTCACGGGAAATCCAGTCTCGATTCACTCGTTCTGTTTTCGTGTTTCATCATTAGCTTTCTTCGGTCAAAGTGATTCTCTGTTTGCTGGACCTCTCTACACACTTGAGCATCTATAATGCGGACCAGAAGCAGTAGAGGCAAAACAAACTCTACCACATCCGCCACGCCAGCCGAGAGCCAAGCAAAGAACGTCTCAACATCGCCAGCTCTTGAGCGCAAGGTCACTCGTTCGTCATCCAGTTCTATATACGATCAGATTTTTGTCGGTGGTAAACCGTCAAAAACACCTTCCATGGCAGACCACGTCCAAGTCACGTGGAAGTCACCCTTCTTGATCTTCAGTCGTCTGGAGAAAGGTTTTTTAGAGGGTTTGGAAAGACGGCGACTACAGAGACTCGAGGAGGAAGCAACGGTGAAGGCAGAACAAGCTCTGCATAAATCGCTGCCGGGCGAGGTGGCGGCTCCGGACGATGTATTAGAGCCGGTCCAGGACGGAGAGTCTGCCCTAGCGGAGCATGTCAATTACGGAGTCCCGCTGAAAACGACGTCTCGCAGGGGTATGCCATCCAGAAGGAAGCGCGGCGGCCGCAGGAACTGGCGACAGCGTATTGTTGCTCCGCAGTCTCCGCTCGATGAGCAACAAGAGCAACAAGAGCAAGGGGGACTGCAGCCCGATCAGTCCGTCAATTCCATAGAACGCGCTGATGAGCCCCTCGGTGAGATGAAGGGGCATGGCACACCTGATATTGTCGTTCCCCCGGGGGCCGTGTTATCACCGCCTGCAACTGATGCATCAAAGCCGGAGAATGCAAGTAGAGAGCCAGCCCAGCTACGCGACGCTCAGCACGGGGCCAGCGAAGAACTGCTGGACAAGGCAAAGCCGACGTCCGCGATGGAGCCAGCAGAATTGATTGACGACCTATCTGATACCGATCTTCCTCCACCTTTCGCCTCCCGCGACACGACCCCCTCCGAATCCGACTTCCCCGAGGATCCCGCCGAGTACCTCCTCCGCTCACGCTTCCTACCAATGACAGATCCACAAGCGTTTGTCAAGGCACTAACAAAGCACGCGCCCTCGGCCCGCACAACAGAGTCACTCTACGACCTCGCACTGGCCACACAAAAAGCCCTCCGCGCCTGGCAGGACGAGTACATCAAACTCGATGTCATCACTGCACCTCAATCCCATCCTCCCAAGAAGCCATGTACAGGCGGCAGGATACCAGTCGACCCCGCCGTCTACGAAGATATGAAAGAAGCGGAACTGTATGGCTACGCCTTTGACCCTAAGAAGCCGCCAGGTTGTCAGGACCCTTTCTCGCAGAGGATCGGTGGCGAGTTCGTTGGTGGCCGCGAGCTACGCACACGCCGGGCGCGTGATTTGGGCTCTGCCGCTGCCAGTGAGACCGAGGACGAAGGGGGCCGAGGCGGCAAGCGGGCGAGGCGAGCGGTCAGAAGGTTCGACCTTGGCGCCAACGGGACCTCTGATGCTGCGCCGGTGCATAGAGGATGGGGCGGAGCTAGGAAGAGGGCCGCGGTAAGCGAGACGCCTGATGTAGAGGGACAACCTATTAGGAAGAGGGGACGACTGGCTGCGAAAGCCATGACGCTGTTGCCCCAGCGCATTCAAGAGATGCGAGCCACGAGTGTTACGACGACTACTGAGGAGGAAGGAGAGGATGATAGTAAGACACCAAGTTACGGAGCCCCAGTCCATCGCAGAGGACGACCGCCGGGCAGTAAGAACCTCGCAGCAAGGAGCGACAAGGGCATAAAGAAAGGTCCAAGAAAATCCAATGCATCCAAGCTGCAGCCTCAGGATCAAGACTACCAAGCTCAGAACAACGCGCTGGAGGCATCGCCCTCTGCTTCCATATCTCAACAACCTCAGACACCACATCCACCACAGCAGGCCCCGCCCGACCAACAATACCAGCAAACACCCGCTCTAGATCCCTTCATGACAAACGCAACCCCCGGCGCCGACTTCATCGAAGCCCCCAACTCCGTCCCACCCCACCACAAACGGCGGCAGCGCGTGAAATCCGAGAAGCGCTCCCACTCAATGACGCTCTGGTGGGCGGAGCGCAAAGCGAAAGCCGCCGAGCAGAAAGCAGACAGCCAGCAGGCAAAGGGAGGGTCGGCGAACTCTCTAGACGCGAACAATGCGGATGATCCGGAACGAGCTGCTGCCGAAAGCCAGGGAGGAGAAAAGACGCCGCAGGAGCGCGCGAAGAGGAGGCCTAGAGCTTTGAAGACCACAATAGTGGCGCCAGCGGCGGGAGTACCATCGCCTTCTTTGACGCCGCGTGACCCGAGCAGTCATATGCGGACGTTCAATTCGTTTCGACCTCTTGCGCCTTCGGGGCAGCATCACTATCCACAGCAGCAGCAGCAACCCCAGAACTACGGCCACCCAGCTCCAGCGCATTCGCGGCATGGTCCACAGCTGGGTCCGGCGCTAGCGCCGCGGCCGCAGCCAGAAGCTAACGGATGGGATCCGCGCATGGATGCGCAGCAAGAGGATGCCTACCTCGAGCAGGTCCAGCGCGAGGAGAATGGGCTGAGGGGGCACCCGGTGCGGAGGGGGTTCGGTGCTTTCCAGTGATATGTTTGGTTTGGCTTGAGGTCTGTTGGGTAAGATAGAGAGAACGATGGTAGGCTCAAGGAGTTTTCATGAGCATGGCTTTGGGGTTTCAGATGGGAAGTGTCGGGAAGCGATGAGGGAAGAAGGAAAGGGCTGAAGCGCTCGTCCTCACATCTCTCTATATATATTGCTCTTTATGCATTTAAAGCGTCAACTCGGCATTTATTCTGTCAACGCTGATGCACTGACGGAGTCTGTACGCTATGGTGGTGGCTCCCGTTCTTGGCGCAAGTGATACGCCCGATAAATCTTTCTGAGATGGTTAGAGTAGTGATTGCCGTGACATACGAGGCGTTCATCAGAGAGCTAAGGCTAGAACTTCGATCACGAACTGACTGATGTTTTGCGTTGAAGTTCATGTTAAGCCATTCATCATGGTCCACAGCCCTGTTCCTGACAGATGCAGCCAACCCTCTAGTGTCGCAGATCTCCCGTCACCCAGATTCCCATCTGCCAAGCCAGAAACTTTCCCATCCACCACGAATCCATCGTCAAACACCAAGAACCCACCCACGCCCCTCACAAACCCCCACAATGCCCCTCGACACCTCAACCTACTCCCTCGCGCTCCTCCGCCTCGACGGCCGACGCTGGAACGAGCTCCGCCGCATCCACGCGCAAATCTCGACCCAAGCCGCCGCCGATGGTTCCTCCTACCTCGAGATGGGGAACACTAAGGTCATCTGCACCGTGACTGGCCCTGCCGAGGGGCGCAGAACCGCACAGGGCGCGGGTCAGGAGTGTAGAGTGGAGGTAGAGATCAGCATTGCGGGCTTTAGCGGGGTGGAGAGGAAACGAAGGGGGAGGGCTGATAAGTGAGTTCGCCGCTACTACAGTCGAGATGGGACGGGATGGGATACTGGGGAGGGAGGTGCTGTTGCGGAGCTGTTTGCTGATAGCCATTGTGAGATAGGCGTACCCAAGAAATGCAGCACACCCTCACAACCGCCTTCACCTCCACCATCTTCACCCACCTCTACCCGCACTCCACCATAACCCTAACCCTGCATGTCCTCTCCCAAGACGGCTCCCTCCTAGCTGCCTGCCTAAATGCCGCAACCCTTGCCCTGATCGACGCCGGCATCCCCATGTCCGACTACCTGTGCGCCTGCACAGCCGGCAGCACTGCGAACGAGGATGCCGACGAGCCGCTGCTGGATCTGAATGGGCTGGAGGAGCAGGAGCTGCCGTTCCTGACGGCGGGGGTGCTGGGGGACAATGATAAGGTTGCAGTGTTGATGCTGGAGACGAGGGTTAGAGTCGAGAGGGTTGAGGGCATGTTGGCGGTTGCGGTGGATGGGTGTAAGAGGGTTAGAGGGATTTTGGATGCGGTTGTTAGGGCGCATGGGAGGAGGATAGTTGAGGAGGGGGTGTGAAGCCGGCTGAAATTGAGAGCAGCATGGGAGGGCTGTCACCAAAGGAAGCCATATTACCCTTGCCGGCTCGCTCGGACCAGTCTCAGACTAGGCACTGGAGATCGGCTTCCGTGCAACATCACCTGTCACGGAGGCTTGACTTCAGAGTGATCGTCTAGACAGCGGATACGTGGCCGTCGCCCGCTCAGGATCCACTGTTCGTCACCCGCTTGCTGGAATGCCTCCACCGTAGAAGCTGAGGACCTTAGTAGGGTGGATCAAGACCGGCGTATGGTCAAGCTAAGGCCTTGTGCCTAAGCGAAGAGCGACAGGCGAGGCTATCAGACGAGACAGCTCAAGTAGAAGCTGCAACGTCTCAGATATTCGTGTCTGAACACCGCTCCGCAGCGCAAGCAGTAGCAATCAATAGACGCTACAGCTCGGCCAGCGAACCATTTGATACTTTGGCAACAGCTACCTGACCCGCCCCTGACTAGGCCATACCCCCACCGTCCTCCAAAACTCCCTTGAATCCAACCTCCGTCCCAGCGTCTCCACATCCCTGGGCAACGCCCTAACCCCTTCCTCAACCATCAATTCCCCGACCCACTTCACGAACTCCAGCTTCTCCGCCTCCTCCTCCCCCATCGTGCTCCTCGCCCTCTCCCTCGCCTCCGCGCCCCACGACTCAATCAAGTCCCACCAATCATACACATGCAAATCCGTGATGATCCACCTCCTTCCTGGCGTGAAGTGCCTATGCACACCTAGGATAGCCCTCGCAACATCCTCGCCATGGATAAGATGTAGCGCGCCCTTGGCCTTGACTTCGGCTTTCGTCTTCGCGACGCGCGTGATCCAGTTCTTGGGGTCGCGGGAGCCGCCGTAGAGGCCCGCGAGATTGAGCACGCAGCCGGAGGCGTGGGTGAGGAGCTCGTCTTCGGCGATTGCGCGGGCGTTGCTGGTGTCGTAGGGACTGGTTTCGTCGGACCAGTCGCTGTCATTCTTGTATATCCCGGTGGAGCCGAGCTGGATCCAGTTGTTGCTCCCGCCGTGGATTTGGCGGTAGGAGCGCGTGAGCAGGTCGGATTGGCCCGTGCCGGTGAGGGGGAATGTGATGAGGACCGTTTTTGCGGACGGGAGGGTCTTGTATTGGTCTAGGCTGTTGCTGGTGGGGTCGAACTTGAAGGGGATGGTGTTGTCGCGGCCGGTTGTCGTGGTTGCGGCATGGCTGATTTTGGATCGCGTGAGGAGGGGGATTAGAAAGGTGGAGGTCCAGCCGGCGCCGAGTATGAGGAGGTCTACGGTGTCGGGCATTGGTCCTCCGCCCATGTTGGTCTTGTGTGGGTTTGGTGGATGGATAGAGAGAATGGCGGGAGGTAGGCTTGCAGGACCCACTGGAACTACCGAAAAATGCTTGCAATAGCGTACGGCCCTAGATAATCTGTGTAGATTGGTATCTGAGTTCAGTTGTAATCAATTGCATTTGGAGTGGGGTGCTTCATACTTCAATTCAGTGACGACATCTAGAGCCCATAGGGCTGAATCAAGCTTTCGGGTGATCGCTGTCAGATCGCTGCCCCCACATTTATTCATCTGCTTTCGCGCCAGCGCGACCGCGACTGCATCTTAACTTCACCACGCCCATTTCCCTACATCTTATCTGTCTGCCAACAACATCGCCAGCATGCTATCCAATGCCGCGCTCGAACCACAGTCCGAAACCTGCGCGTTATCGCATGACCGCAGAGGAGCGTGTCAACAGGATGGAGGGTGAAATGGATGACAGCGACCTTGCGATTACGTCTGAATCCGCTGTGCGAAAGGATTTCGGAGGTACTGACCAATACATTGATGGTAGGGCATCACGACGCGAACAAATCGTACAAGTTGTGCTGATACCTGGCTGGCAGATATCGCTGGCGCATCCGAAGGCTCGACAACAGAAGAAGACGATGAAATCGAACCGAGCGAGCGTCCCCAGATACGCGATGCCCCTCAGTATGGTGTCAAAGTCGAGTGGTCGGATGACGAAGATGTCGGAGCGGCGTACAATATATTCAAGGACCGCAAATCACTGAAACGCAAGCGCACCGCGGCCGGCCAGAGGAAGGCCAGAGCCAGGGTTACTGCAGCAACTTCGAAACCTATCGTGGGAAGGAGGGGCAGAAAGCCGGCAGACCCGGTGGACAACATCAAACCGTCGCTAAAGAAGAACAACACCTATGGCACAGACACGGAGGATGAGGACGAGCTTATGGACCAGACGCTGCCAGAGTGGCTCAAGGCCAGATACAGCAAGAGGGAGCGTGAACAGCTCATTGATGCTGGCTTGAATCTTCCACCCGACTACGAAGATGTCGAGTTCTCCGACGATGAGAGACTGGAGTATCTTAAGGAGAAGCCAGCCTTGCCGCACCTCAAGCCTCCTGGGAAGTACCGAGATATCGTCTTAAAGAAGACTGGAGGGATCATCCCAGCATCGATTGCGCAATTGCTGCGAGAGTATCAGGTCCAAGGCGCTGAGTTCCTCCACAACCTGTTCGTCTTCCAGAAAGGCGGCATTCTCGGTGACGACATGGGTCTGGGTAAGACCATCCAGGTCATCGCATTCCTGACGGCCGCTTTTGGTAAGACCGGAGATGAGCGGGACGCGAAGCGGATGCGAAAGATTCGAACAACCCATCCCAAGGCCTTCTATCCTAGAATCTTAATCATCTGCCCTGGTGGATTGATGGAGAACTGGAAGTCAGAGCTGGAGAGGTGGGGCTGGTGGCATGTTTACGTATATCACGGAGCGCCAGATATCAAAGAGGCCACCATCAAAGCGGCGCTCAGCGGCCGTGTAGAAATCGTAATCACAACCTACACCACCTATCGCATCAACAAAGGCGCCATCAATATCGTTGCATGGGACTGCGTCGTAGCGGACGAGTGCCACATCATCAAAGGCCGGAGCTCCGAGGTCACACAGGCAATGAACGACATCAATGCTCTCTGCCGAATCGGCCTGACAGGAACGGCAATCCAGAACAAGTACGAGGAACTGTGGACGCTTCTTAACTGGAGCAATCCTGGGAGGTTCGGCTCTCTGGCGACTTGGAAGATGTGCATCAGCGAGCCGCTGAAAATGGGTCAAGCCCATGATGCAACCTACCAGCAGCTAGCGAAGGCAAGGAAAACAGCCACCTCGCTGGTCAAGAACCTCCTTCCTGCGTTCTTCCTGCGCCGAATGAAAACGCTCATCGCGGATCAGCTGCCGAAGAAGAGTGATCGTGTTGTATTCTGCCCCTTGACGGATACACAGGCGGATGCTTATGAGAACATTGTCGACAGCGATACCATCGAGTACATCCGTTCTTCGTCTGAGATATGCCCCTGCGGTTCAGGGAAGAAACGGGGCTGGTGCTGCTACACAGACATCCCTGGCCGTGGCAAGTGGCAGAACCACGTCTTTCCCGCCATCGTCTTTCTACAAAAGCTAGCAAACCATCTCGCACAGCTTATCCCGACATCTACAGACCCGCAGGAGAAACAAGCCAAGGACCTTGAGAACCTCCAGATTGCGGTTCCGGACCGATGGAAAGATCTGTACCAGCAGAAGGATTCGATTTTGCACTATGCGAACCAAGACTTCTGTGGTAAATGGAAGATCCTAAAGAAGCTCCTGACTTTTTGGCATGCATGCGGCGACAAAGTCCTAGTATTCAGCCATTCCGTACGCCTACTCAAGATGCTGCAGATGCTGTTCACGTCAACCACCTCCTATAACGTGTCCTATCTCGACGGAGCAATGAGCTACGAAGACCGCGCCAAAACCGTCGACGCCTTCAACGCGGACCCAGCCCAGTTCGTCTTCCTCATCTCCACGAAAGCCGGCGGCGTGGGCCTGAACATCACCTCGGCGAACAAAGTCGTCGTCGTCGACCCCAACTGGAACCCTGCCTACGACCTTCAAGCCCAAGACCGCGCGTACCGCATCGGGCAGACAAGGGACGTTGAGGTCTTCCGTCTCGTCAGCGCGGGCACGATCGAGGAGATTGTCTACGCCCGCCAGATATATAAGCAACAGCAGGCGAACATCGGCTACAACGCCTCCCTCGAGCGTCGCTACTTCAAGGGCGTGCAGGACCAGAAGGAGAAGAAAGGCGAGATCTTTGGGCTTGCGAACCTCTTTAGTTTCCAGGGCGACAATATCGTCCTCAGGGATATCGTCAACAAGACTAACGTCGCGGAGTCGAAGGCGGGCGTCAAGGTCGTCGGCTTCGATGCCTCTGCGTCCCAGGACGATGGCGATGATGATGACCCGGAGGACTTTATCAAGGGCGAGGACGAGGACGCGGCGATGTCGCAGCTCGCAAAGCTTGTCACGGCTGACTTGCCGGAAAAGGAGAGGAAGTTCAGGAAGGGCGGAGGGAAGAAGTCGGATGCTGTTCAGGCCATCCTGGCGAGCGCAGGCGTGCAGTATACGCACGAGAACAGCGAGGTTATTGGCACGTCGAGAGCGGAGACGGCGTTCAGTCGGCGCGCCGTCGAGGTCGAGAACGATGTTGACATGATTGGTAAAGCGGTCTTCGGGGGAAGCCAGTCGCAGCGACTTCAGAAGTCTTCATCAGCGGGCGTTCTGGATGCTGATGCTGATTTTGATGATGAAAGCGAGGAGGAAGGGAGTCAAATCGCGTTCAAGTATAGGCCGCCGGAGGAGGTTAGAAAGAGGCAGTTCTGCACTATGGCGAAGACGTTTGGGTTTGCCGATGCCACTGAGTTCGCGCTTGTGGTCGAGGGGTGCACGCAGGCACAGCGGAGGAACTGGCTTGAGAAGTTTTACCGGACGAGGAGGCCGGGCCTGGGGCTGGGCAGGAAAGCTGTATTGGAGGAGTGAGATACGGCGATAGGGCCTTAACAGCCCTCATGGAGGCTGGTCATCGTACCAGAAGCATCCAAACACTTTCTAGTGGAGATCCGTGTCAATGATATCCTACTCATGGTACATCGCCTGAGGCAGATGGCATTTTGCCTAAGATACAGCCATACCACGTGGCACGAAGATAAAGCAATTGGCGTTCACGAATTGCTGCTCTGCCATCGCCCCCGATTAGCCTCTTGTGCTCTATGAGCATGGTATTAAGCTCTTGAATCAGGCTATATCTATCTAGATTCTAGATCCATCTTTGTCAGCAATAGTAAGCAATGCTTGTTCTGGGGTAGCCCGCTTTCTATTGGCCAGCCGCCACACAGAGGGTCGCTCAACCGGAGCAATCGAAGGCGGCGCCAACCCACAAGCCGGCAGCCCGCCGACGATGGCTGCATCTTTGGCTTTGAGGCTTGTGTTGCATAAGCAGACCGCTGCCCATGGCATGTCCAGTCAATTTCCTATGATCACTGTGAAATCCACCTCTCCCTCTAGTAGACACGTCGGGAACACTGCTCTTCGTATCGAACACCGTTCGTTGCGTCCTCTGCATCCCCAAATGTGATTCGTAACTCTCTCCACCAAACTCCTGTTCCAAAGTCCTCGAGTCTATACCAGAACCGCAGTCTCATGCTCAATAAACTTCCTCTGTTCAAGCTCTCGTCTATGGGCTACCGCGACCGCGTAGCGGCATATTCAGAGAAGCCCGCCGTGGCATCAGCGTCCATATAGCACATCGTACTATAACACCCATCATCTCCATTAGTTCATACATGTCTGGTTGCGCACTACAAACGAAGCGTAATGGCCTCAAACTCGCCAGACGACCATGTCTCCCCAGTCCCCCGCACCGCCTCCGCCGAGTATACCACCCACAACAGCCGCATACACAAGCCATCGGTCTCCTCCGCTTCCGCCAATGGCGCTTTCAATCCCCGCTCTTGCACCACCTGCCGCCGGCGCAAAGTAAAGTGCGACAAGAAGCAGCCATGCGGCAACTGTACCAAGGCCCACATCGACTGCATCTTCCCTGCGCCAGGGCGTGCGCCGCGTAAGCCACGGAAACCACAGGATGCAGAACTCATGGACAGGCTGAGGAAGCTGGAGGGCGTGGTGCAGAGCTTGGGCATGCAGGTCGAGGAGGACGTGATGGGGAGTGGCGTCTCGCGGCTGCGGCCACACCAACAAGGCTCACAGAGCAGAAAGAGCTCGGAGGCGCAAAAGCAAGACGAGCTAAGCACACGAGAGGAAGTTGGGAACTGCTTCAAAGCTCAGACAAGTGAAGCCGACCTGGAAGACAACGCGGCGAGGTTTGGGAGGCTTGTGGTGGAGGAAGGGAGAAGCAGGTACATCAACAATAGCTACTGGGCGAGTCTGAACAATGAAGTGGAGGACCTGAAGGCAATGCTTCACGAGTCCTCAGACGAGGAAGAAGAGGACTATCCTTCGCCGTCCACATCGCATAGTGGGACAAGCCATCACGGTTTTATGTTTGGCTTCAGTTCAACGAGCGTCGACATGGTCCCGCTGCACCCAGCAGCAGAGCGAATACCTGTTTACTGGCAGATGTACAAGGAGAACATCGATCCTATAGTCAAAATCCTCCACATCCCGAGCATAGAACCAAAGATTTTGGAAGCGTACTTGGACCGTATACCCAAGGGTCTCGAGGCACTACTTTTCTCCATTTACTATGGCGTAGCTACAACCCTCGACCATGAACAGTGCCTAACTCAACTGGGCGAAGAGAAGGACATTCTGATCAAGAGATATCGCTTTGCCTTCGAACAGTCCCTAGCGCGAGCCCATTTCCTTACAACAGACGTCGAAGTCATTGTTCTCCAAGCCTTCGTCATCTTCCTTATCCTCCTCCGTCGTAACAACGATGCCCGCGAACTTTTTACGTTGGCGGCTGTTGTGGTACGCATAGCTCAAGCGCTTGGTCTACACCGCGATGGCAGCCACTTTGATATTCCTCCCTTCGACATTGAGATGCGCCGACGGCTGTGGTATCAAATCTGCCTTGTCGATGTGCGAGCAAGCGAGGACCACGGCTGTGATCCGACGATATTCGAGGCGAGCTTTGACACGAAGATGCCGCTCAATGTTAACGACAGCGACCTGTCCCCTGATATGAAAGAGTTGCCTGCAGAGCGCCTTGGCCCCACAGAGATGACGTTCGGCCTCATTCGCTTCGAAGTCGCCTCCGTTCTCCGCAGAATCCAGTACACCCCGCTCGGCCTCAAGACGAAATGCAGCGGGACGTACGCCATGGCGTCGCTCCAGCAGAAGGAGAAATGGATACAGCAGTACCACCAGCGGCTTGAAGAGAAGTACCTGCGTCATGCGGATATGAGCGTCCCGCTCTATTGGGTTATGGCGACAGTGGCGAGACTGGTTGCGAGCAAGATGTGGCTGATGCTATACCATCCTTTCCAGCGCCTCGACGGCGGCGCGAGCCTGCCGCAGGGGATCAGGGACAAGCTCTTCGTCACAAGCCTTGAGAACGTGGAGTACGCGCTCCTGCTGTACACTGAAGCACGGACGATGCGGTGGAGCTGGCTCTTCCGCACCTATGTCCAGTGGCACGCCATCGCCTTCCTGCTCTCAGAACTCTGCGTGCGTACAAGAGGTCCGCACGTAGAAAGAGCGTGGAGGGCCGTCGAAGCCACGGCGGCGGCGAGGTGGGAGGACTCGCATGACCAGAAACAGAGTGCGCTGTGGAAGCCTTTGAGGAAGCTGATGACGAGGGCGCAAGAGGCGCGGCAGAAGGCGCTGGACGAGGACGGAGACGCCGAGTTGCCGGAGACGGCGCCGACGCTGCCGCTGCGGTCAAGCTCCTCGCAGCCATTTGCGGCGGCATCAGGACTGCCGACTCCAGCAGCACAGGATACTTTCGACATCACGCAGATGTCTTATCCACAGTTCGCTGTGAACAGGGAAATACCGTTGGGCAACAGCCTGATGACCCCCTTCAGGCCCGTAAGCTTCGGCCCGTCAACCGGACTGACGCCTCAACCGATCACCATGGCCTCTGCGGCGTCTCTTTCACCATCCTTCGACGCCGCACCAAGGTTATCAGCCGAGATCATCCCAGAGCAGTTCAACCTGGACGCCAGCTTTGACTGGAACGCTCTCAGCGACCAACTCGACAACCAAGCTACAGGAACTGGGATTGTGAACTGGGAGAACTGGGATGACGCCGTTAGGCAGCTTGGAGACGAACTGCCGATGGACGTCGACGGGACTGATGGGATGAGTCTGGGTCTGAGGCCGACCATTGGAGGAAGTCATTATTGGTATTAAGGACTGATCGGGTCTTCCGGAGATTGCGGTTTGGACAGCAGGAGAAGCGTCGTGCTGCAGTCTGTTGCATGGAGCAACTCTGGTGGGAACTTGCTTAAGAGCATTGAACATGACTGTGCGTGTTTCACGGTGGTCACTCTTGTATATACCCCCTCTCACAGTACTTCAGCCCTGTTAAAGACTCACCGCGTGGCTAAATGGTACTTAAATATCTTCCTGGTAACGAAAGTCATTGACATCTCAAGGACTGCTTCCTTGTAAAGACCGGCAAGCATAGTGTGCTTCGTTAACACCCCACGATGCGCTCACAATCAAAACAAAAGGAATCTCTCAGCGTTCCATACGGAACCATACAGCAGGTTGACCTTGCACCAAGCCTCTGAGGTCTCCCCTCGATGCAGTCGGCGTTTTAGTAACTCACTTCTGATCCTGATCTCACGTTTGGTACGTGATCGGTACTGGTAGTCTTGTAACGATAGGATTCTAGCTCCAGATCTGTCGCAAATTCGTGTCGAACAATCTGGAAGCGTAGTGCTGGCCGCGGGTACGGCTCTCCGTCAACAGCTGCGGCGGCGAGCTGCGAAGATGCAGGGAGAGGCGGCGAGGAGTGGATGTTTCAACGCCATCCGAAATTCTACCGGTCACTATTTACAATTTCCAACCATAACACCAAGAAAGTAGGTACGCACAGCGCACAACTTCACCACACCAGCGTCCGAAGCCGTCAATGCCCCCGCGAAGCTTCTGCAGTCCGATCTCTCCAGACAAAACCTGATAAACGTATAAATCTCCAACAATGACCGCCTCCGACGGCGCGTCCTCCATCTCCGTCACCGTTCGGGTCCGTCCATTCACAATCCGAGAAGCTGCCCAGTTAGCGAAAACCGACGACGGGCCCTTTTTCCTCGGTGATGGCTCACTCGCCTGTGCGCCCACTCCTCAGCTGAAGCAAAAGGGTCTAAAACCGGTCATCAAGGTCGTCGACGATAAGTGCTTGTACGGGGTAACGTCGTGCCATGTGGGGACTGGACGCCGCTAATGGGTACTGCAGAGTGTTTGACCCTCCAGACGACAACCCGGTGCAGCGCCTGAGATCCCAAGGACCGCAGGGAAAGCGAGTCAAAGACCAGACTTTTGTTTTCGACAAGGTGTTCGACGAAAACACCACCCAGGGCGATGTGTACGAAGCGACCACGAAGACACTACTGGACAGTGTGCTGGAAGGATACAATGCGACGGTGTTTGCGTATGGCGCGACTGGCTGCGGAAAGACACACACCATTACCGGCACGGCACAGGCGCCTGGCATCATATTCCTCACGATGCAGGAGCTGTTTGAGCGGATACAGGATGTACAAGAAGAGAAAGTAACAGAGATATCGCTGTCCTACCTGGAGATCTACAACGAGACGATACGTGATCTGCTGGTACCGGGCGGGAGCAAGCAGAGCCTGATGTTGCGCGAAGATGCGAATCAAGCAGTGTCGGTAGCTGGCTTGACGAGTCACCATCCTCAAAATGTACGCGTACCCCAAAAACATGGAAACGATACACACTGACTCCTGCAGGTACAAGAAGTGATGGACATCATCGTACGAGGCAACGAATACCGAACAATGTCACCCACCGAAGCCAACGCCACCTCCTCGCGCTCGCACGCCGTACTCCAGATCAACGTCTCACAGAAAGACCGAAACGCAGATGTCAACGAGCCCCACACCATGGCTACCCTAAGCATCATCGATCTTGCAGGAAGCGAACGTGCCAGTGCGACGAAGAACCGCGGCGAGCGGCTGCTCGAAGGCGCCAACATCAACAAGTCTCTCCTTGCGCTCGGAAGCTGTATCAATGCGCTCTGCGACCCTCGGAAGCGCAACCATGTCCCGTACCGCAACTCGAAACTTACCCGTTTACTGAAGTTCTCCCTCGGCGGCAACTGTCGAACTGTGATGATTGTCTGCGTCAGTCCCTCTAGCGCGCATTTCGATGAGACGCAGAACACGCTCCGGTACGCGAATCGCGCGAAGAACATCCAGACCAAGGTGACGAAGAACGTTTACAACGTCAACCGCCACGTGAAGGACTACCTTAAGAAAATTGACGAGCAGCGCATTCTCATTGATGAGCTGAAAGCAAGAGAGAAGGACCAAGAGAGAGTCTACTTTGACAAATTCCACAAATCAACCGAGAAGAGGGATGGCATTGTCCGAGACGGCATTTCAAGGATACGCAGTGCATACGAGTTCTCAGCCGCGGAACGACAGGAGAGGATCAATACTATGAAGAGACTCCGGCAAGTGGAGCGCAGAATTTCCATGCTCTCTGCGTGGATAGCTGGCTTCGACGCTGTGACGGAAATCAGAGAAGACGAGGAACCTCCGAAAAACCTGGTAGCAACGCGCAAGACTGCTTTAGGTATACAGGCCGAACTGGAGAGCAGCCGGCAGCATTACCACCAGCGGCTGGCGAAGAACAATTGGGAACGCGCCGTAGAGACCGCAGTGCAGACCGGCTTGAGGCAATTGAAAGAGAGCGACGGGGCCAGCGACGGAAGCGAGGCTTCGAGCTTGATCCGCGAAGCAGAGCTACTGAGATCAAATGCCGACCGAGAAGCCTACACGAGCGTCCTGGAGCAGGAGAAAGGCGGCGATGCAGCCATCATGCAAGTCCTGCTGCAAGCACACTTCGAAACTATCGCAATCCTCGGCCAGATCATGATAATGGACGAAGCGGAAGCGGTAAAGGCGGCGAGAAACCTGCTAGGAAAGATAAGCACCGCTTGCTTAGACGCAACGTCCCAAGTCATCAAGCCGGATGGTGGCCTACCTATCACCGAAGCATTCCCGCCCACGAAGTCCGGTACGCCTAAGAGGAAGAAGGCGGCAAATCTGATGGCTCCTTCCCCAATGCGAGCACCGATATCCAGACCGAGTCTGCTGGATGCGCCTCATCTGGGCTCGTCTCCGATGAAAGGCTCTCCCAGGAGGCGTAAGATGGGCGGTGCGAAGAAAGGAGTAACCTTCACCCCGAAGAAGAAATCCCCGGTCAAGAGCCTGAAACGCGGCGTCCGATGGAAAGATGACACTGAAGACGGCGCTCTAGCTGAATTCCAAGTGACGCCGCAGCCCATCGAGTCGACACCTGAGCAATCGACTGTCGAGCTCCAACCACCCCCGTTACCAACCCTTGTCTCCGCCTCCGATCTCGAATCCTCCCCCGTCCCCGCACCACCGGAAACCTCCCTCGACGCCAAACCCACCAGCTCCCGCTTCCAAACAGGCTTCCTGTCCAAGAAATCTCAAGGCTCTCCCGCACCCCCAACACTAAGCTATCTCTCCTCCGACTCCGAGCACTCCCCCCTCCGCGAGATGGCCGCAAACAGCGCACCCCACCGCTCATCGCTGCACCACGTCTACACCGCCTCCGCCTCCTCGGACGTAACACCAGCAGACAGCGGCGGCAACTCCTCATCCTCGGACGAAGCTGAGAAATCCTGGGGCCTCGACGGCGCGGACGCGAAGAAGATCCGCACGGCTATAAAGCGCACCTCGTCCTCAGGCCGGGACAGCAGGACGCATAGAAGGAGAAGCCCGACCGCGACGGCGCAGGGAAGCCCGCCGAACGAGAACGCGCTGTTCACGGCGAGTCATGCACGGCGGATGGGCACGCGGGAGCGGGAGGAAGCGCGGATGAGCGTGCTGAGTCCGAGGACGGCGCCGGTTGTTAAGACGGGTGCGAGGAGGACGACGACGATGGGGGAAGAGAGGGGGAGGGAGAGGGAGGGGGTCAGGAGCGGGCATGTGCGGGTTTCAAGTACAACGCCGACGCCGGGGAGTGTGAGGGGGAGTATCATGAATAGCAAGGGCGTGTGGCGGTAGAGCGTTCCTGTCCGTCGTTCCTAGACTTCTTTCTCTGATCAAAACATTGACACGGCCTCTACATTCTCTGGGCAGGTATTGGGTGACGTGCAAGTCTGGGTTGCCCTGATAGGATCTGGCGTTTCGGAGCAACGTTGTCTTTACTGCCGTCTGGGGAGCATCCGGTCGCGATGTCGGCTGGAGTCTGCGCAGGACGGGGTAGTGTTGGGGCCGTCTTTCTTTTTAGCAAACTGTATGATAGTACACATCCATGCAACGCGGCCTGGCAACCGAACGGCCAATACAGACTAAAGCACTGTCTTTCTATCCTTGTTTGACCTCTGGTCTTTGTTGACAGCTCTTAAAGACCGATTTGAGTGTGAAGCGGTGAATGCGTCTCCAGCAACCAGGCGTTGCTGTTGTTTCCGCGAAGGCTCGAAAGTGGTCCGAGATTCCGTCTGATAGGGTGCCAAAATTTTTCAAGCGTAAATATGCGGCCCGCTGACGAAGCCTGGAGTTAGAACAGTTAATGACTATGCCGACAGCGGCTGAGTAAAGTCAACCTAGAGAGTAGGCGGAGAGTGGGAGAAAAGCAAAGCGTAAGATTGGTACAGCGAGGTGTTTCGAGGACACAACGCATCAGCCCGCTGCTGCTAACTCACACGATGAAAGTAGTAGTAGTCACTGCTAATTCTGCGAAGTGTTTTGAGATTTTTAAACGGGTTTGACTGAGGAAACGGTAGTCTGGGTTAAGCATCTAGAGAAGCGCAGTGGTTCAACGAGGTTGAGGAAAGGCTGTACGAACCACGTGACCTACGTTACGATTCCCATCAACATCAAAGCGTAGATACAACGGACAGAGCAGATAAGAAAAATTCAGCCCCGAGACGATAAGGCTGTAGGTATTTTGAGCGACATCGCAATCCATATGCCAAAGCTCGCCCAAGTGAGTCTGGCTCTAACCCTTCATAACCCATCAAATCATCCGTTCGTAAACAAGACTCCATAACGCCCCAGCTACGCATTTCCCAACCCAGCGTTTCGTTAGCCACAGAACACCGAGTCAACCGTCCGAGCCATGTACCTTTAAAGACCAAGTCTTCCCAGATGCCATCCACGGCTGTTCCGAACCCTTTCTGCCTTCCAATCATTTTGCCTCTCCTCACAACCCCGTGCACATGCCAGAGTACAACCGGTCAGTAGAGGCTTTTCCTCCGTCTATCACGTCTATCGTCATACCTAGAATCGTCCTCCCACCCTGAACTCGCCTTCCAGCCTCCCTCTCGTCTGCTCCCGTTAGGCTTCCCCTTATCATACCCCCTCCTCTCGAGCTCATTCGCCCCAAGGCCACCGATGACCGCCCCTGCCGCTGCAGCTAGCCTGCTGCCTCTCGCGAACTCACTTCCGACGAGTCCACCGGCTAGAGCCCCAACTACAGTGGAAGCCAAGGCCGTCTTCCTGTTTCTGCTGCGCGAGCGCGGCCTCTTGGACCGTCGGGATTCTGTGACCGAGCTTGGCGAGCGGGGAGGTGAGGAGTTGCGGTATTCGTCTAGGTCGCGGTCGTAGTAGTCTTCCGGTGCGGATGGATCGTCGGGAAGATCGTACCTGGACTTGGAGACGTGGTTGTAGGGAGCGGGATAGGCGTTTCTGGAGGTCGGAGGCTCGTAAGGTGGGTTTGGGTAGGCGGGTTGCGGGTAGGTTATTCTGGGCGGAGGCGCGACGCCGCTCGAACGCGCGTAGTCGGCGCTTGCTGCGTAGCGATCGTTTGTAGTATAGTCTCTTGGATCGTAGGTGGCTGGTCCTCGGTACGGTGGTGGCTGCGGATAATCGTAGTGTTGCCGCGCTTTGTGGCCGCCACCCCCTCCGCGCCCCGGATACCGCGTTCTCTCGTCGCTATGCCGTGAGTGGTCGCTCCGATAACCGTTCTCATCATCATATCCCCTCCGATGCCCTTCTCCTCTCCTGTCATATCCGTTGCTTGAACTTCGCGCTCTGCCTCCATGGTATCGTGAATCTGGATATAGATCTCCCGGGTTGTCGTAACCAAGTCCGCTATCCCTCACAGCGCCGGCGACTCCGTTTCTTGCTTGGTCCACTCGACCACGGGGTGGCTCATCGGGGTAATCGTCGTTCTTGTAGTTGTTCGGATAACCATACTGCTTCTGATCGTTGTTCCAGTTCGGATGGTGGCCATGTAAATGCGGTCTTTCTGGCATATGTTCGTAGACTCTGTCGTAGTATTTGTCCACGCCTTTGTCGATGCCTTCGAACCCAAGTTCCTACTATGCGATCAGGATTTGCAGCAAAGTCTGCGACGGAGAAGCAATACTTACGACTAGGTCGTCCATGATAACGGGAGCGGAGCTTGTGGATTCGTGTATGTGCACGGAGTCCAACGCATGGATAAATGTTAGCTCGCGATAGTCATGATGCCGAGTTGTGAAGGCGCTGGCGCAAACCAGATGATTAAGAAGGCTGGGCCACGTCCCTGGCAGGGTTCATGCAGGATGATGAGCGGGCGGACGCAGGAGAACGAATTGCCTTGCCGCACGTAGCGCAAAGCTTGGCTGACGATCAGGTGTGGACCTGGAATGGCTCTGGAATGGCTCTCGTGGGGGAAGCGGTCACGTGAAGATCCTTCAGAAGTCGGGTGTGAGCCTTGAGCCATGCCCGCCTCACGCCGCCTCACTGGAGAGAGGATTGAGATATGCTAACAGTTGGTACAGTTGATACAATTGATCGTGAATCCGACGCACTCGCTCAATGTTTTGCTGTCTACTCTAAACGCTTGAATGACAGTACAGACATTCCATACCAGGCTGATCAATTCGCATCCTGCGAAAACATCCCAAGGCGATGCCTGAGCAGGCCAGCGATTAGCTGTCAGCTTCCGCATACCGCCTGATACATAAACCAAATCCATCTACTCCGTCGGGCGCCAAAACATCACTCCAACCATGCTTCCCAAAGCGCGGCCATCCAATCTAGGCCTTGACGCCCGCGAGCAGCTTCACGTGCTGGCTCGGGTGCGTCTTGTCCACATTGCCCTTCGCCATCCTCTTCATGACAAAGTTGCCGTCGATGTCGACATCCTCCTGGAGCTTGCCGTTGGCGACCCTCCACTTGCCGGCGATGGTGAGAGTGCCGACTGGCGGGTTGGCGTTGACGAGCGTGTCGACGCCGCCGGCGACGTTTGTGATGGTGAGCTTGTAGGTCGTCTGGCCGATGGGCTTCCGGTCGGTGACTTCGTAGACGGCTTTGCTCTTGGGGTCGCCGGACAACATCTTGTAGGAGATGATTTCGGGTGCGAGGGCGTGGATCATGACTTCGTGGTTCTGGACGGCGGCAACGGCCTGGGCGTCGGTCATGCCGGCCGGGATGGGCGTGGAGACGGAGGTGGTAGGCATTTTGAGGTGAACGGAGAGATGCTTTGGTGTGTATGGGAGGTTTGTGGTAGTTGAAACGCTTGATGGATGAAGAGCCTTTGGGAACTCTCACGGCTGATATATACCTCTGCCTACGCGGAGCCGCCTTGTCCACTTACCTGTACCGCAATAAGCAGCTCGCTGCCCGAAAGTCCGGTTGACTTAGGGGCCTGACGCCGTATGTGAATGGCCCTTTACAGCTCGGCATCGTCTTACAGCCGAGCGACCTCATCGGACTTTGAGCACTGCCAGGTTTGACCCGTCGGATCCCCAAGGGACAGCGGTGCAACTGACCAATCAGCGCTTCTGGATGGAGTGTAAGTATCTTCAAAGCTCCACCATCGGCAGGCTCGGCCACGGCTCCGCAGTGCTTTCGCGGGTGCTACCGCAGCAGCTAAAACGCGGTAGCTTACAGAGTGGTGTGAGCGGGCTGGAATTGTGTGTTCCAGGAAGAGATGGAGAGGCTGAGTATTTGTCTCAGGATGCTGGTCATCTAATTTTAGATTGAGGCTACCTCTCCTCACACGAGGCACCTTGCCGATGCTTTGCCACCTGGCCAACTCGGAGTTTCCAAGTTGAAGCCGAAGGGCAGCTTTACGGGCTGCTGTTCCTCGGGCGCACTTGGTTTACATGTTTTCATATTTTGAAAGTACGGATTATGGGGAATCCAAGCATCAGCGGCTCAGTGATTTCCAACTCCACCTCATCTCTCTTGATACGAATTAGCTAAAGGCGTAAACTACAGCGTAATGGCCTTTGACAAGCGTAGATGTAGACGAGGCAAGTCCAATCAACTCTTCTCGTACCACGCTGTATCCCAAGAACATTTCCATCTCACCGGCCGTTAGGTTACAGACCTGCCGTCGAGCCTTCCAATGAGCGCTGTTCGGAGGTGAATGGCCATCTGGTGTCTTCGTCGACTTGCGGCAGAAGCCACTTCAGCCGTTGCGCCAGGACTTCCCTAGGCATGGAACCCGCGTATGCAGGATGAGATTAGGAATTGACCCGCTGGAGTGGGCTCCCTAATGCAACGGGGATCCTTCCGGGCCCAGCCGTCAACCCGCAGACGAGCCATACCCACTTCCAAAAACAGAATCGGCCTTCAGCCTCCGGTCCCAGACAACCACGCCGCTGCTGATCCTCTTGAACTTTACAACTCTGGATTCCGGAATGAACTCCTCATCCGTCTGCTCCCTCTTCCACTCCCTGATCCGTTTCTCCATCTCACCCACAAACCGGTCTTCGTATACCACCACGTAGTCGTCGGCCTCAAAGCTGGGATCCCAAAGGAGCTTGTGGAGCACGTCCCGTGCTGAGCGGAGCTTTGGCGTCGGCGAGGCAGAGTGCTGGGTGCGTTGCGCTTGGCTAGGGGAGTATGAAATGATGCGGTTGTTGGTGGATGATTCGATTCCTTCAATCTCGTCGTCGGACAGGGCGGCTTCTGCCATACGTTGGGAGATGAGGGCACGGATGTGGGAGAGATCTTGCCCGGGGTGCTGCGTCTTGAGAGCTTGTCTATACTGCTCGAGCAGTTCCGAGAGAGGTCGTGTGTCGGATGGGGTTGCTGAGAGCCGCCGCGCTGTGCTCGTGGAAGCTGTGTCGGCAGCTGTGCCTTCGTGTGCGGTGGTTTGTGGTTCAGCCATAGTCGCACGTTGGGGGTTGCTTATTGCTTGGACTGACTGAAGAAAGACAAGTCTTGTTTATGCCAAGCACGGCAGTAAGTGTACGCTCAGGAAACCTATGGAGGCTCTTTTTGGAGCTATCCGGAAGTGTCGGAGAAAGTAGATTTAGACTGGAAAACTGCTCTTTTAGAGGGAAATACAAATGACTCCCTTCGCTCCTGCCGAGTGAGTCACGGCAGGCCACTTGGATACTCCGCCTACCTCTACGCTTGCGCCGCACAGGTCGAACGGTAGTTCGCGATCACTACCTAGGTAGCTGTTGCCGCTGTAGCACTGCCATTTGAGTCACAGGCGGGCGGTGTTGACGGTGCCCTGACGGTTCAAGGGTTTCCTCAACTTAGGTGACAGATCTGGCCGTGCTTCGTCTTTCCGGTCAGGATCTCGGCGATAGGCTATGACCCGTTTGACAGGTTGAGAAGCGCTTCGATGCTTACCTAGGTACTTTGCAGACTGGACTAGGAGGAGCGGGCGCCGGTCCAGTGCAAGATGTGGGTGCAGACGCGCCCGAGCCCGGCTTCTGGCGGCCTTCTCGAAGGGCTTAGCCGCTTCAACGGTGCTTAGGGATGGAGAACTCCACCACCCCGCCGTTTGTGTGTCTCATTGTGGTTTCTTCAGCGATATCCCATTCTCCCTGTTGTTCGTACGCTCAGTAGCTGTGTAGCCATCCTCTCGGTGCAGCGGGAGTCAAACCCTCCCCTTCCCACCGCCTGGAGCGCTCCCCAGCGACGCGACCTTTCAAGGCTTGCACGAAGCGAACCCCGCGGTGATCGACACCTGACCGCCCACGATGATATCAGCTCCTTGGTCCCCTACAGAAGCTTAGGGAGCTTGCGAACCCGCTTAATGACTCGCCAATCCCGACCTGTCTTCTCACCTGGAGAAAACACTCCGTCTGCTGTCTGATACTCTCACTGCTAACAGTCAGCTTCAACCTCAAAGCACATCCGGGCGCCGAGACTTGCACAGCCCTACGCGCGATCGTCGGCGCGTGGGACCCGCGAGCGACTGCTCAACCCTTCGCCGCGCACTTTTACTGTGTCTCTACCTCCATATCATCCTTGCCATGCGACGCTCCCACCGAACGGGCGGAGGCCCAACAACCTACGCCAGCAAGTCAAACGCGCCGCCAGTACCCGATCCTATCGCATTGATCAGATCCTACGACTCAGAGGCAAATACAACGCGCCCGATACGACCCTCTCCCCTTACAGCATCGACGATACAAGGCTTGCCGTTGGACGTGTTCGACAGACTCCGATCCTTCCCTCTCTTCGTCTCCGCACCAGACACCTTCCTTGCCGCCATTGGCACGCAGCTGCGCCCGCAGGTACACCAGACGAACGACTACATATTGACCGAGGGAGATGATGCGAAAGCCATGTACTGGCTGGTGCGCGGCGCGGTGAGGGTGGCATCAAGGGATGGCGAAAGCACATATGCTGAGCTCAAGCCTGGAGCTTTCTTTGGCGAGATTGGCATCTTGATGGACATCCCACGGACAGCGACAGTCATTGCCAACATGCGGTCTTTGGTCGTGCGACTGAACAAGGAAGACCTGGCCAAGGTGCTGCCAAACTTCCCGGACGTTGAACGTGCGATCAGGGAGGAGGCCAAAGAGCGTCTCACTATACTGGAGCGGAAGAAGAAAGAGATGGGCCATGGCGGTGTGCAAGATCCTGGGAATGCGCTCTTGAGGAATGGGAAGAGGACGCGCCAAAGCCTAGGCGGGGATGTCGTAATGGGAGAGGCTGGGGCAATAAGAGATGGAGAGGTTGTAACCACCAGCAAGAAGAGAAAATCACCTAGCCCAGGGCTGGCAGAAGCAGCAGCGTCGAGCGCGTTAGGCAGTGGAGCCGTGAATGTGCGACAATTGCTGAAGGAGCTACCCCTTTTCTCAAGCTTGCCAACTGAGATCCTGCATTTCCTCGGGCTGAAGGCGCAACCGCGCACATATCCTCCTTTCACCGACATCATCAAACAGGGCTCTCAGGGTCACGACGTGTTTTTCATCGTGCGAGGAGAGGTCGAGGTCGTTGCAGATCCGCCACCCACAAAGGATGGCAAGAGGGTGTCAAATCCGCTTGACCCGAAGCCTGGCGGCCCTCCGCTGGTCAAGGCGCGTCTGAAGCCTGGTCAATACTTCGGGGAGGTCACGAGTTTATCTTTGGCCCCTCGACGGACTGCCACCGTACGCTCAGTAGACTCCGTGGAGTGCTTACTGATCAGCAACGATGTGCTCGAGGAGCTTTGGCAAAAGTGTTCTCCAGACCTACGTCGTCAGGTGGAGGACACGGCGAAGCAGAGACTAGAGGCCGCAGAAAGCTCTGACGTACTTATGATAGACACGGGAGATAGCACGCCGCCTATCAGCGAACTCGTCATTGCAGATCTAGGACCTCGAAAAGCGAGGAAGAAATCCGTCCCTACAGTAACATTTTCAGAGATCGACTACGCAACACCAAGCCCTCTAAGCCCGCTAAGCCCCCTAGAAGACAGTCCCAACATCGAGCCTGCGGATCCAGATCCGTTTCTGAATGTGGATCTCGACAACGTGAGGTCGAGGTCAAGAAGAGGCTCTCTTGCGCCGCCCGCGCCCTCAGCGGAAGCACCACCATCCCCTGACCAGAAGGTACCGAAGTCGCCCTCACCAGTGAACGGACAATGCATCTCGCCATCGCCGCTGAAACCGAAGCACGAAGCTACACCGCCGGAACCATCGCTTCCCATTAAACGGCCCAGGGTCTTCCGAAGGACGACTCCAGGTGGGACAGGTGTACTACCTGAAGCCGTCCTCATTCGCGTGTTCCAGCACTTCGACGTTTACGAACTCATGCAGCTACGGCTAGTATCGATGCACTGGGCGAAGCTTCTCACAGACTCACCAGACATCCTCCATGTACTCGATCTCACCAAATACAACCGCCGCGTCACCGACACCACACTCAACGAGATCATCTGCCCTTTCGTCGGCAACAGGCCTCGGATCGTCGACATCAGTAACTGCTTCCACGTCACGGACGAAGGCTTCACAGCGCTCGCCCTCCAGTGCGGCGCCCACGTGACATCGTGGAAGATGAAATCAGTCTGGGACATCACCGGCCCCGCTGTCCTAGAGATGGCAAATAGAGCCAAGGGTCTCGAGGAAGTAGATTTCAGCAACTGCCGCAAGGTGGGAGACAATCTCCTTGCCCGCGTTGTCGGCTGGGTTGTGCCAGACATCCCTCCGGCTACCCATCATCACCAGCAACAGCATCCGCCTAACGGACGGACAAGGCATGGAGGCAAAAACCACAATCAGCCTCCGCAGCCTCCTCTCCCCGCGGGCACCGTGATCGGCTGCCCGCGGCTCAAGCGGCTGACCCTGTCGTACTGCAAGCACATCACAGACAGGAGTATGGCGCACATTGCCGCGCACGCCGCCGGGAGGATCGAGTCGATCGACCTTACGAGGTGCACGACGATCACGGATCATGGCTTCCAGCAGTGGAGCATCTATGCTTTTCCGCGGCTGAGCAAGCTCTGTCTGGCTGACTGTACGTATCTGACCGATAACGCGATCGTGCATCTTAGCAACGCTGCGAAGGGGCTAAGGGAGCTTGATCTGGTAAAGCCCTCTCTCTTCCCCCTTCACCCCCCTTCCCCCCTTCCCTAACCCAGCTAGTCAGGTAAACATCAAAGATATCGTCTTGCTGATGTGGGGATGTTTGTTTCTAGTCCTTCTGCTGCGCCCTTTCCGACACCGCAACCGAAGTTCTCTCCCTCGGCTGCCCAAACCTCACGCACCTAAACCTCGCCTTTTGCGGCTCCGCGGTGTCAGACAGCTCCCTGCGCTCCATCGGCCTGCACCTGCTCGAGCTGAAAGAGCTGTCCGTGCGCGGCTGCGTAAGGGTCACGGGGACAGGCGTCGAGGCTGTCGTCGATGGCTGCCATCAGCTTGAGCTGTTTGACGTTAGCCAGTGTAAGAACCTTAGGGGGTGGTTGGAGGGAGGGGGGATTAAGCGGAAGGGGAAGGGGGTTAGGTTTGAGGTTGTTAAAGGGGGCAGGGGGAGGTGGTGAGGTGGGGAAGGGGGGGTTTGGCCGGGATTTAGGAGGAGGTATATCAGGGGGATTTGCTGGGGATCTGGGAAGTGGATGTTCTGGCTATGTTGGTTATGTCGGTTGCATGGTCGTGGAGTTTGCTCTTCGTCAATTTCTCTTCCTCTCTTGCTGTTCGCCTTTTGCTTTTTGCTTTTTGCTTCGCTGGATGGATCTCCAAGCTTGTCGATATCTGTGATACCACGAGGTCTGGAGCATTGGAGTGGATGGAACAATCTTGGATTCGGCTTGAGAAGGGTGCATTGAGCGGTGTCGAGCAGCTGTCAACTCGAAGTTCACGCCGGCTACAGCTTAGGATTTTGCTCCGTGGTGACCGTAAATAATGGCCGGGTCGAGCGAGGTTGTATGAGTTGAATTTGGCGACCGAGCTGGAGCCGTAGTCGTCTCGCTGTGTGAACACTGGTATGGATCCTGTAACGTACGTGGCATTCAAAATAAGAGCTGGGCTTCTCGAACGTCGTGTCTCCAGCAGATCTTAGCGTAAACTGTTTTGCAAGTGCATCTTCAGCTCGATTGCAGGTCCAGCTTGGCCATATGGCGCGGAAACTTTCGCCGTCTGGCAACCTCCGCAAAGCCAGATCGTAACGGAACAGTGACAGCTGTAAGAATAATTTAAAACTATAATGTTGCGATGCACTAAGAACAGAGAGGTATCAACGACGTTCCCAAAGCCAACTCCGGGTTTCCAAAATAAGAAAAGGTGTACTCCAAACCCCAATCCAAATCCAATCCAAATCCAATCCAAATCACGGACCCAGCCGCGACTACCGCCACGAGGCTTCAGCTGGATACCTCCTCCCCCCAACGCCATCCACAGACTGCACGTGCCTGTGCCCCATCCTCACCCTCTCCCTATCCCTGTCCCTCTCACCACGATGCCTCTCCCGCTCCGTCTCTCGCTCCCATGACGGCTCCCTGAGATCAGCCGCTGCTCGCACATACCCTTCCCTCCAGCTCTCGGCCCTCCTCCTGCCGTCCAGTACTTCCTCATCCTTGTACCTCGTCGCCGGCCTATTTCCACTATAGCCACTCCTCCCACTCGTCACCGGCCTCCCGTAATTGGCATAATACGCATGCGCAGGCTGCAGTTGCGCAACCTGCGCCGCGAACAGCGGAGCTTTCGAGGGCCCGTACGCAGACGACGCCGCCGCCGCCGTGGGAGGCATAGGCACATCGCCGTCTCGGCCGTAGTCAGCCGAATACCGCCGCCCGGACCCAGGCTCGTAGATGTGCGGGAGGTACTCGCGCGGGCTGTGCGAGGGTTCGTGGCTTCTCCGGTGCCGGAGTGTCTGACCCGGAGTGTCTGAATCCGAGGTCGACTCTGTCGACACCAGGCTGCCGGCTCTGATGCGGGTCTCTTGGCGCGAGGGTGCGGCGGGTCGTTGGGGCTGGTACGGCTGCTGGGAGTGCTGTGCTTGATGCTGATGCGACGGCGGCGAGCTGCGTGAGGGCGCTGTGGCGTATCGATGCAGGCCTGTGGGGGTCGCATCCTCCTCGTCGTCGCCGTCGTCGGGGGTGTAGCGGTCGGCGAAGCCACGCTGGCGCTCGGTGGTTCGGTTCCAGGGCAGATGCGGCGCCCAGGCGTGGCGGACGCCCTTGATGAACTCGCGCGGGGAGCGAGGCGGGTTTTTCGAATAGCGCCGGATCATGGTGGGGCGGTTGCGTTGGTTGCGGTAGAGGGGGTCGCGGAAGTAGGCCGCGGCTCCGTTGCGCTCGTCTGCTGAGCTGTCATCGGGGCTTCGTGCGCGTCGCTCGCCTCCCCCTTGGCGGCCGTCGGTGGGGGGTTGCTCTTCTGCTTCGCATTGTTGGCGTAGTCGGTCTGAGACGCCTTCGTACCAGCGTACCATGTCTGCGTCCGGCTCTCTGGGGAAGGACTCGGTGGGGAGGAGCTTCGGGAAAGGCTGGCCGGTGCTCGGGTCGATGATGTCGAGCGTAGCGACAGCGTTTTGGAGGAAAGGGACATGCTCTTCGGGGCCCAGCAGCAGCTGGATGGTCTGCCAGGTCACGAAGCCCTTCTTCTTCAGCGCGGGTATATTAGGCGTGCCGTAGCCATCGTCGGTAGGCGTGGGTTGGAGCGAGTGTAGGCAGCCGAGCGACTTGTAGATGAAGGCCATGGACTGCGGGGGCGTGTCGATGAAGAGGATGTCGTAGTCGCCGCCGACTGCGCGGTAGAAGGCGGCGAGCTGGGACGGGGTGATGTCGGGTCCATCGCTGGGTTGGTCGAGGTTGCGACTCTGGCGAAGATGTCAGCGCCGTTGATTGAGAGCACAGATGGGGAGCGGTACTATGAAGTCTGCAATGCCGGCAAGCAGCCTGTTCAGCAGCTCTGTACCGCACTTGTCGGGCTTGAAGAGGTAGCCCCAGTACTGAAACGCTTCTTTCGGCTGCGCATCCACGGGCTCGGCCATGACGAGGATAAGACTACAGCATGAACAGATCCTGCGCTTTTGCACAGCGGAGCAGCAGTTCCCCGCCTTAACTCTTAACTAGGTACCTATGCTGCCTGACTCTTGCACACCTGCAGGCACGCTGACATGGGCAATGCTGGCTTGCAGAGGTTTAAGGTTCAAGGTTCAAGGTTCAAGCCACCGGTCGTTCCTGGCGCATCGCGTAAGGGGCCATCTTAGGAGGCGTAAGAGATGCAAACGAGCGCAAGAGCGTCAGCTGCTGGCCTCATGCGGCAGTCGGCAGTCAGCAGTTCCGGCTTTGCTGCCGTGGACCAGCCCATGTTGCGGGAGGGGAGTGATGGTGACGGCCGGCGTGGCAGTGAGTCGTGCCTGGAGCCTGGAGCTTTCAGGTGCCCGCCTCAGCAACGCTGCCCCGTGTGAGCGCCTCCGACATCGCCCGCGACACAAGGCGCCCGGCCATCGCTCCCAGCTGACTGCATCATACACATCACGGTTAGGTTTTGGTACAAGAGACTTCGCTGTTGTTGCACTTCTGTCAGGCGAACTTCAAAGCAGTGGGATACTCTCGTTAACTTTTGCCTCAACGTGGATAGCAAAGCAAGCGTGCGAATAACTCAGTGTATCAATTCCTGGCCCGAGCTCGCGTCACAACCTAGGTACTCTCACAATGCTGCCTCCAAATCATGAGATGGATGTTTTGAGATACAGTGAATGCTCAGACGGTCATAATGCAAAAACACCCTGACAACCACGCCCAACAGCGAGCAAATTTAGTGCTCCAACAGCCTCAAGCTACCCTGGACCACCACGTTCTCCAAGATGGACCCTGGTGGGATATCGATCGTGCTACCCTCGGTAGCGACGATGATGACCGTACCCTTCATCGTGACACCCCGGCCTAGGTTGACGGCACCGGTGATCGTGAGGTGGTCGAGCTCGACAATCTTGGGAATGCTTGGGATGCGCGCCTGGAAGCTGGACACCTTCTTGAAGTCGCTGCCCAGCTTGATGAGAGGAGCCGGACCGAAGCGGTTCGGGTCCATCATGAGCTGGCCGTGCTGCAGCGTGTACAGATCCGACTTGACGAGCATGAGATCCGAGCAGGTCTTGACGGGCAAGAAGCGTCGGCGGGGCACGTTGACACCGTGGGCACCGTGGAAGTGACGGATGGCAGCGCCGACAGCGGTCTCGAGCTGGAGGACGCTGAGATCTGCCTCGCCCTTCTTGTCGGCCGGGATGGACTTCCCGTTCGGAATAATCTCCATGGCCAGTTCGTTGTTCTCGACAACGCGCTTGACCGCCTTGAGGTTCATCCAAATGTTGTTGGTGTTGAAGTACTTGAACTTCTTGATCGACTTGAACTCGTTGACGTGCTCCTTGGGAACCTGGGCGATTTCGAGCAGACGTGCCTGGCCTTCGTAGTCAATGATGGTACCACCCTTGACGTCGGCCTTGGTCTTGTCAGTCAACTCCATGATGTACTCGGCCTTGGAGTCGACCATGTGCTGGAGGATCCGTAGATCGACCACAGCGCCCAGGTTGTCCGCGTTGGAAAGGAAGATGATCTCGATGCCGCGGTCAATGAGCTTGTCGAGGATGCCGGAGTTGTACATGGATTCGAACACGTCACCGTGCCCTGGTGGATACCAGTTGGCAATGTCGGAGTCGGCAGACTTGGGCGCGGGTAGCAGGGAGTCCTTGAGAATGCGAGGGTATTTTGACTGGTTGAAGGTCATGATGTCAATGTTGTGGCCTTCGTACTTCTTGATGATGCTGGCGGTGTCTGCATCGGTGTTGAAGGAGTTCATGAGCACGAAAGGTACGTTGACATCGTATGTCCGGTTGAGGTACTCGATCTGCCTGACAGACAAGTCGAGGAAAGACATGCCGTCTCGGACTTCGATGACGGACTTGGGGCCAACACAACCCATGGAGGTACCGAGACCGCCATTGAGCTTAACTACGGCCAGCTTGTTCAGGAAGTCGATGTTCTCGGAGGCGGGAAGATCGTTGTAGTTGATGACCTGCTCTGGCTTCGGCGGTGCGATGCGCGACCACTCAATGGCGTTACCCTTGGCCTTGTCGTTTAGGTATCTCCTGAAGAGGGCGAAGAAGTTGTCCATTTCAGTTTCGAATCTCTGTCGTATCGCGTTAGTAAGTGTTCGGTGCCATTACAGATATAGTCTTAGCTAACCTTCTTCTCTTCAGGGTCCTTGACTGTATCGCAGAGGTTGTTGAGAGCATTGCGCATTTGCGACGCGGCGACAGAGGTCTGGGTGTTCTCGAATGCCTGTCATACAAAGTACTGGTGAGCTGTGGAACTACAAGTGTGCAAAATTGTCATGCATTAGGCGGCCCCGGATGTATGTGTTGTCGCCAGACCTGTCCGAATGGTGGGGCCCTCGCCGTGCAACAACCTCCGCTGCCTGGCTTCTCCGCCCCATGGTCACATTGAGCAGAGTGAAGAAGTACGCTGGTTCAGGGAGGTGTTTCCGGTATTATGACCTTCTGCGAGTCCACATCCATAGAATCGAGGAGTTGTTCTTCGCATTGTCCCGCCAGATATGATTGGGCAGTTCTTGCATCGTTGGAATGCCATGTAGCAGGCCCGGGCTGTCCGTCCAAGAGGGCGAGCACCTCAGCCTTGACATCCTCGTCCGACAACCGTTCAGGGATATCGAGACCCGCATCGGAGGCTGCCTCAGGTGTGTCCAGTGTTCCCCCATACAGTATGACAGAGCCTTGCTGCTGCGGCTCGTCGAAAGAGAAAGCACGCGGCGAACAGGAGCGACAGTCGAACATGCCCGGATGGCTGTGGTGAGAATTTTGCTCATCCTCGGAGACGAGGTCGGTGGTGCCGTCGTAGTACAGGACATCGATGTTACCACTTCTATGAACGCAAAACTGGCGAGCAGGTATATTGGACTCTCGTATAGCAGGGGATCGCCGAATTTCGGGTTTCGCAGGGAACGGTGCGCCTGCGGCGTAATGATGCAGGGCCCTCTCGTCGGCCAGGATAGCCTCGTCGATGGATACGTCGAACCCAAGTCGCTGCGCAGCAAACAGGCGGCCAGAGGTCTTTGGATTTTCCATATCGAGGGCCGGCCCAATGGCATGAAAGGAGCTGCAGAGCTTCACTTACCACATGGGATTGAGTCTTGCCATGGTGTTTCCTGGCAAACCCGTCTGAGTCGCCATTGCCCGCGGCAGACGGCTTCAAGTGCGAGGGAAGAGCGTCCTTGACTCTGGCAGCCATTGTGATTGATGCGTCTCTGCGAGGGAAGTGGTGGGAAGGAGAACTGCAGAGAGCAACGGTCAGGAGCTGTGACGTGTTTGCTGCAGAAGGAGGGGAACTCACGCTCAAGCGAAGATTGTGAAACACGGCTGAGGGGGCTGCCGAATTGGGGAAGCAGCTCAGTGAGTAGGCAGAGGGCAGGCAGAGGAAGAGCGAAGCAAGAAGTGAGCAATTGCAAAGGAAGAAGAGCAGGTTGCCGCTCTTTTATGGGAATTTCTTCTGAGGGAGCAGCTGGCGCGTTGGCGCTAGTGGGGGGACGGGATCTAACAAGAAGGGTTGGGGGGCTCGGGGGGCAGAAGAGTCGGCCCACCCACCGCCCGCTCGAGCTGAGGCTGCTCAATTCGGGGTGCCACCGTTGGAGCTTCGGCCTTCCGACAATTTTCCTGAGCAGAAGAGTGGACAGCGAGCTCAAGGGGCCTTGCTGGCTTTGGAAAGCTCATCCTTGCCCTTGTCACTCCCGCAGCAGTGCAAACACTCAAAGCACCATGCCAATTGCTTCTGAGAAGTGTCACACATTGCGTCCGCCTTCTCCTTGAGGCCCGAAGCAGCTCTCTATTGCTTGGTTCATTGGGGCAGGGTTTGCAAGGGAAGGCCAACGACCACGCCATCGTCAAAGGGCAATCCAGGGTCCGTGGGCAGAAACTTCGGGAGGCTCGACTTTAGGGTGCCCTGTGCCAGACTTCCGGATTGCTATCACGAGTAAAGCAGATGGCTCAATTCGAGCAATAGTCAAACGCCCTCGCAACAATCTGGCTCTTCTACCCCGTAGCTCCCTTCGCGCCCGATAGATCGCCAGCCATGTCGCCAACGTGGTGCACTGGCCGTCGAAACCCGTCGACGAGGCGGTCAGCTTCAAAGGCCGCTATCTCCACCAACGCCCCACGGGGGATCAGCATCTGTTCTACTGACTGTTGCACACGTGCTGGATGCTTTCACAGAGAAACGCTCATGAAGATATCATCACCACTGAGCGGACACTTGCTGCAGAGCAGCGCTTAAGGAGAGCGTGGAGAGTCAGGACACCGTGGACAAGTCCCTGACCCGCACCCGAGATTAGTCTGACGCCACGCTCAGAGCCACAGCCGGTGGATCATAGTGTGGTCAAATCGCTACACACGTGGATGCCCCTTCTCGTTGCCTAGCTGCTAAGCACTGCCCTGTCAGCTACTATGTGGTGGTATTGATGGCGCCTTTTCAGTCTCGGACGCGGTCGATAAACCCCTATCCGTGACGAAGCTCCCCTGACTCTATCTATCAATTCCAAGCCCATTCCCACGTGGATGCTTTGCAAGACTAGGTAACAAGTACACGTTGCGACAGGTGTTCTAGCCATCCCAATCGGCTTCCAATCACTGTACCGGAGATGCCATTCAGGGCCTACGATCAAGTACAGATCGACACGCTGGAGTTTCGGAAGCGTAGCATATTGGCCTTCTCAAACGATCCCATAGAGCCATAGGTACCCTACGAGCATATCTGTTACAAAACCTCACTCCTCCTTGATCCTGACGATCTCAATGGCCGGCGCGTCCGCAAAAGGGACAGCCACAGGTTTCTCAACCCGCAATCTGACGCTGGCACCGGGCGAAACTGAATTGGAGAATCCGGCCTCTACTTCGGCAGCCACTTTTGTTGCCAGGGATTCCAGCGTTTCGAAATCGGAATCTCCAATGGCCTGGGATCCAGAGTTAGCAGATGCTCGAACGACATCAACATGCGAAGCGGTTACCTTGGTTAGGATTTGCTCAGCCTTAATATACAGATCAGCGGCCGCCATATCAACAAGCTTGTCAATCCATATATTCGCGACCACTGCTTGCTTTAATTGCCTTTCATGGCTGTTGACTCCGATGATAGTGGGAACGCGAACGTTTCTGACATATAGCACGTCTGAGACTTCTCCATTCTTGTGGTTCGTTGATCGACGATAACCTGCCCCTTCTCCCAACATGCTGGCTTTTGGGTAGAATATATCTATCTCGCTAGCCGCAATGATTTCTGGAGAGGCTGCTGACCGGAGACACGCCTCCCTTACGAGCAATGCTAGGTTGAATGTGCCATGCCACATGGCCGATGTCTCCTCTTTCACTGAACTGATGATGTTCTTGCTCAGTTTGCCATAATGCACCGTACTACCGTCGACGACATCTCCCTCCGCAGCCGATTGAAAGGACTGGGCGAGGGAGAGTGACACTGAGATGAGGAGTGGTTGTTCTTTATTTCGACCCCAGACGTCGAGGCCAGCATTGGCGGTAAGACTGATATTGCGCACAGAAACCTTGTCGGCTGGATATGGTGCGCCGCGTTCCCACTCCCGTTGGCTGACCAGACGCTCAGCTTCTTCCATCGCGCTCTTGGATGTGAAGTTTCGATGCCGTGCGCAATAACTATCAAGCCTTGTGTAGAGACGGGATTTTGGTCACGGGAGCTTGAGCCTCTCAGCCCTACAGCGATGACGGAACCAGGCAGAACATAGCTCCGGCGGAAAGCATAGAAGCTTCTAGGAAATGCCAAGCATCAACTTGAAGCTGCGAAGTTGATAATCTTCCAAGCCTGCTTCAAACCTGGACAGCCAGGAATTCTGATTGAACCTGTATTCCAAGCGCATCTTATCATGGCAGACGCACTCAAGGCAGAAGGCAACAAGCTCTTCGCAGAGAAGAAGTTCCAAGAATCAATGTATTTACCCTGGAGCTTTCCAGCTGACATCTCAGGAGCTAACCATCCGCAGTGAGAAGTTTACACAAGCCATCGAGCTTGACCCGTCAAACCATGTCCTCTATTCGAACCGGTCAGGGTCCTATGCTTCCCTAAAAGATTTCGACAAGGCCCTAGAGGACGCGACGAAGGTCACGGAGATCAAGCCTGACTGGCCGAAAGGCTGGACGCGTAAAGCGGCTGCGCTCCATGGTCAGGGTGATCTCGGTAAGTCACCAGGAACTCCGCCAATGCCAGAAGCACACTGACCCGACCTTCAGTCGGCGCGAACGACGCGTACGAGGAAGCCCTCAAGCTCGACCCTAACAACACCCAAGCAAAGTCCGGCCTTGCATCCGTCAAGCGCGCCATCGAGGCCGAAGCACAGGAAGATGGCCTCAGCGGCGATCCAAGCGGTGGGCTCGGCAACCTCTTCAACGACCCTCAGATGATACAGAAGCTCGCCAGCAATCCCAAGACTAGCGGACTCCTGGCGGACGCGGAGTTCATGGGGAAGTTACAACGGCTGAAGCAGAATCCCAATAGCATTGGCACGGAGATGCGGGATCCGAGGTTCCTGCAGGTCATGAGCGTGCTGCTGGGTATAGACATGCAGTTTGGTGGCCCAGGCGGGCCAGGTGGAGACACTCAGGCTGGTGCCGCGTCCTCGAGGGAAGCAGATGAGGATGTGCCAATGCCAGACGCCAGGCCGACGTCACAACCTCAGCAGGCCCGACAACCTGAACCCGAGCCCGAGCCGGAACCAGAAGATGAGGAGGCCGTTGCTAAACGAGAGGCGAAGGAGAAGGCGGAGCAGGAGAAAAAGCTTGGCACCGAGAATTACAAGAAGAGGCAGTTCGACGCGGCTATCGAGCACTACAGCAAGGCATGGGAGCTACATAAAGATATTACCTACTTGACAAATCTCAGCGCAGCCAAGTTCGAGAAGGGCGACTATCAGGGCGCAATCGAGGCGTGTGAGGAAGCCATTCAGGAGGGCAGAGAAGTGATGGCCGACTTCAAAGTCATCGCCAAGTATGTTTGTGAGCTTGAGTTGTAGAAACCTCATGCTAACGCCGCTATAGGGCCTTCGGCCGCATAGGCTCCGCATACGAGAAGCTAGGCGATCTCCCCAAAGCCATCGAAAACTACCAGAAGTCACTCACCGAACACCGCACGCCTGAAATTCTTGCCAAGCTCCGCGCAGCAGAGAAAGCCAAGATCATCGCCGAAAAGAACGCCTACGTCAACCCCGAAGAAGCCGAAAAAGCTCGCGAGCTCGGTAACCAGAGGTTCAAGGAAGCAGACTGGCCAGGCGCAGTCGAAGCGTACACCGAGATGATCAAGCGGGCACCCGACGACCCGCGCGGCTACTCCAATCGCGCGGCCTGCTTCATCAAGTTGCTCTCCTTCCCGAGCGCTGTACAAGATTGTGACGAAGCTATCAAGCGGGACCCGAACTTCATCAGGGCATACCTTCGCAAAGCACAGGCGTACTTTGCAATGCGTGAGTACAACAAGTGCCTGGACGTCTGTCAGGAGGCGAGCGAGCATGACAAGGACGGAAAGAATGCAAGGGAGATCGAGCAGCAGTCACAGAAGGCGCTGGAGGCCCAGTTCAGTGCAAGGGAGGGTGAGACGGAGCAGCAGACGATGGAGCGGATACAGCGGGATCCTGAGGTATGTCATTCTCCCCGAACAGGTAATCAGCTCGAGAATGACTGATATACTAACCTCATCGGTAGATCCTCGCCATTCTGCAAGACCCGGTCATGCAGAGTATTCTACAGCAGGCGAAGGGCGATCCACAGGCACTGCAAGAGCACATGAGGAACAAGGGCGTCGCGATGAAGATCCAGAAGCTTATCGCGGCGGGTGTAATTCGTCTTGGCCGGTAGGAGGCGAGAGAAAAGTTCACGCTAGTCAACTGGATGCGGTGAACCGCTTCAGGACTCTGTAATCATTAACGTCAAATGGTTTCATGCATAGCGATTGTATGTAGCGTTGATTTCTTCGTGCTTACTTGTGGAAAAGGTCAGTCGTCACCTCAGGTGTTGATGCCGTCTCGATCTGCTTTGTTGATCTCTCGACTGCTGTTGGCTCAGTAGATCGCACAGCATATTTTGTGAACAGCCACCGCAGCGTTGCATTACAGCCCTAGCAGCTACACTAAGCAATGGTCGCCGTAGAAATCCGTGGTGTCTCCAGAACAACATAAACAGGAGCATGTCCACTTCCACGATGTAGTGTGAATATCTACTCTAGCTCCACATCATCACCCACGCACTTCTCGCATGCGCACTCAAACTCCCAATTCACCCTCAGCCGCGCTCTCCTCTGATTCGTATTCATAGCCCTCTCATCGCCGCTCAAATACGTGATGCATAGTTGCTCCCCAGCCCTAATGTCCCGTGCCGTGAGAAACTCCCAACACCTCCCCACACGCCGCTTCGTGACGTTCGGCGCGCAGCTGTGGTTGAAGTAGCTGGCGGCGATCCAGATCCCGTAGCCGAGGAACTCGGAGCCGTCGTCTTCAAGCGAGCGGATCCCGAAGCTGTTGTGGTCGTCCCGTAGTGGGATCTCGCGGCATACCTCTGCTGTAACGTGCGGGAGGAAGGAGTCGGGGAGGATGGCGAGAAGCTGTAGGTACGAAATGATGTGGGCTTCGAGCTGGATGGTTGATCGGTACGGTCGAGGGTTCGGCGCCAGTGCTTGTAGTGCCGGCCAGGCACCAGGTTTAGAGGCTCGGAAGAGAATTCCTGATAGGAGAAAGCGGAGGGATTCCGAGTCCGGTGAGACAGTCATTACGGAGTGGACCGCCTTCCTGCTTGCTTTGTTCTGGAAGCCAGCGCGTCTCTCACGGATATAGACCGCTTGATGCTCGGCGTTTATCCATGCCATGTTAATCTCGGATGCGTTTGGGCGAAGTGCGTCGACGTCGGAGATCGGTTCGTCCTCTCTCGGCGTGCCTTTGATCAATTTCTCTACCGCCCTCCATGCGTGAAAGGCTGCTGTATGTGTGCCAAGTGCCTGGCTTTCGGTGTCAGCGCTGTAGAAGCAATAGAAATCAGATATTCGGAGCTGCCCGGTCTGGTAAACCCGACTCTGTGCCCATCTGGGTTCGATGACTAGACTACTCGTGCCTGTCCAAGAGAAACTCACATTGGATAGCAAGGTCTGTTCATATTCCCATGCAGCTTTGCAGTCCTCAGAACAGAAAAAATCCCCGGTGCTCTTCTCCCGCACCTTCCACTCTCTTCCCTCATAGTACCAAAAGCACCATGCGCAAACCTCTCGTCGGAACTCCCGCAAGATCACACTGACACTAACGTCCTCTAGAGCCAGGATGGATGTTCCGGCCGAGACGGCCTGCGTAGCAAAAACGCCTCTGCCAGATGATGGTGTCTCTAGTACGGAAAACAATGGCGAGACGGGAGACCCTGGTGGCTGAGACATGGGATAGTCAGAACCTACACTCAGTTAGCCGCAATCTACAGAAAGGGTAGTCATGATTTATCGGACGCTCACGAGTGCGGTAAGAAAGCGGTTTCCCCGTTGATGACGCAGTCTTGTGGTACGATATTAAGGGATTGACTATCCTAGCGGCGTTGTGGGGTCTCTTGTCCGTCCTACCACAGGACACTCCGCGCTCTGTATGATGCTTGCGAGCAGCAGTTTTGGGCTTAAAGAGGGTTACAGGAGTGAGAGTAGAGTCCCACGCAATGCACTTCTCGGAGCAGTACGTAGCAATCAGAGTGGAAAATTGGCCACAGGGTCCCGCTCAGATAATTGAAGTACGTTGGGAAACTGCGGCATGCTGTGGTTTCATCGTCCTTTGCTCTGTCGTTTTCATCGAGAGAAGGAATTTGGAGTGGTCATCAATAGCAAGATCATATACTATTACCCTCTATAAAGGCAAAGATGCTGGAAAAGAGGTGGCCCAAAAGGGAAATCCGAAGCTTCCGGCTCACCGCCGCGTTCCGAAGAGACATTGTGGCTAGCGGTACGGCAGAATGTGACTACATGTTGATGTAACGACAAAGAGTGAGGTCTTTTAATTGTGATTATAGCCTCGAGCAAAAGGATAAAGGATGGAGGTGAAGAATTTGAGGGGCGGAGCTCAGGATGCTCGCGGTCCTCTCGTTTGACCAATGGAATCGCTCCGTGGCGCCGCCCAGGAGTTTCCTTCCAGCAACACCACCGCTGCATAATGTATGTATATGCTCGCTCCCAACGGCGATAGTTGTCTTCGTTTCTGAGCGCCTGGATGGCGGTAGTTGGTCAATATCTTCAAGAGAGCAATAGCGGAAGCTCTGAGGACAGTTGATGGTTTAGCCCTGCGGAATGGGATTGTCACGCTCTTCCTCAGATCTTTGTGTATCGTGAGCCGGCCGATTAATACACATAGCGAGCTCTCAAGGCATGCTATCCTGTCCGGCAGCTTATGCGCTCAGATGCATCATATTCACCCAATGTCTTTCAAGTGAAGTCAACACAGCTTTAGCTTCTACAACACCCTAACCTAACGAACATGATTTTTGAGCTCTTGTGCCCTCCCCGCTCTGCATGCATCAATTTCCTCAAGGGTCCAGCCTCAGATGCAAACCCCACTTCCACGTCATAATTTCGAGGAGCTCGCCTGGACTGCAATATCTTAACGCAGGAACACCTCTCACGAATTGACTCACCCTCTTCAGACTGTCAACTGTAGCAAGACCAAGTATACCGCCCAACACCCCCAACTAGCCTCAATCTTCGCACAAAAAGCGTTTACACACCATGGCTACGTGAGCTACTCACCCGCCATTCTCCGGACGCAACCTCGCTAACCTCCATCCATAGCGGAGTCACAGGCAGCGACGAGATGATCTCTGGCGCGAAGATTCAGCCGTTGGAGTCTGAGACAAAAGCCGGCGTCCCCCTTGACACATCCTCTCGCGGCTCAGCAGGCACAGATCGGAGCATCGATCAGGCGCGCATCGATCCCCTTGGCGGAGCAGGTGAGCTTCAGTGTTCTAAGTATTGCGCTGGATCCCCTTTCATAGAAGCGGAGTAGGCCGCTGCAGCCGCGAACAATCAAGCCTGCTTTTTAGTACTCATTTAACTGCATTGAAACGAAGCTTAGGCTGACGGGTGTTCGCGATTCGTACAGGGAAGTATCAGAACCCGCTTCCACATGCCGACAGCCAGGGCGTTGTCGGCCGTGACGAGACCATCCAGGGCGCCAAGATCGAGCCGCTCGAGGGCAAGAAAGACGAGGCGCAAGGGAAGGGACCGGGCCTAGACGATGAGAATGTTGATGCATCGAGGATTGATCCGTTGGGGGAGGTGAGGGAGGAAACGAAGCCGCAAGCGTGAGAAAAGACTGGTATACTCAGAGGAATAGTTGAAAAGGGAGAAGGGGAACCACGGATTGGTTGAGCATAGCTGCCTTGCCGTGTAATGCGAGGTCGCTCGTAGGCTCCAAGCTTTGCTACAAGGAAGACAGACATTCGGGATGCTTATGACAATGAGTCCGTTACCTATGTTGCTCGTCGGGCATTGTCGAGATAGCAGACAACCCCATCGGCATAGGCCCATGCTCTATTTCTTTATTGTAATGAGTTAGCCTTTCCCGCGCGTGGTCGTGAGTTACCTGTGAGGACGGATGGATACTAGGACAACAACATCATATCTCAAGAGGCGAGGGGCGCCGGAGTACGGAGTACGGAGTACGGAGTACACCAGACGATTGCGGGAGAAGCTTCGTGCAACATTTCGAAGAGCTGAATGCCCTCTTCCCATAGCTTGGCGTTTCCTCTGGGCAAACGCAAGAGCCGGCTTAGCTAGTGTTTCAAGATGGGTCGGTGATCGACTTGCGAGCCTCAAACGGCCAGATGGACGTCTTTCTGGCGATTGGATCTTGCCACTCCTAGTACTGGCTGGCCTCTTGCTTTCAGTGTCTCAATCTCGTCGTCAACTTCAGCTTGTAAACTCTTCACTTCCCGTCGTCAATTGGACCCGTGAAAACAACCGCACAACTACTGCACGGACAAGGTGCAAAGGCATCCGTCCCATGGGCTTCAACTCTAGATGACGTCTTCACTTAGCATGGCTTAACCCAATGAGGGAGGCGCCGTAGCGTCAAAGATATTTATTCAGCGGCGTTGTTTCTCCCCACACAGCCGGCAGCCAGCCGAATGCTGCCACCGGGGTTCACTAAAACTTGCATGCATGAGGCTCCACGATTGGTGTCGAGGCAACGGTCGCGGCAAACCATCGACGATGGTGTAGTCGATCAGGGCGACGGGAAAAGGGATAGCAACTTTTGACAGAAACGCAGTGAAAGCACGCTGAGAAGAGAAGGCATTCTACGCCGGCCAACCACGGCGAATCGACTCGAAAATAGGGAAAGGGGAGCTTCTCTCCAGCCCAGTTGCAACGGCCTTCCCCACGCAATCTGGAATGGGTGGATGGCCCGGCGCGGTGGTTGGGATTGAGCGCCGCGGCGGCGCCACGCAGCGAAAAGTCGACAAGGATTACGCGGACGACATGCCAACCGCTCAGCCAAAAAAGCACGGGACATGCAAAGCATCGATTTTCTTTCCTCTTGATGCCTCGGTCTAGCTCATCCCGGCAGTATGGCATTGTTTGAGCAATGTGGGAAGCGGTTGTCGAGTGCGCGTGGCTCTCGAAGACAGACAGAGAATGAGAGGCGAGGATCTCTCCACAGCTGGCTCGGTTTATTCCATCTGATATGTAATGTTATGTGACACCCCTCTCTCACAGCCAAGCGGTGGATGGGTGGTAAATGGGCGCGCGCACGGGGGTCGATGCTGCGCACATGGAAGCTCGATCACCCTGCAGACGCGCATTCACGAATGCGTCTGTCTGACTGAGCTTTGCCCGGGGCATTCCCATGGGCGGCGCAATCATGACGGGGTTACAAGAGCGACGTCCGTGGAGCTGTCAGTCTGTCAAGCTCAAGAGCGGTAGAGCGCCAGCATCAGCCCCTGGCAGCGACAAGGGCATGGGATAAGATGCGCATTCCCATTCGCCGCCGCGGCACCCTGCAGCCGCAGAGATCATTGTGCTCTGAAAGGGTTTGATGGATGTTCGATGTTCGTTGACAGCAACGACGTGTCGCGGACTCGGGGGCGGAGGCGGCGCACTGCAAAAAGAGTGATAAGCTTCACACGCCTCCCCCCCTACCTACTAGGTCTCAACTGCTGCGAGTAGCGTGTTGGAGCTCGCTGCTCCCGGGCCAATTGCACCATCTGTTTCTTCCACAGATCGCCCAGCAGTCCGATTCGCGCCTTCGCCGCTATCGGAAAGAAATCGTCGGTTCCCTTGGCTCACCACTGCGGTTGTGGTTCGGCTTTTGATGTGCATCCCAGAGCACCAGCACCTGCACCTGCACCTGCACCTGCACCTGCCGCCACTAAAACATCCCTCCACCTTCTCTGCTTTTTTGGTACGACGTACCCACGCTCGTTTTTATTCCCCGCAAAACTGTCGCTCCCCATGAGATTCCGCACCGCCTCCGTTACTGGGAGGCCAGACAACGATCCCAACTTCCCTAATGCTTTTACCACCCAGTGCGATGGTGAGAAGCGAGCACCTCCTGTCAGGCCCAGCATGACGACCCGATTATCTTCGCGCTTCGCGGAACTCAACCCGCTGAAACTCCTCCCCGTTGGAGAGAAAGGCAGCTACGAGCGGTTACCGGGCTACGACAGCGCCAATGGCTCGCCCTTTGGCACTCCCATACTCAAGAAGTACAGATGGCGGTCGCCGAGTCCAGGATCGGATCGCTTTACGTTCCCGCGGTTATCGCTGTCGCGCATCATCATCCTTACGATAACAGCGATCCTGGCCACAGGACTATTAGTGACGGGCGGCTACCGAAGACATGTGGCACACGAGGCAAACAACAAGCCTGCGGAGAGAGAGCTTTTCTTCTGGGAGCATTTTCCTCGGTACTGTGGCACACATGTACCTTCTCCCAGCCTTGAAACTGACTGTTTCTAGGATCAATGGCTTCTTCAACGGCGTTCGTTTACTAGTGCCGTACAGCGAGTACGTGCCAGAGCAGAAGTCCATCAATGAGTTCCTCGAAAAGAAGATGGGCAAGAAGATGCCAAAAGTCGCCACTCAGCCCACCCTCGACCCCGTACCCTTCAATCCGTATCCCGACTTCGACTCGTACGATTACCTACGGGAGCATCATCCGGTGAAGAAGTGCTTCCTTGACGAGGCCGAGACTCTCGCCGTGCCGGACATCTACGTCTATCCAGGACTGCCGCAGAACATGACAGACCCGTTTTTCGGCTCATACGGGCAGCTGGGGATCAGCGACAGCGTCTGCTACGACAGGTTTGGCAGACTTGGGCCCTATGGCTACGGTTCCGACATCACTCAGGGGGGCTTGGGAATAGGAGACAACACGGAGAAGGAAGGCTCCGACAAGATCTGGAGTATGGCAAGGAAGATCGACTACCGCAAGGTGGACTGGGGGAAGGTGCAGCGCACATGCTACGAAAAGAACCAGAAGCGCTTCTCCCAGAGTGGTGGCAAGAAGGCTGTCAAGCGCTCAGCATACGTTTTGCGGACTTACCAAGGCTTCGAGTATACGCCGCATCAAATGGCGACAATCCGAGCGATGATCAACGAGCTAAGCCTTAAATCCGGAGGCGAGTACGATGTTCATCTCCTGGTTCAAATCAGAGATAACGGTATTCCAATCTGGGCCTCCGATGATCTCTATAACAAAACCTTGCGAGACAATGTTCCTGAGGAGTTTTGGGCCATGGCCACTTTGTGGTCGGAGCAGCAGATGAGGATGTATTACCCAGAGCCCTTTCCTGACAACGTGATCAATCATTCTGGCCATCCAATCCACTCAGTCTACCGTACCGGCCATTTCGCCCTCCAGTGGTTCGCGCAAGAGCACCCAGAGTACGACTTTTACTGGAACTGGGAAATGGATATCAGGTATACAGGCCATTACTATGAGTTTCACAACCGGATTGGAGAGTGGGCGAAACAGCAGCCGCGAAAGGGCATCTGGGAACGTAGCTCTCGCTTCTACATGCCGGATCTCCATGGCACGTGGGACAACTTCACTGAGATGGTCGAGGAGCAGACTGTCATGAACGGCGAGAAGCCTGTGTGGGGTCCGCCGGAGTTTGAGAACAGCGGCACGATTGCGAGCCCATTATCCTCCAAGCCACCAACCACATACATCAAAGACAACTACAGCTGGGGTGTTGGCGAAGACGCTGACTTTATCGTCTTCAATCCCATCTTCGATCCGAGCAAGACGAACTGGGTCTTCCGAGAAGACATCAGTGGCTATGACCGACAGTACCCTGTACCTCCGCGCCGTGCAGCCATCATAACCGTTGCTCGGCTGAGCAAGAAGCTCCTCGATCTGATGCACGAAGAAACCTATAGACTCAAACATACCGCATTCCCCGAGATGTGGCCGCCAACCTGCGCGTACCACCACGGCCTCAAAGCCGCCTACGCCCCGCACCCTGTCTACTTTGACCGCAACTGGCCGCTCGAGTATATGGACCAGATCTTCAACCATCCGAAGAAAGACTATGAAAGCGTGTTCGGCTGGGGCGAGCACAACTTCATGGGCAGCTCCTACTACTACAACTCTGGCTTTTCGGGCGCGCTTTGGAGGAGATGGCTCGGTGAATCCGAGAACAAAGAAGGCGGCAGAGCGGAAGAAATAGCAGGCTCAGGCAGGATGTGTCTGAGAAGTACACTGCTACACCCCATCAAGTTCGAGAACGGGCCAACGGAGTGAACTGTCTCCTCCAAGATCATCGACTACACACCACTACGCGCACCACAGCGCCTCATCTTCCTCCTCACATCGCCGAACTGTACTTCCCTATCCTACTTGCTCTCAGCTACTGATAGTTCTGCACCTACGCCGCGTAGACCCGTTCCTTATTCCAGCGCTCTTATCAGTCATCGGACGGCGTTTTTCCCCCGGCAACGGAGTCATTGGGGCTGGAGCGGGATGCTCTGTGACCTTCACTGTTGGGTTTCCTGGATGGATGGTTGGGTTTTGCATAGCTTTTGGAGCATCCGCGTTGGTACTTTGTTGAGTCTTTAGAGATGCATGATGGCGAGGGACAAGTATAGTACATGACAGCAGTGCGGTTCCGTCTGGATAATGGACTTGTTGATAGGGAAGCTGTACATACTCTGGTGCCAACATACAGGAGCGACCGAAGATGGCGATGAGGAAGTATTAATCATGTATTCTGCATAGCGTGCAGTCATATCTGCCATCACCTGCCTGATGCGTGACTGTGCTGGTGGCTTCTATAACCTTTTCGTAGTCATTTGACACCGAATGTTCCTAGGCAGTACGTCTATTGTATCCTGAGAAAATTGGAGCATGGAGAGTCACGTGAGAGCGCACACCACCTGGGCAAGGGCAGCTTGTGACAGCTGCGTATGATGGGCCACCAGCCAATCAGCCCGCCACGAACTGCAGCCACCAACGTCCCAGCAGACCAACTTCGACAGCCACACAACCACACCAACACACCCAACATCTACTCGATCGCACGCACTGTCTGATTCTTGGAGGGAGAGGACAACCACAACCTCGCGCACTTGCCTGCTATGGCACGCTCGGAGCGCCCACTCCTATCCGGCCGGCCCTCGTCTGAGAACGAACGCGACCTCGCCGAAGAAGACGCTCTTCTAACCGGCGAACGACAAGCACGCATGGAGCCCTCCCCCTCGAGATGGAAACGATGGCGGGAGGTCGGCCTCCTCGTCTGGGCCGTCATCGCTACTGCCGCCGTAATCATCGTCGCGGTAATATACCAGTACAAAACCACGAGGTACTCCTCCGGGCCCGCGCCTAATGGGAAGAGGAATCTCATATTCATGGTATCCGACGGCATGGGTCCGACCAGCCTGAGCCTGACGCGCAGCTTCCGTCAGTACCGGGACGGCCTGGCCTACGGTGAGACGCTGGTTCTCGACGGCCACCTGATCGGGCAGTCGCGGACGCGCTCGACATCGTCGCTGGTTACGGACTCGGCGGCCGGCGCTACGGCATTCGGCTGCGGGTTGAAGAGCTACAACGGGGCCATCGCTGTGCTGCCGGACCACTCGCCGTGCGGGACGGTGCTGGAGGCTGCGAAGAAGGCCGGATACATGACTGGGCTGGTGGTGACGACGAGGATCACGGACGCGACGCCTGCGTGCTTTGCGGCCCATGTCAACATGAGGAGTGAGGAGGACCGGATCGCGGAGCAGCTGGTGGGAGACTATCCGCTGGGGAGAGTCGTGGACCTGGTTCTGGGGGGGGGAAGATGTCACTTTTTGCCGAACTCGACGGAGGGGAGCTGTCGCGCGGACGACAAGGACATTCTGGACATGGCGAATGAGAAGGGGTTTACGTATATCAATGACAAGGCGGGTTTCGATGCGCTGAAGCTTGGAAGCGCAGTCAAGTTGCCCTTACTCGGCTTGCTTGCGGATACGGATATCCCGTACGAAATCGATAGGAGGTTCGAGAGCGACAAATATCCGTCGCTGCAAGAGATGGCAGAGACGGCGATGAACGCCCTAAGCGCAGCGACTAAAGACAGCGACAAGGGATTCTTCCTCATGATCGAGGGAAGCCGTATCGACCACGCTGGCCACGCGAACGATCCCGCTGCTCAAGTTCACGAAGTACTGGCGTACGACAAGGCGTTTGCCAGCGTCCTCGATTTCCTGGCAAAAGACACAGTACAAGGCGTGATGGTTAGCACGAGCGACCACGAGACGGGTGGCCTGGCAACGGCTCGGCGTACGTATCTTCTTATTGTCATCGTATTATATGTAAGACCACTGGCTGACTTGTCATGCAGAACTCCACGCCACCTATCCAGACTATCTCTGGTATCCCGGCGTCCTAGCGAACGCATCCCACTCCGCCGAGCGTCTCGCTTTCGAATACTTTCAGCACCAACTCAGCGCACCCGCCACCGACGACCTAGAAGCGTACCTCAAAGACCTCGTCTCGGAAGGCCTCGGCATCCACGACTACAGCGACGAAGAGATCCAAAGCCTCGTGGACACACCCGAACTCGCACCATACGCTTTTGCTGACATGGTATCCAAGCGCTCACAGACTGGCTGGTCCACTCATGGGCACTCGGCTGCTGATGTCAATATCTTCGCTTCCAATCCGAAAGACACTGCGCCGCTGGTGGGTAACCATGAGAACACAGAGGTTGGCGTGTTTCTGAGAAACTACCTCGACGTGGATGTCGAGGCTATCACCAAGGAGTTGAAGGAGAAGGGCACCTCATTTGATACCACGGATGCGGAAGGTAGGGCCGTAAGCTGGATGGGGCCGGTATCAGAGGAAGGCGAGAGGCTGGATGGGCAGGATCATCTGGATCATTATCAGGGCGATTTCAGGAAACACAAGAGGTGCGAGATCTGTGCCACGTAGGCGCTCACGAGTAATACTCGAGGCTTTAGAGGGTTAGGGTGGCGTTGGTAGGGCGTTGCAGCATTTCTAGACTTCCTGGATTATGGTCGGTCGTGAACGGGACTGCTTGAGTGTCTGTAACTCTGATACAGTATCATCTTGTGCGAGAGTGTTTCGCGAGTTTCCTTTGCCTTTCGTATAAGTCGGATCGGATTACGCGAGCTTAATATCCTCAACGTAGGGATTTGTTGCTTCCTATGCTTCATCGTGCATCTGGCCAACAGCCACCCGCTCGTAACACAGACCTTTCCGCTCAATTAGCATGAAATTATATGTACGCCACTTCCCATCAGAACTATTATAAGTCCAACTACGGTGGTCGTCTTGTGCTTTGGGATCATCGAAATGACCAAGTCTCGTGAAATTAATAATGGGCGGCCACTTTGATACTGATATGAGCATCATTCTGAGAGAAGCTCACGCATGCTGGTTGAGCTGATCAGAGTTAATGCCATAGAGGAGACCGCATACACGCATGCCGCTTAGTAGCGGAATCCCCGTCTGTGTACTCGTAGCTCGTTTATCTGCAAAGATCGCCCCTTCTTCATAAAATTTCGATGAGCTGGGATCTCTCCACCATGGGGGCATCTAACGCGTTTGGAGTTTATATGCGCTGACGGTCGCCGCCGTGAGCGAAAGAACGTATCCAAGACTGAGCGTTGATTGTTTATCTGAAGAGGGGAGAGTCTCTAATTCGACGAATGCAGTGGTTCTCTCTCTGTCATGCTTATCATCTTTCTCGATTGCCGATCGCTTCAAGGGACGGAAAGTGGGCACTAGGGCGTCGTGGAGCTCAATCTCAGCTCTGCCAATGTAAGAACGGAGGCTCTGAGGAGCTTTGTCAAACACAACGTTGAAATTGACACCTCCAACTCAGCCACACCATGACCAGCTGGGGAAGTGTCTGTTGGGCCCAGGGGGCGCATGAGGGCGGCGTTCAACGACATCTGCTGGCACCCACATCAAAGCGTAGTCGAACAGAGCCTCTGGCAGACCGTGAGGGAAACTCCAACCGAAGCATTCCTCCAGCGCGCTTAGGATCCCGGAGAATGCGTTCATCACATCGTACGAGTACGACAATCTCTTCCAGGAGTACTCGTGGATGATTTCAACGTAGAAGGCAAAGGCTTGATTCCATTCCTTCTTTCGGATGTTCTCTACCCATCCCGGAGCGCGGGCCAAGAGACTCAGTCCCGAGTCGAGATCGTTAGAGTTCAAAGTGAGTCTCGAAAGAATCCCTGTCTCTAGGGGCGGCTCCTTGCACCACAGCTCTGTCCGGCATTGAAAGTAAATTTGCTAGTCAAGAAAATATAGAGATCTTCTTGACAGATGCCATTCCTGAAATGTCCAGCCTCGCGAGACATACAGCGAACGACTAATGGCCTCCAGTACCAGGTCAGGTCTGAGCGGCCGATTAAAATGGCATTGATCGGATTTCCAGCTTCGCGGCCATCGAGTGCCTGATACAACACCTGGAAGACTGGAATTGGCGTTGCGAGCAGCAACTGTAGCGATTGTGAGAACGGCACCGCTGTAGATGGCGGCCATATTCGCGATTTGATGATGTTTTACCGACACATCATCTTGCAGGATGCATAAGGAATCAACCCAGAGATAAGTCTCTCCAAGTGAATACATTGCTTCCATAGCATCTTTGATGACCTTAGGTATAGCCCGGCTGTGATGTTGAAGGGCCTGGTGCACCGTGAGACTCTCAAAGTTCGATGTTGTGGCTTGGAGCTGGGAGACGGAGCCCCAGACGTAACTGGGAGCAAAATATCTGGAGGCAGTAGTGGATCTTACGAGACATTTACGCCTCACGTCGATGAGAATAATGTCAACTTCATTGGTGCATAGGGAGTCCAATTCTCGGCGACTGCACTTGGCTCCATGGTGCTGCTCACAATACTGTATCCACAGATTGACGTGATCGTAATTGATTGTGTCGGCTGAGGCAGCCACAGTACGGGCGTATTCCTCCGTGTATGGACCTTGTCGTGGAAGAGCTCCAGTAGACGCGCTATGATGAACTTGATTGTGCTGACCGTTTGGTGGAGCAAGAAGTCCCTGGATAGGCCGGGCTGGGACTTCGTCGGAGATACCAGTCGGTGGGTTGATGAGATCAGTGGCGGAATGGCTCTCTAGAAGCTGAGCCTTTCCAGCTTCAGTCTCTGGCGGAGGCTCGGACAGCTGTGTTTGAGGCTCCTCGAATTCAATGTGAGCTTGCTCTAACTGCGCACGAAGGTCTCCAGGATCGTTGCGAGGGTCTGAGCTGCTAAGCGATCCCTCGCTGGCGTCTGATTTCCGGCGACGGCGCTCGTCGCGTAGTCTTCTCCAAAAAGGCATTAAGGCGGGAAGAGATGGATATAAGATTGACTGATAGTTTTGATTGCAAGTGCAGCGTAGTGTAATGAGGTTACTATGAAATAGAGATTCTAATCAGGAATAAAGAGAATAGAGCTAAGATATCGTTAATAGAATAAGAATTAATATTATAGAACAAGATTAGATTAAGTTATAACGAATACGAGATTTCTATCGAAGTTAAGTATACTATTCTAATTGATAAAGATAGTGATATCTATAGACTAGAGCTTTAAGTTAGTATTTTTATACTCTAGCTTAATATACTTAGTTTCTAATTATCTTAATTAAACTAGGTATTATTTAGTATTTTATTAGTGTTTAGTCTCTTCCATAACTCTTAGTACTAATTACTTACTTAGTAGCACTCTATGCTTTTATTTGTAATAGAAATACTCTTCGCGAATTGTCTTTAAGCTTTTATTTCCAAGGCTAGCCTTTACACGATTCGAAGTGCCTTGCTAGAATTTGCAATAGAAAGAGATAAATCTTGTACTATCTGCTAAGTTTATAACTCTCGCTATTGCATTGTCATCCGATTAGCAGCTGTTTATAGAAAGCATTTCACATCAAAGTTTCTGCAACGAGAGTGCATTTATACTATAATCTTGCATCAGTTAATACAACTAGACTTGGTAGAGCCTCTAGCGATTTGTAGTCCAGCGGCTTTCAGTAGAATTGCGGTCAATTTGCGGGGAGTCACTAACAGATTAATGCCAAGAAAGGTCTAGCAGCATGCTGAGTAAGATTTGGCAGTCGTACCCCAGAATTGGGCGTTTCTAGGTGTGGACGTTAGGCCAGCTATTCTTGTCTTCACCTTCACGATTCAGTGCATAGGAGACCTGTCGTGTCGTTGTATTCGACATGGAGTCTAGCGCGGCAGCGGAGTACTCAACCTCTACAGCAAGCGATCAAGCTCATAACGTTCCCTCCGACGGACATTCTACACACAACCTCAAGAAAAGGAAGCTGTCACCCATATCACGTTCATTATCTCTACGAGCATCGTTTCCGCGCAAGCGGTCTTCTACTGCTTGTCAGATCTGCCGCACACGAAAGACCAAATGCGATAATGGGCGACCAAGTTGCTCAAAGTGTAGTGAGTTGGGCTCGCACTGTGTTTACCAGGATCAATCAAACCCCGCAGCGTACGTGATTTCTTCTGACACGCATCCGAAGCTGGTTGTTTAACGGATCTAAAGGTTTGATCCCGCTAGCTTAGCAATACTCGATCGCCTCGACTACTTGGTTGATCTTGTTGAGTTGAATAACTCTGCTCGCTTAGCAGAGCGAACTGAGAACGAATTGCCAACTCACACTACTGAACGGAGAGGCTCTGCATCTTTCTTACCGGACCCTGATGAAGAGCCGCAAAACACATCGATCTCCATCACTGTCGCTGGTGCGGCTCGCGCCACTACGCCGAGTGATGTCGCCCACGACAAGGACTCGGACGTTCTGCTCCAAATGTACTTCGGCTCCTGCGAGGACATTCTCGAATGGCCAATCTTCGAGGCAAAGCATGACCGCCGTAGGATCGAGGCGCTGATCTTCGATCCTACGCTGATTTGTGACAGTTCCAGCGATTTTCTCATTGCTCCCAGAGTTACAGACGACTCTTTACGAGAGAAGTATGAGGACCCACGTCACAATTCAAGCATCGGTCAAGGAGTACGCGAAGAAGATGTCTTGCGCCTCGTCGAGGTCTTCCTTTTGAATGTCCACACAAAGAACCCGATACTCGATCCGAAGTATTTGAGGAAGATGGCAAAATCGGTGGTTGAGGATGGCTTTGGTTGGAATGCACCGAGTTGCCTAGTGGTTCGTACAATATTCTTTCAATCTTTGACACCACGGCTGAGACATACCCCAGCTGATGGCGTGTGCTCTTGCGACCATCTCCTCGCCATTCGCTCGCCGACCGATGTTTCTTGCAGGCGGAGGGCTTGAGGACGCCGGGGACAGTCTATCTGACACACCAGAATATTATACGGCGGAATCCTACTACACTGCTTCACGCAAGCGGATCGGTCTTTTAACGAATACACTGCTTGCAACAGAGTGTCATTTTCTGGCAGGGGTCTACGAGATGTATTCCCTGCGGCCTCTTCAAGCTTCAATCTCCTTCAATAGGGCTTGCGTAGCTTTCCAGACTCTGACGTGGATGAGATCAGAGTATTACCTTAACGAGCGTCGATTGGCCAAGGCTCGTGCAAGTAGGCTGTACTGGTCCTGTTTGAAATCTGAACAGTAAGTAACAATCCTTCAGTGGTATGCCGTTGCTGCTCACTCAGTTTTCTAGCGAGATATCGGTAGAGCTTCGATTTCCTTCTTCAGGCCTTACTAGGGTCAACTACACCCAGTCTTTCCCTACACCACCGATAGCGACATCCACCGAGCAATTGTATCAGACGCCTCCTGGCACAGAAATTGGTTCTACTCCTACACAGTCGCCTGACTTGCAACCAGAAGTTGAGAAAGCATGGTATTACTACTTGGCAGATATTGCAGCCCGTCGCATATTACAACGAGTGATCGATTCATTCTATGACAAAAATGAGGTCGCATGGCTCGATGCATCACTTCCAAACATCATTCATACGGCCGAAGAGCTGGATCGACAGCTAACTCAATGGTGAAATAACTGGCTAGCACCGAATGGGTATACCTCGTGCTAACTCTTCGCCAGGTACCGCACTCTTCCCAGTGTGATATCCTTCGACCATGATATTGCTGCTGAGGGCGAACTTGCATACCACTTACAGGCTCGCGCATTTGAGATTCGAGAACGCATATACCGGCCTTTCTTGTTTCTCATGATTCATCAAGAACTTGCGGGATCTACACTCACTGCTCTTCGTCCTTTTGTGCAGGAGCACACTGTTACCTGCTTGAGATTGATACGACAGTGGAATATCAGACATCGACATCACGGAACTTGGCTGATGATTAGGCAAAGTTTCGCTTCAGCTCTGCTTCTTGTGGCTGCGCGAAAGGCTGGTCTTAGTGAGGTGTCAGAGGAGCAATGCGAGGAGGCTGTGCAGACGTCATTGTCGACACTGCGCTATTGGGAGAAAGAAGCGCCAGACCTTAGGGCTTCACGGCTGATCTTGGAAGATATCGTTCAAGCACTGGACATGCCTATACTGACAGGGTAGTCATCGTTACTTTGATCACAATTCATGTGGTAGGCACATTTGCCTGGCATCGAAACACAAAACCTCTCGGTGATGCTTCTAGTCAGATTTCATTCAGATCTCCTCCCATCCGGATCGGGGCGCCAATCTAATCATCTTACGCTTCATTCCAGACTTTCGGACCGGCCTTGCGTCTTGGCTTATGCAGCTTACTCGTGTTAAGCGCGTGGAGTAAAGCTCTAGGATCCCTTGAGTGAATATAAATTTATGAAAGCATTGGCCAACGCACTTGAGGCCATGCTTTTTTGCAAATTTTACTTCGTCACCCTATGCTTCTACTTCACAGATGCAGGGGAGTGTAGTATCTGATGATGTGCCTATATGGAATTTGACGGTATTCAGAGGATAAGGTACTAGAGTCTCCGATAAAACCGGTCACCTCTCGCAACATCCTTTCATGTGTATGCGACGAGTTGCACGGCAAGTCCGATTGGTCGCAGCGGATAGAAGATTTTCTTGGCATTGCTCAGCGCTGCTTTAGCGACACTCCACTTACGCCCGACTATCCGCGTCGAATCACCAGCAAGCAAGCAAACTTCTCCTGACTGGACATTCTACACTTTCTGGCCCGCACATACGGAATAGTGCCAGTTCAGGACTCCTTGTAACTGGCATGGCTCGTTCCCGAGCTGGAGCTGGAGGACTCTTACTGTCAACACTTGAAATTGCTCAGCCGTTGTTGCTTACTTATAGGTTCTCCAAGGAAATCAGAATATGGTTGATTTTCACTCTTTCAACTTGCAAGTTGTTTGTTTGTGCTACTCCCTTTACGCCTTAGGGCTTTCCCATCCTCAGGTTCACTGAAGCAGGACGCACAAAAATGGCCGCTTCTGTACCCTTTCGCTCATTCACCACCGGCACACCGACTAAACAGAACTCAGTTGACCCCCGAGATGAGGCCTACGATCAGGTGAACCACTACATTGGAATTGACGTAGGAACAGGAAGCGCGCGAGCTTGTATCATCAGCGAGGATGGCGATATTGTAGGCCTCGCCTCAGAAAATATCGCTCTCTGGCAGCCACAGGCTGGTTACTATGTGTGTTTCCTCCGCACTTGGGAGATCTTGATATGAGCTGACCCGCATAGGAACAATCCACCAACGATATCTGGCGCTGCATTTGTAACTCAGTCAAGCGAGCCGTCGCCCAAAACAACGTCGACGTCAATTCTATACGAGGAATTGGTTTTGATGCTACTTGCTCTCTCGCAGTCTTCGCCTACGACACAGACGAGCCTGTTTCGGTCACCGGACCGGACTTCTACCAGAGCGCGAATGACCACAATGTTGTTCTATGGCTCGACCACAGACCAGTGGAGGAAACAAAGAAGATTAATGCTACGGGCCACAATCTGCTGAGGTATGTCGGAGGCACCATGTCCATTGAGATGGAAATTCCAAAGATGCTATGGTTAAAGAACAATATGCCAAAGAAGCTATTCGACCGCTGCAAATTCTATGATCTCGCTGATGCTTTGGAACATCTTGCTACCGGCAACGAAAAGCGAAGCTTCTGTAGTGTTGTGTGTAAGCAAGGCTATGTGCCAATTGGCGTCGACGGAAGTGTCAAGGGTTGGCAGGAAGAGTTCCTGAAGGAAATTGGTCTTGAGGATCTTGCTGAGGACAGCTTCAAGCGCATGGGAGGCGAGCACGGGATAGTGAGTCTATCCGCGCAACACAGAGTGGAACTTGATGCTAACGCTGACAGAACGGTGAATATCTGTCTGCGGGTGAACTCGCAGGTCATCTCTGTGAGCGCGCTGCCCAAGAACTCGGTCTCCCAGCAGGTATCGCCGTCGGCAGTGGCGTTATCGACGCTTACGCAGGCTGGATCGGCACCGTCGGCGCCAAAGTTCACCTCGCCGGAGACGAGTGTGACCCATCCAGCGCACCAAACGACCAATCACAAGTCTTTACCCGTCTGGCCGCCGTCGCCGGAACCTCAACCTGCCACCTCTTGATGTCTCCCGATCCCGTCTTCGTGGATGGCGTCTGGGGCCCATACCGAGATAGCATCATTCCAGGCTATTGGATGGTAGAAGGGGGGCAGTCCGCGACTGGGGAACTTCTCAAGCACGTCCTCGAAATCCACCCAGCCTACAACCAAGCCGTCTCCCAAGTACAGACCTTCAAAACTAACATATACGACTTCCTTAATGGACACCTCCGCGGGATGCAAGCCAAGATCTCCGCTCCCTCCATCTCCTACCTAGGTCGGCACTTCTTCTTCTACGGTGACCTCTTCGGTAACCGGTCCCCTATCGCCGACCCTAGCATGTGCGGCTCGGTCGTCGGCTTATCCTCAGACAAGTCGCTCGATAGCCTCGCGCTCTACTACTACGGTGTAATGGAGTTCATTGCCCTTCAAACACTCCAAATCATCACCACGATGAATAAATCCGGCCATAAGATCAGCTCCATCTTTATATCCGGCTCTCAATGCCAGAACGATATCCTCATGTCCCTAATCGCAACGGCATGCGACATGCCAGTTGTAATCCCCCGCTACATGCACGCAGCAGTATGCCATGGTGCCGCGATGCTAGGAGCCAAAGCCGCAACCGCGGATGGAACAGGCAAAACCGAGGATCTATGGTCTGTCATGAACAGGATGAGCAAGCCTGGTAAGCTCGTCAAGCCAACGGTGACGAGGGGCGTCAAGCAGTTGTTAGAGGTTAAGTACAAGGTTTTCCTCGAGCAGTGTGAGAGACAGAGGGAGTTTAGGAAGATGGTTGATGCTGTTATTGAGAAGAAGTAAGGTAGATCTGACCGTAAAAGAAGATTGTTCGGGACGGATAGAAGACAGAACCGAATGGAGGGAGGAGCCGAAAAGCCACTACTCTATATTATCGCGTATGCTCGGCTCAAAAGTGTCGGATTGGTGGTGGATGATAAATGTATCTAGACTTGTTGCACATAAAAACTCAAAGTTCCTTAGATAAAGACGATGTGATCTTTTTTTTGTTGATCTATATCTATGTACAAGCACATACGCCATAGGTGCGTATAGAAGCAACTTTGACCAGTGTTCGAAATCGCCCGATCGTTGGACGAAGACTCGCTCGACTCGTCGTTTTAACGAGGTAGACGGTCAGGTGACCTGCTAACCGGTTACAGCAGTTGGCTAGCCGTCTATAGCTTAGGTTCACGGTGATATCCAAGAAGCTCACGGGTCTTGGTAGGCGTTAAACCTAGTTTTAAGACCTCCGCTCTCGGACGGAGCTCCACCAAGGCCCTCACAACCACAGTTTAGCAGCCTTATCTGGTTAGCGGCTCGTCTAGAGCATCACGACGATTACCGGCTACTAGACGGACGAGTCCAGACGAATATCGTTTCAACGATCTATGCGCGGACGATTTCGAACACTGAATATGGTGGTGGTGAGTATAAACCACGAGATAGAGTTATCTGAACGACATGGGTGAGGATTTGAGTTAAGAGGCAGAGTTTACGAGCCCCGGAGACATGAATGTATGAATGCTGATGTTGCCTCGAACGTTGAAGAATCACGAAGCCAATGTTCGATTCAAGGGCCGGACGAGAACGACGCATTTCCCCCTCCAGCGCTGAAACGGCATCAAAAGAAACGAAACCAGATCAGAATGCAACATAGATCAAATCCATTTCATTCTAGGTATCGACGCGAAAGAATTTTCGCAATCAATGTGGTCCTGCAATCAAAACCTTAATACCCTTACCCTCCTTCACATCCTGAAATGCCTGCTCTGCTTCCTCAAATGCGACCTTCCTGCTAATTAATTCCTTGACATTGATCTTCCCCGCCGCAACCATGTCCAAAGCAGTCTGATAGTCTCCTGGACCGTATCTGAATGAACCTCGGAGAGTCAACTCCTTGGTGCAAGCGGCCACGATTGGGAAAGTGATCTCGTCGCGACCCATTCCTCCTTGCACATAAGAGCCGCCCATTCTCAGCACGTGAATGGCTGTCTGGACGGAAGACTCAGCACCACTGGCGTCAATGGCGACATCAGCTCCAAGACCAAGACCATTCTCTAGAACCAACCTCTGCGCGTTCTCCTGCGCCGAACCCTTAGTTGGCTCAAACGTAGAAGTAGCAGCAAATTCCTTCGCAAAATCGAGTCGTGGTCTCTGAATGTCTACTGCGATGACCTTCCTCGCGCCATATGCTTTTGCTACCGCGCAGCAAAGAAGCCCCACGGGACCTGCACCGAAGATGACGACACTGTCACTGTGCTTGATGTTCGATTGTCGCGTTATGTGGACGGCTACGGAGAGCGGTTCGAGCAGTGCACCTTCCTCCAGACTAACCTTCTCTGGGAGCTTGTAGCACAGGTCCTCTGGTAGGACGTAGTATTTGGCCAACGTCCCGTCGTAGGGAGGTGTTGCAGCAAAAGCCATCTCTTCACAGAGGTTGTATTTCCCTTCCTTGCATCGTACGCAATGTCTGCACGGAACACCCGGTTCCATTGCTACTCTGTCGCCTTTCTCCAAGGATTTTACCTTCGAGCCGACTTCGATAACTGTTCCAGCTGACTCATGGCCCAGAACCATGGGCTCTTTCACCAAAAAATGTCCAATTCGTCCACGGGACCAGTAGTGCACGTCTGAGCCACAGATGCCAGTGTAGTTGACTTGAAGGAGAACGCTGCACGGGTGATTGATTTCGGGGATGGGACGCTCTTCGAAGACAACTTCGTTGACGCCCTTGAGGACGAAACATTTGTTCTGGGACAAGTCAGCCTTGACCGATCATGAGGGAGTTCGTCATTCGTACCTTGGTCTCTATTCGAGAGATCATGGCGGGCAGGTTGACTGGAGCGATGAGGCAAGCTTGCAAGCTATTGAGGTGTGGCTGTGATCTTCGGTGCAGGGTTCGAGTGTAGGTCGAAGAGAAGAATGAGACTAGGACAAAGCACAGGTGTTGATCTTCAAAATTGTCGTACTCAGAGCTTCGCAAAGTTTGTAGCAAGGAGATGGGTCGTTTGCAAGATGTCTTGGAATGAATATAGGCGAGACTATATATGCAAAACCATTTGCCCGTTGGGGTTCCAGAATTGGGACTCTGCACCTCTACATGGTGTGTTCTGGGAATCGAATCGAGTGCCAGACATTAGAGCAAATGCAGAGACACAGACATAAGACAACCCTGGAGCTCGCTACCCGCTTCACAGGAAAAAGTGAAACCTCACATTGGGCCTAAGCGTACAGACTCGGCTGCAGAGCCAAGGTTGGCATCCCACGATCTGTGCTAGCTTGCAACCCAGTGGTTTGGAGATGCGCGTTTGAATGGCCGGGGAGAGCTGGAGTTCATCTGCCTGTCATTGTAGGTTAGGTGGCTTCGGGGACATGCCCCGCCAGATGTCAAGGTCGTCGTCAAAGCCATGCTCGAAAGATCAGCAGACCTTGCAAAGCAGTGTTCCGTTGGGCGAGCCGCGTCGGCTTGCGTCCCCGCGATATTGTTATGGATCATCAATCGGTCATCAGTAAGGTAAGTTTGTCATTCTCGAATGGTCCGAATTCCCGCGAGATGGCCTGGGCTTCACTTGGAATTTCATGAGCTTGGCGCTTTACTCTAGCGTCGCCCGAATTGCCGCGGCCAATGACCTTGTAAGCTCGGATCCTCGCTCGCGCCGGCCGTACCCAAACCTCTAGCACTCCAGACGGCCTGTAGACAATAAATTACAGCGCGAGTGCTCTCCCCGGATCGTATCTCTTGCCCTCTGCATGTCTCGCCCCCGCAAATGCATGCAGGGGACTTCTCCGCGGTGGTGTTTGAACGTTCCTTGAGAGGGTATATAGTTGACGGTCCTTCTGCTCTAAAGATGACCGTCTCTTCCGCAGCACACAGCGCAATCACTTCATCTCTTCTCACTTGAGCGATCCCAAGAACACCCGTCCTATCTTCCCTAGCCACATCGCCCAGCATGGACAAAATCCACAAACTCAATGTGGTGCATCGGTTTGAGAAGCGAAGCTTGCTCGTCGTGTAAGCAACATATTACCCCCTTTCAGCTTGCAGTCACTGACGCATTGTCATAGAATCAATTGTATGGCCGGGCTTTCCGTTCTCTTCTTCGGTTATGATCAAGGTATGATGGGCGGCGTAAACACAGCATACGATTATTACACTCGCATGGGCTTCGGTCATCGAGGCCCGGACGGCGGGCCAGTTGTAGACAACTCACTCCTCCAAGGTGGAATCGTCTCCATCTATTATCTGGGAACTCTTCTCGGCTGCCTGGTTGGAGGCTCGCTAGGCGATCGCTTCGGACGCATCAAAACCGTCTTCGTTGGTGCTCTGGTCGCCCTTATTGGCGCTTTGCTGCAGTGCTCCGCCATGGATCATGTGTGGATGATCTGCGCACGTCTTGTGAACGGCTGGGGAACCGGCATCCTCAACTCAATCGTTCCTGTCTGGGCTACGGAGACTGCCGAGCATAAATCGCGTGGTCAGTTCATTGCGATCGAGTTCACACTCAACATTTTCGGGGTGGTCATTGCCTATTGGCTCGAGTATGGATGCTCATTCTACGGCGACGGCACATCCTCATTCATCTGGCGCTTCCCAGTTGCTTTCCAGGTTGTCATGCTCTTTGGTCTCTTGGCTGGTGTTCTGTTCTTCCCGGAGTCCCCTCGCTGGCTTGTGAAGGTGGGCAGAGAGGACGAAGCCCGCTACATTCTCGCCAGACTCCGTGGTAACACTGGTGAAGACGAGAAGAAAGCCGAAGCTGAATTTCAGGATATCGTTGCCTCTTGCGAGTTGGAGCGCACGAACTTCCGCCGACAGACATACGCTCACATGCTCTTTGGTGCCGGCTCAGGCAAGCTTCATACCGGCAGACGCGTTCAGCTGGTCGTCTGGCTTCAGATCATGCAAGAATGGGTTGGCATCGCTGGTGTCACCATCTATGCTCCAACCATTTTCGGCATTGCTGGAATGAGCCCTGCGAAGCGTCAATGGATCGCGGGTCTCAACAATATCTTTTACATGTTCTCAACCCTGATCTGTGTGTTCACGCTTGACAGGATCGGACGACGCTGGACCTGTTATTGGGGCTCTGTTGGCCAAGGTATCGCTATGGCACTAGCTGGTGGGTTTGCTTACCTTGGTCAAGAAGCCACGAGGAATGGAGATATCAGCAAGGCTTCGAGCTATGGTAACGCCGCTGTCAGCATGGTGTTCATCTTCACCTTCGTCTTTGGCGCCACGTGGTTGACTGTGCCATGGCTGTACCCAGCGGAGATCTTTCCTCTCGAGGTCCGAGCCAAAGGGAATGCATGGGGTGTTGTGGGTTGGTCTATCGGTAACGGCTGGCTCACGCTTCTCTGCCCGATCATGTTCGAGCAGCTTGGGGAGAAGACCCTTTACATCTTCGCCGCCTGCAACGCTATCACCATTCCTATGGTTTGGGCACTGTACCCGGAAACAAACCAGCGCACGCTTGAGGAGATCGACCTACTGTTTGCCTCGGACAGCATCTGGAACTGGGAGGCTGAAAAGAACTTTGCTAGGTTGAAGCAGCAGGTTGTCGCTGAGGACATCAGCTCTGACGACCAGACCGATGTTGAACAAGGGGGAAGCCGCAAGCGAAGTGTAGTCCGTGGCATGAGCCTGCACATTGAGGCTGTGCCGGAGACTGAGCAGACACAGAAGGTTGCGAAGAGTGGTTGACGATCCACCGGTCTCGCGTTACATCGGGGAACACTTCGTAGGCGGTCAAGTTTGACTGAGATTCGGCTCGTGTTTTCATAGGTCTTTTACAAGCACCTTATACCTCCTGACAACAGGCCTACTAGTATTCCCGAGTTGTGTTCGGCATGGGTTATATGTATTAGGAGCTCGTATAGGCTTATCGTATTCTGTAGGTTAGTAAGATATGCAACCGAAGCGACTAGTGCATTACTAGTCTTTAAAACTAGATTCGAGTACTATTCTACTCGTTCTGCTTGTTCTTCTCGTTTATATATAGCCTAAATAGGAAATTTCAAATCTTTTAGTATTCTATCTTATAATAAGATTCTCCACTTAATAACCGATTCTAGATAATAGCTAAACTTGCGTATTATATACAACTAATTTTATTCTACTACTCTATAATAGACTATAATACTCGTATAGCTTATATAATAGATAAGTTAAGATTATAAGAGTATACTAACTATACTACAACTACTAGAAAGTAGAATATTAACTATAGAATACTAGTAAAGTACTTTAAAAATAATATTAGTATAATCTAGAAAGCTATCTTTTATATATACTAAAGGCTTATAAACTTAAACTTATATGAAAAGGTACTTATTAGGTATCTAAGTAGATGTATAGACTATAGCTTTCTACTACTATAGAACTATAAGTACTTAGAAGTATTACTTAGTAGATTATAGAAACTAAGTTTAGAAAGAACTAGATTACTTGCTTTTACTAGTAACACTATTAAGAACCCTAGTATATTTTATTACTATAAAAATATACTTTTAGTAGTCTAAATCTACTATTTAAGTATTTTTATAACTATTTAAGAGTCTTTTAGTGGATACTTCCATTAATCTTTTAGTTAAAAGATTTTTCAGGTTTTTAAATAAAAGCTTGTAATACTCTTATTCTTAGTATAAGTTCTATTTTATTATACTTAAATCTACTAGAATTAACTTAGTATTCTAGATTTTATTCTAAATCTCTAGTAATATATTTCTACTATAGCATAATAATTTTTTTATTGAAGTTTATAGAAAATATACTTACTTTTAGAGATTATATAACCTCTATTTTTTATAAATCTTATATCTATTAGTAAATATTCTTATACTATATTATAGTACTTATGTTCTAGTTAAAGTATACTATTTAGTATCTAGTCTAGCTATCTAATATACTTAGTTACTATAATTAATTATTTTAAAATAAGATTATAAGCTTTTTATATAGTTTACTAAAACTTATAGTAGACTTCTACTATACTTTATATATAATAGTTATATCTTAAATCTCTAAAGTTGTTAATTAAACTCTATCTAGTTTATCTTAGTTTTTATAAGTTTTTATATATTTAAATATACCTAATTCTATATATTAAGTAGATATCTACTAATAATAATATCTTCTAATAGTATTTTTATTTTTAGTTCTTTATTAAAAGCTAGTTTAAAGACTCTAGAGTCCTTAGATTCTACTATTAAAACTTCTTTAAATAGACATTTCTACTTATTAGGCCCTATTTTTTAGTTTTTAATAAGTATTATTTGAATCTTAATCTCTATTATTTAGAATTACATTAGCTATTATTATTACTTATTAGGCCTACTTAGTTTAATATTTCCAATAGTACGAAATTAAATTATTTAAAGTTTATACTTTATAATCTATAATACTTATTATATTTAATATCTAAATAGATACTAGTCTAAGCTCTATTTATTACTTATATATGTTTAATATCTATTACTATAGTATATAATCTAGAGTTTTTTATTATAGTCTATAGCTTATATAGCTATAAAAAAAAAAAATTTCTAGAGCTAATAATTTATACTAATACTTACTTTTGGGGCTATTAATAGTTTTTAGTAATGTATTCTACTGAATTATAGTTAAAAGATTTTTTAAAAGATTTTCTTCTTAAAAGTACTCTACATTCTTACTATAATCTCTTCATAAAGTATATTAAGTATCTTATAATAGTAGTATTAAATTCTATAGACTAAAGCCTATATAGATTATAGTATTTTCTTTACTATATTGAATAATCATCTTTAGATACTATAACTAGTATAGTATTTCTAGCTTTCTTTATATATTATTTAAATAGATAATTAATAACTCTAATAGAAATAATAACTATAGGCTATAGTTTATTAGTATAATAGGTACTATCTCTAGATAATAATACTAGGCTACTAGAATATAGTATAATTCTAATTAAGGGGTTAGAGAATAGTATAAGATATAATAGAACTAGATTAATATTATAAGGTAATAATCAAGTATATTATAAGAATACATGATTCTTATTCTAAGTTAAGTATAAGAATTCTATAAGAGAAACTCTTATAGTTAATATACTAGACTATATCTATAGTCCCTATAGTCTCTGTTATCTACTATCATTAGAAATAACATAGATAGTAGTAATAGTTTAGTAACTCTACTAGTTCTAGCTAAACCCTATACTAAGCGCTAGTTTAAAATACTAGGTCTCTTTCTAAGGATTTATATTTCGAAAATTATCTATCTTATATTATTATATCTTATAGTAAGACTAATACCTACTATTAAGAGTTGCTTTATTAGATGTAAAAGTATAGCATTCTAACAGCTTCTAAATAAATAGGGTATATATAGACTAGAGCTAACTATTAAAAGTTATTAGATTTCTTATTCTTTTTAGAGTTCTTATATAAGAAGCGTAAGTATAATATAGAACTCTTTTTCTTAGAGGCTTTTATAGAAGTAGATAAAGAATAATTCTATCTTTTTACTAAGAGAAAGGTAGCTTTTAATTAAGAAGCTACTACTTAGTAGTTAATAGTAGTAGAACTAGCTAAAATTAATTATTTAGTAAAGCTTAGGCACTTTCTAGATAAATTTAAGTTGGAGATAATTTATTATAGTCTTAATAAGATAAAAGAACTAAAAAAGCTAGAATAAAAGAAGAAAACTACTACCTCTACTATTTCTATTATAAGCTCTTTAGGCCTAGCTATATTTAAGTTTTCTAAGATTAATCTAATTCTTAATAGATTTAACTTTATATAGTTACCTTTCTTCTCTAAGCTAGTGCCTTTATAAGATACTACTTAATAATGCCTTTATATCTATTAAGATTTATAGCTATTTCCTAAGTGTTTTCTAAGTTAGAGCAGCTTTTCTACTTTATAAGATAGTAAGGTTTATTATCTTTAAACTTAGTACTATTATCTAGAATTTTTTATACTTTATATTATTCTTTTCATTCTGTTAGATAGTTATCGAATCTCCTAGCTAATGTTAGTACTCTAGAAGATGCTAGTTCTAATAGTAAAATATAGATTACTAGATATATTTTTTTTTCTTTTAGTTGATTAAGCTTATAACTTATACCCTTAATATTTCTAATAATTTTAACAAATTCTATCTTAATGTAAGCTAATTCTTTACTTAGCCTTATTATCTTAATTTTTTTTTATAAAAGATACACTTTATTTTTTTTCTTTAATACAAATCTCTTAGATCTATATTTATTATAGCAAAATGCTAACTACTATAATAGGAATTTAATATCTTTTTAAAGTTTTTAGTATATTTACTATATTTCTTTTATAGTTAGTCTAACTAACTTTACTAGAGTCTAGACTTTCTTAGGTTTATAGAATTTCTAGATATAGTATTTATAGTTAGTATAGAATAGTATTTGTCCTATTATTCTATTTACACTTATGTTATATACTAGCTATATAAGTAGTAACATTATAACCTACTTTATTTATCTTTATCTATATATTCTTTTTAGTACTATTCTGGTACTTAGTTTATATACTCTATCCATTTATCTATTTATAGATAGTAAGCTATAAAAGCTTATAAAAGAGTTCTAGCTATCTAGTAAATATAGTCTAAAAACTTAATTATAAATAGCTTATCTTTATTTAATATAGTCTTTTTAGATAGATTTTATATTACTACTATATTTTAAAGAGAGGTATATACTAGTTCTTTAGTATTAAAAAATTATTTATATAGTATAAAGTATACTTTTTTTATTAATTAGTCTATAATAGTAAGTGCAGAGTTGCATTTTACCTTTATTAAGAGTTTTTTTTAAAAAGAGATAGTTAAGTGATAAAGTCTATAGCTACTAGAGCCTATAGCAATAATAGTACTACTACTAATCTTATTAACCGATATAGCATATACTAGATTACTTTTATTTTTTAGTATAGATTATATACTGTAATGTATTTCTCTATCTTCTTTCTTATTTATAGAAAGAAGTAGATATAGCTAATTACTTAGTAAGCGAAAAATATAGATTATATAAAGAACCTTAGAGTTTCCTTTCTTATTTAACTTTTACTCCCTTATAAAGATAGATAATATATCTGTATTCTAAGAAATTAAGTGGATAATAATTATTTTATTAAAAGTATACTATCTAAACTAGCTTTCTCTTATGCTTTCTCTATTTTATTCAGGAAAATAGACTTAAAGCTTGTTTTAATTTATTTTTATACTAATTAAGTAAGGCTTAGTATACTAAGACTTACTCTAAGCGCTTAAAGCGTTTAATCCACTTATAAGCTACTTATAGGCTATTTATAAGCGGATAGAATTACTTAAAGACTCTAAGTACTCTAAGTAGCTTTAAGTATCTAAATGTTCTCTTTAATAAGTTAGAAATAGAGTTTAAGTATCAAAGTATAAGCTTAATCTAGGAAAAATTAATAAGTACCTCTAATATAAAGGTAATTATAAGATATAAAGAGAGCTTTAGACTAGCTCTAGGCTTTCCGCTAGTAATATACTAGCTAAATAAGAGTATATAGCTATTATTTTTATATTATAGAAGCTGAGTAAAGTTTAGTCTTCTACTAAGCTATCTGTATTACTCTATCTATATAGACGTTATTATTATATATATTACTATATTAACTCGAAGAATCTATATTTTCTAATACTTCTTAATTCTCTACCCT